ATTTTGATAAGTTGGGACAGCTAGCAACCGTTGCTCTGGTATCACTTTTGATTATTCTGATTAGACAATTACGGACACTTTTCTCTTTTTTTTTCTCTTTTTCCCGAACAATATTCGATACAATCCATTTGGCAGTTCTCATTCTTCTCCACCCCCACTTTCTGCTCTCTTTGTGTCATTTTTTTACCCTCAAATTTCTTCCTTTTCTATCATCTGTACACTCATTTTTTAACGTCTTACTAACGTTAGACCTCATTGTTATCGTTTTGACCAGTGTATTGATCATTTAACTAGTTTCTGATAATTTTCAGAACTAAAATAACATAGAACGAACGTCAGAGAGTTAGATTGAATGAGAACGAGAAGGAGAGAGATAGAGAAAGATAATTATCTGTCCGTTTTTGCTGCTTTTTGTGATTGTTTATATGAAGTTATATATTTCTATTTGATGTATAAACAGCCGTGTAACAAATTGCTTGAATCATGTATCATTTGTCGTTAGGAATTTGCGATTTTAATCCAATTTTTCTTATCTTTTTCAAACCTCTCTCTCTCTTCTTCAAAGAGTAATTAGTTTTTTTGTATTTATTTCTTCAAGAAACAGAGATCAATAGCTTTTCTAGTGGAGAAGTAAAAAACGACATTTCAACTCAATTTTTACAAAATTTATAAACTTTCATCGTTGAGTTTCTAATTGAATTTTCAAATATGGTTATACATCAAACGTGCACATCTCTTTGTCTTGTTAATGCTTTGTTTTTTGTTCTTCTCTTCCAAAAGTCTTCAATTAACTCAGTTCCTTCCTCGATCCTATCCTAGACGAGTTATTGCTGAAACATTTAATTTGTCCTTATTACATGAACAATTGACGCCTTCAAGAACGTTTTACGTTCAAATCTCATAATTTTTTGTCCAAATTTGGAAGGTCAAGGAGGTCTAATTGAAACGTTAACTTTATCTTTCCCACTCAGTGATCATAAATCATTCCTATTTCTATGATTTCGCTTTCCTTCTCCAACTAATCCATGTGCCGCATGATGGAAAGTTTCGGCTTGTCAAACCTTTTTTCTGTGAAAAACATTTGAAAGCTGGAAAAAAATCCACAAATATTCCGCTTGTTGAACCACACACACACACATACACACAGATTGAGTCTGTCTAACTGTCTTCCGTTCCATTCTCATCTCATCAGCCACCGCGAACTATGTTCATTCAGTCAATATCCTCTTCGAAAATACTGCTGCAGAAAAAATCGTGACTTTTTTCTTTCCAACATCGGAATGTGCAAACAAAGGGAAAGTATGAATACTCTCTAGAAAAAAAAAGGTAGATTGAAGGCTAGAACATTAAAACCTGAACAAAAGGTAATTTAAAACTCTAAAAAGTGAAGCCCGATGCGGGGCTCGAACCCGCGACAGCCAGATTAAGAGTCTGGTGCTCTACCGACTGAGCTAACCGGGCTGACAACAATTACTGTCTGCTGCCATTTATAGAGTATTTTAATTTTATACTCATTCCGTTGTTTGAAGTCAACGTCACTCAAATTCCTAATAGAGAAATAGTTCGAAATAAGTTCAATTACTATAATCTTTAATGTTTTGAGCTCTATAAAAAGGAACCAGATGTGAGTTTATTGAAACTGCTGACTCTTGCAACATCAGACGACAACGTTTGGTGTGAATGAAGCTCATTTTATCATTTGACATAGATGAAAGGAGTATTTGATGCAATTGCGAAGACAAATTCATTATGAATAGGTCGGAGTGTTAGAATTTGAATATATCGTTGAAGATACATGCATTTAGAATTTCATAGTTTCTATTCTCATGAAATTTTCAACATGTCCATGTTAGTTCTTTCGTCCATCATTTTCATTATAATAATTATATAACTCTCAAATGAATATCATCTGAAACTACGTTATTTCATGCGACTGGAATCAATAAAGCTCAAAAGTCCTTTCTTTGTTACTTTTTCTCATTCACATTGCTCATGTCTTCTCATAATTGTTATAATACCACACGCCAAATTCATTAATACGATGTGTAGATGTGTAGATGTGTAGATGTGTGTAGACGTGTGTGTGTGTGTATGTAGGATGATTCTTCTCTCATTTAGGTTTTCGACATATCTCGTATTCATGTTATATAGGGAGTTGTGAGATCTTCACTGGGTTTCGAACTCAGAATTGATGAAAACGATTTTTTTTTCGTCAATTTCTCTCGACGGACATTATCTAATAACGCCAGTTATTCATGTATAACACAGATTCATTCAGTCTTTCTAATTATTTTCATTTTCTATTGTTCTTCTCTCCTTCTCAATACGTACTTGTATCATTTTTTTTCACATATGTGTTATATTCGTTTTCAATACTCTAGTAATATCCATAATGGTAAAGCAAAACAAATCTTTCTTCTCATATCCCTTTGCCGGAGAGCCTTTTCTATCCATTTTCACAATTCACACATATTTCGATGAAAGACAAAAAAAATTTGTTTTCTTTATTGTGAAACTGCACTTGAGCAGTATACGTCAAACTTTTTCTTTCTATTAAATTCATTTTTTACAAAAAAAAAGAAGTTTGAACGTTCGATTGTTTACAAGACGTGGAAGGAGAAGGAGACGAAGAATTTGATGACTTTTCTATTTCAATGACATTTCTCATAAACGTTGGAGATTATCTTTGAAATTTATCAAATCTAGTGGACTAACCTGCAACTCTCCTTTACTTGTTTTCTCTTCTTGTGTTTCTCGCGAGAGAAGAAAAAACTTTCCACAAGTTCAGCGTCCGCTCCTTGTCTTCATAAACCTGTCAAGTTTCAAGCATTTTTGAAATAAACTTGATGAAAAGGGGAATCGTTCTATGTTTTACATATAAATAAACAAATTATTCAACCCTGTCGATATCGATTGGATTATTGTTCATTTGAGATTTCCTATCTGTCTCTTCCTCTCGCCTATCTTATAGATATCCGAGCATTTTCTGATGCATCCACTGCTAAGACACAATTAATTCTCGCTTCATATTCATTTTTACTTTTTTCATACGGAAAAACAGAAAAATTAGCATTCGTTTCTTAAAAATAACATTTAGCGAACGATCATACTCATTAACTTCTTGTTTCTGTCTAGGACTAGACGGTGTTAACGTCAACTGTCGTTCGTCCCCCGAAAATTTTTAGTGTTTGAACTTAAATTTCCATTTTGTGTGTCAATTTTTGAAAAATTCTGAACGCCTCTAGGCCGTTTTATATATTTCTTTCTTTTTTTCTTACTTTTTATCCTTTAACAGCGTATGCTCCACCCACATTTCGCTCTTTGCTTCTGCCTTGCTCTGAGTAGTATGTGTGTTTGCTACATCATCGATTACTCCCGCACTTGTGCTAAACATCCCTCCTCAGTCAGGCAGCCTCAAGGAATCATGTGGAAGCAACTTCAAACAGACTTGAATCATCTTTTTAGTCGTTTTTGCCTTTTCATCGTTGCACTTTCTCATATAATATCGTGTTTTTAATCAGAAAAAGGATATTCATAACTCATCCAAAATTTATCGAAGTTTCCAGCTCGCCTTTCTTAAATTTTGAAGAATCCTCTTCTTTTTCATTTTTAATATTTCGTTATCAATATTTGCTTCTCTATTTTTCAATAATCAAATGTATATAACATAAGTCATAATACTAGCTTGATGAAACTCGCTAAAGCCTGCTCGTGAAACTTGTAGCATTGGAAGTTCGATTGAGATGAAGAGAAAGATAAAGGGGTAAAAGAGAGAGAACGAGAAAAATAGAGAGGGAGGCCGGACAAGAGAGAAATGAACGAGAGAAAAGTTTCAACAACTCCAAGAATTTAGGTTAATGCCTATTCTTTAAAAAAAAAGTTTTTTTTTCTTTTCCGTAGTCTCTCAAGCCATGCAAACTTATTCTATAAGAGTTATCAAACGAAATTCAAGATATATTTTGTGAGAATTATAAATTGAGTTGAATATAGATCATTGAACAGGTGTTTAAAAAATCTTTATTAAGAACATTGAAATTCAATTTTGTTTCCTTCAAAAATAACGAAAACTTTGAATTTTTCATCTTCTTGTATATTTGTTTTAACAACCATGTACTTGATAAGTTTATATGCGAAAGGTTTAAGCTTATTTTACCTTTTAATAATGTTATCAAACGCTAAACACCATGTCCTCTGCAAGTCAGACGAAGAACGTAGCTTTTTCTTTCATTTTTCTTCACATGTGTCTTCCTGTCTTATTTTCTCTTTCTGCTTTATCTTTTGTCTTTTAAATTCAATCGTACACTTTGATATGCCCTAGACAGTTGTTTCTCAATGCTTACACGAGAAATAGGCTCTTGAATGTGAAGAAACGAGAGGAAACGAGAATATGGACAACAAATTCTAAAATAACATCAGCTACATAGATGTTAAAGTTAATGTTTCAAGAAGAGTGAGAGAAGAAGACGGAGAGGAGCGCAGAGTGAGGGAGAGAGGGTGGAATGAAAAAAAGAAGTTTTTTTTTGTGAAAACGAAGAGTGATTAAAGACAAAGTATTTGTGAATCCTTTTCGCGAATGCACCACCGCTCTCCACGTAAATATGAAAAATGGGAAGAATGAGATGCCTCACCTGATGGTTACGTGACTTTTGACGCAAAATTAGAATATGTGTTTGAAAGAAAACAAAAAAAACAAAGGAGTGAGCCAAAAAAAGAAAATTGAATCTCGAGTTTCAATGTGTGTTCTGCCATTTCAATTTGGAACTTCAATGAAATTGCTGATGATGATCGTCTGCTTTCATCAAATTGTTCTTTTTCTTTCATCTTTTCATTTTTTGATGAATATGTAATTTTTATTGATATTTCCATGAAGTGCATGCTCTGTCTTTTTTTTCGATGATCAAAGATCATGTTCTTTACTGTTCTATAATAATTGTATAATTTTCTGTAATATTCTTATTACATTTTTTTTCAGAATAGACGCTGATACAAATGATCATCTGATGAGCCGAATAGGCTTTCTCTTTCTAATATTTGGATTCGTCCGGTCTGTTCCGGTGAGCATACAGGATAGTATAGTTTCTACGACATCACCATACTCTGTATCTACTTCACCACTTCCTGTTTCATCTAAAGTTGTTTCGTACAAAAATGATCAAGCAGCAAATTTGGAATCCGTTTTTCATCCAGATTGTGCTGATCCTCACAACAAAGGCGTAGCATGTACTGCTCACAAAGGTCTGCCAACAGATTTAAATATGGAATTTTGGTGTTATTTACTTTCTTTTTAGTTGAATGCGATTTGCTTACTTTCAATGAATCTCTATATAAGCATAATCCTTCTGCTCCCTTCGATCTCCGAATTGAGCCTTTAGCCAAATCTTCTAGTCGACTTCAAGACCAAAAGAAAAAGCATTTGCTACATGTTGATATTTCATGGCAAATGCCTCTTAATGGTTCGTTTTATTTCTTATTTTTTAATGGAATATTATTCTTAGTGAGCTAAGCGTTGAGAGCACCAAAATTTAAACTTTAAAGAGAGCCTAAGCTTAAGGTCTCATTTCAACCATAAAATACTTGATATAAGGGGATCGTTTTCGCCTGATTTAGCTCCAATAGCCTATCGAGCATTAAACGAACTAGCCCTAGTTGTTATCCAAAAGAAGTTTAGCTCAAACATAACTGTAAAAGCTTATATGGCAATAGAAAAAAAATGAAAAGAGGAACGAATGATATAGAAGGCACAAGGGATAATGCATAGAATGGATGCGGAAAGCATAATCATGAATTCTATCAAGTCAATTAAGTAATTTATATGAATTGCATCCATTTATTGGAAATAACATTATAATAATCCTGATTATTCCATTAAATTTACATATTTTAAGGAAATTCATCAACTTTGAGATCATTCAAGCTTGAGATTCAAGGACCGGAGAATGAACGAAACTGTTTTACATTCAATGTTTCCGAAGTGGAAGTGAACGATGATTCTTCTTCGGTAATTATATAATATAAACAAATCTCGAATACTATCATTAAATTGAATGAAATATTTGTGAATGAAGTGCACAAAACAGACTCTGACGTCACAAACATGGACGCATTGAAGAAAAAATAATCTTATTTTGCAATTTTTAGCCACGGTTCCATTTTACGACAGACAGTTTATTTGATTTTCAAAAAACTTATTTGGTAAAGCTATCTACTTATCCTCACTCATCCAAAGTTGGAAGCATCTCCAAAGTACTGACGATGCCTATTGATCCAGGTATTTCATTTCTTCATCATATCGCTATGTTTATATCTTCGTTTTCAGAGTTAGAGCTATCTGATCCGGAAAATATTACTCAATATTGCCGGACACATGGTATGTTTCTATTTGTTCACATATTTTATATAATTAATGACTTGTCTACTTTGTCTATAAAGCCCATTTTAATCGCTTTTTATCTGAAGTAAGAAAGCTAAAGTGGTTCACGGCAATGACGTCATATAATAGACTTGCTTCAGGCTTTCCTTTTTGAGTTCTGTCTTCTCTCACCTCTTCATCTCTCTCCTCTCCTCTTTATCTCTTTCGCTGCTTCTTTGTCTCTGCTTTTCAGAGACACACTCCAACTTGTTCCATATTTTTCATGCCATCCCTCGTCTAACACTTAGGTAGATCGATAGCATATAGCCCGCGGGCATGTAGAGAAAATTGTTGCCTGAAGGGGACCAAACTTTTCAAAAGTTTATTTTAAGTACAAAAAAAAATGAAAGACAGAGTTTTGTGAATTCTTCCAGATTTTTAGTCAAAAAAGTGATAATAAAACTTGAATTTGTATAAAAACTCGTCTTTCTAGCTCCTACACCTGAGGCCTCAAAATGGACGGCAGGCTTTCGAAAAATATTTCTTCAAGCCATTACAAAGACAATTCATATAGAATTTGTTGGGGCGCCGGCACATTATTGTTTCGAAGAATATGAAGTGAGCTTGATCTTTCAAGATATCTGAATATATTTCGTGATGTTAAGGTCCGACTTTTGGATGAGACGGGCATCGAGCTTTTGCATCACACGATTGTCAGGGCAGCAGACATGAAGAAAGAGTGGATTGATGGCAAATTGGTGACATTCGGAGAACACAACTTTACAAATCTTGAGGTTTTTTATTCATTAGCTATTCGATGCATTAATTTGAATGTTAAGCTGGAAACAGATTATATACCATCTGTGATCCCAGTTGAGATTGCACACGGGAAGTGTGTTTGTCCGACAAGCCAAGAAACAGGAGCTTGTAGTTGTATTGCTGCTGATTGGAAAAAAGTTCGATTAGATCGTAAGCAACTATATAATATGAACAATATCAAAAAACAATTCTATTGCAGGAGTTGAAGTTTCACTTGTCCGTAGCACTACAACTAAGCCGACGACCATTGAACAAGGGCAGAATGACAAATTGTTCACGTATACCATTAAAGTCATATTGAAATTGGGAAAAAACCACTTTTCAGAATTGTTTTCGTAATTTTTGTTTTGATTGGAATGGGAGTTATAATGATTTGCTGTATAGCTGCTTCTATTGCTATTTGTAGAAATTATGAAGAACGTCGAAAGGTTTTGTTTCACAAGTTTATATATTTATATCTTTCTTTCATTGTTATAGGAACAATGTGTTCGTTTTGTACCAAAATCTAATGGCAAAATAGCTGATACTCATGCTCCTCTCATTCACACTTGTAAGCTTACATTCTCTCTCGTGACTCCTACATTCTTATTACATTTCGCATTTTTACAAATTTTTTAATTATGCCGAATGCAACCAGTTGGAATAGAAAATCGAGTTTGAAATGATTTGTATTTGACGTGTCTTTCACGTCAAGACGAAATAACTCATTAACATAATTCATATGCGAATTATCTGATAAAATCTATTGCAGGCGGAAGTACATCAGTTTTGATATTATATTCACATGACAGTATTCATCATGAAGCTGCTGTCTTAGCATTTGGTGAATTATTGAAAAATTTGTTTGGCTATGATGTTCACGTAAGTCTATTGCCCAACACACATATATCATTCTAATTGCTTTTTTTCTATTCAGCTGGATGTATGGGATAGTAGTGATATTGAGAAAAATTGGTCGGAGTATGTCAATGCCAGCATTGTCAGAGCTGATAAGGTTTCTCATTAACAATGAATTATTCAAACTTATGCTTTATCGTTAAAGATCATCGTCGTCAATTCTGTCGGAGCATATTTGCGTGTTCGCTCGCGATATAACCGTGGGGATGGAATTGAAAAAGTAGAAAGCGGTCCATACGATCGTCTTTTTACCCAACAAATTGATTTAGCTTTACAGTAGGTTTTTCTCTTCTTCTTCTTCTGTTTTTGTTGCATTTTCTATGTGTATGCTTCTTGAAGCATTCACGTGGAGTTTTCACTGAATTAATAATCTACATTCAATTGTATTGAAAAAAAATTTTTTCAAAATGCATTTTCAGACATGCGCGTGTAATTTCAATACGATTTGCTTATACACCACCTGCTGCAACTATTTATGCTTTGACTCCATTACTTCAATATACAATACCGGATAACATCAGCTTGCTCGTTTCATCCTTGAGTGATTGTTCGATCATGAATGATGGAAGACTCGTCAGCTACTCACCTGAAATGCTCAAACTCAATGCTGCTGTTTCTCGTATGAGTCAATTCATTGAGAATGAGCCTAAATGGTACGAATTCAACTCACCATATGTATGTAACAAAATGTCTTTGTAGGTTCCAAAAGACTCACCAACGGGTTCCATCGTTATTACCACTAAGTCTACCTACAGATTCTATTGATAGCGGATTTGATTCATCTTCTCACAATACTAGTCGTGACGAGATTCAAGTAATACTCTTGAGGAATTTCTTATATTTAATACTTGATATACAGATTTCCATCACGAATGCTTTGAAAGACATAGCTGAACCATCCTCAGCTGTTATAATACCAGCTTCTCCCATGATAGATGAAGATATTCCGTTGTTAGAAGTAAGACAGCCAGAAGATGTGAGCTTATTCCATATTATTCGTTATTCTTACAATAATATTTTCCAGGAGAGTTTATCTTATGTAGAAGAACAACTAGAAGAAGCATCAACAAAGCTAGACGAGCAGTCTAATGATTCAGCCTTCTTTAGCGGGCCATTAACAGAAGACTTTGGTGAACACATTGAGGTATTGAATGCTCTCTAAGTTGATCATCCACTAACTATATGATATTAATAGGTTCGTGACAAGCCAAGGTTACACGATAATGATTTGATAGTAAAAACCAATTACATAAGTAATGCTAATAATGACTCAGGAATTGTTGAATCAACAATATTGGATACCATCTGATCATCTACTTATAACTATTTCCAATACAACGAGTTTCAATTTTTCCATTATAACAAAAAGATCAGAAAAATAATAATTTTAAATATAAAAAAACACAAAAAAGGTGTTTCGTTCCTTTTCTGTGTCTGACGGCTTTCAAAGGATATACTGTTTGATCTCTGTTTTTTTTTGAATTTCTTCATCCAAAAACTTCTATTTATGCTTCTCTGGATCACATATTACGGGTTGTTGAAGATGTTAAATTTGTTTTTCTTTTTTTCCTTTTTCTCTTCTTCTTTTTAATTTATTTATGAAGATAAATGTTCTTTTAAGATAAGATACAAGATGTAAAAAGAATATATATTGTATAATAAAAATCTTTTCTTATACCAAGAATCGCTTGTCGTTACTTAACTTCCTTATTTATTAATTCATTAACGAATGTCAAATTAAAGAAATCATCATATAACTTCCGTTATGACATTTCCGATTCAAACTGAAGACGATGGTGAGCGAAAGAAGATGAAGATGGAAAAATAATCATCAAATCTACATTACGTTAAGCCATTTTTGTTTTTTTTTTCTCATTTTTCTTGCTTTCTGATCAAGGAAGCTTAAGCTGTCATATAGCTACTGCATAATATGTGTTGATGAAGTTATCAAATTTTGTTGAAATTGATCTATGATCAGTATGTTACGTGGCATGTGACGTATTAACTCACGTGGATTGAAAAATCAAAATTTGAAAAGCTCATTTGGATAATGAACGGTACATAGGACGGTTGCATGGACGCACACAATAGTTGAAGTGATTATTGCTATTTTGAATTCAAAATAACAACTTTTTGTGATCACTTATGAAATTATTCTTTATTCAAGTATGGAAATGGATTATCATGCGGTAAGAAATGGATAAAAACAAAGAAAAATAGAAAAATCTTGTTTTTTTTCATACCGGATAGTAAAGCATAGCATATTCTTTTCAAACTTAATCATCTATCAAAGCCATTGGTAGATTGAAAGCTTAACATGTTAAACGCAACATCATGACTGTATGATCGCAGACAATCTAACTGTTTATTATAAAGTGGATATAACTGTCTAGAATATGAATCATGCGTGTGACGTCAGGAACATCATCTCAACGGTTTCAGACAGATTTGACGTCAAACAATATGGAAAAAAAAAAGAGAAAACGAAAAAACACTCGCATTTAAACAAGATATGCTTTGTCATTGATGAATAATTGAATTAATTATAATCATAAGAATACTGTTAAAGTGAAATTATGAAAAGAAAACGAGTTAGTCAAGTGATTTGAAACATCTGAGAAGAAGCCACGTTTTGCACGTTGTTTACAGTGCATTTTTAAGATTAATTGGCTTAAAAGGAATTTTTATTCTTTCTTTCCAGGGAAGGCCTGTTTCTTTAGCATCTATCCAACTCATCAGTTAATTGATATAGCCATATGATAAACAAGTTATTAACTAGTATTTGAACATAGTGATAGATAGCCGGAGATGGTATAAAAGTAATGAATGTCACCAAAGCTATCTCTGTATAACGTCAACGATATTTTAACAAACAAATAATATATTGTTTCTATCAATATGGTTAGTTATAATTCACTTTTTAACGTCTTGTATTTGAATATTCGCTTCAGAACCGTGTCATTCTTATCTCGTTGGGCTTAGTTACCCTTTCATCAGCCTTCCTTTTCGGATCTGGAGGAGGAGGAGGATGTGGAGGAGGATGTGGATGTGAAGTAAGAAAATCTTTTTTATCACTGATTTGATACATCTCATAACATTACATAAAATTATTGCTTTGCTTTGAACACTCATTTTGTTGCCTTCAGGACACATCTTGCCTTCCAAAACCACCAAAGCTTGGATGCCAAAAGATCTGCTTCTCCATTCCTACTCTTAAGGTATGTGGAGATAATGAGTAAGGCTTTTAATCAAATTTTAGTTCCCATCTCCATGCGGATGTGGAGGACGTAAGAAGAGAGAAACCAATGGAGATGATACTTGCACTGATCCTGAGCTCAAAACTCTTATCACTGAAGTAATATTGAGAGCAAGAAATATTAAGTAAACGAATATTCAATTCAGGGAATTCGTACCAGCCCAAAGGATTCTCGTGATAACATTCTTGCTGATTTGAAAAACAAATTCAAGGCTACCAGGTAGGAGGATGGAAATAACGAAAATTTAGAAATATGAACCGTTACAGATTCCTCGTAACTTGCGCCGTCGGAAAGACTGAATTCAAATCCTCTGCTGAACAATTCTGTTCTGCTGGAAATGACGAGCAAACTTGCATTGTCGTGAAGGCTGTTGACCAAGACTCTGAATAGAAATATCAGATTGCTCAGCTTTCAATAGCTGGACCCACCCAGTGAGATGAGTCTAGTAACTTATGAGATTCGATAATTCTCCTCATAGATAACGTAATGTCCAGTATGTTTTGCTGTTGTACAATAAACGTTTTCCATACTAATCACTGAAATCACATATTTTACTTTAAATTATTCCATCTGCTCTTTCGTCGAAAAACGGTAGTCATAGGCTTATTATATTCATCTTTATCTTTCACATATCACACAAGAGAAAATAAAAAGTTTTATTAAAAGTGAACGAAATGTCTGAGCGAATTATCTCGTACTTCCAGCAACTGGTTTGCTATGAACATGATTGACTAAAGTTGGGAAATAGTTTGTTTTGAAACCTGAAAAATATCTATTTAATTGTGTTTCCATGGTCATCCAACATTTGTTCAACAGTTTGCCACATGCTCGCCGGTATGATCCGGTAACCAATATCATTGTGACGGGTCCCGTAATTCCGGAAATAGAAAGAACTACAAAGCATAGTTCTGATGCTACTGTAACGAGATTCTGTTATGATTATTAAGGAAATGGATAGTTTGAAGATACATGTATAGGTTTGGCCAATCACATGACAAGCAAGTACTATGAGGCATGGAGTAACGAAGTTGATCACTTGAACAGCCACCTGGAGCGTAATGAGACAGTTGAACATAATAGTAAACAGAACCTGAATGATCAATGCGTTCATAAATGATCTCTGTAGAATCTGAGTTGTTCGAGAAGATGTTCGTTTCTGTTCTCTCAGAGTTTTGTACGTCAGGAATGAGATTATTGAAACAAAAGATGCCAAGTAAATGATGAGTAGGCCAATAAAAGCAATCGCTGTTTTGAAGACCCAAGAAGATCCTTCGAAGCTAAACATGATCGTTATATCGTCCCAAAAGTCGATCGGTATATCACTAAGTTTCTGAACAACTTGTGGAGATTTCACAACCTGAAAATATCTTCCTCACCTTGGCACATTCCAACTTCAAGGCATGTTGGTTACCATTAAAAGTTGGTTGAGCTAGGGGAACCACAGACACAAAAATTAAAAAGAACGTTATGAAGTATATAATGAATCGATTTTTCCTCAGAAAATCATCATGATTAATCAGTACAGTATAACGATAGAATATCATGAGGACGTAAAAACCTGCCACATCTGAATTGCCAGAGCAAAACAGTTAACGTGAAAATTGAGAATTACTTAGATAAAGCCACATTTGAAATACTAACAATGGTAACGTTCCAAGATGGAGAAAACGAAAAAAACCCATTTGAGAGCCACCAAAGCAAGGAGCCAACAGTACAGGAACTGATCCTCCCGAAATGGTAAAATGAGCAACTGAAGTGCTTAATTAATGAGACGAGATTTGCTCATAATATGATTGATGGCTTACACGGTAGCTAAACCAAAATATAGAAGCTTATACTCTCTACTGATAGACTTCGTTGATTTGTAAAATATACAATAGCAAGATAAAATATAAATAAAAATACTAGATGGACATAAGGAATACATGACGTAGCGGTAAACTTTGGTCATCTCATTGCCCTATGAAGATTTACATCCTCAGTTTTGATTTTAAAAAAAGTACCTTGGTTATCTAGTGAATAGAAGCGACAATTGATCAAACCTATTGGTTTTGTTTATTTCCTGTAGGATACAAAAAGCTAGAAAATGGTTGGGAGAACGACAACTAGCAATTATGTAATAAAGGTTGAGGCTCTGTTCACTACTCCCACTTCATCTCAAGGAGAATGCGAGCTCCTTTGTGATCGATCAAGATATCTTGAACCTTGCACATTGGAACAAGTGCTGTAACAGTATGAATTATTAATTTTTAATTTGTTCGCTAGAATATTTTTAAAATATTCATTAATCTACTTTGGTTACAGTTCAGTATTTCTGACGAAGGCCAAGTATCGTGACGTTGTTCAACAGTCAGATCCATTTCTTGAAGGCATTTGCTTATGATTGAGTTTTCTATCTTTATTACCCAGTTTGATAACGGCGGTCTTGAGTTTTGTTTTTAAACAATAATATTCACATCAGTAGCAGAATATGATTCTACGGAAACTGTTGATCTACATGCCCATGAAAAGAATGGTAATCCAAGCATTTGAACAGATTGAGCAGCCTCTGGCACCATAATAATTGTTGGTGAACAGCCCTATTTCTTCCAGTTTTCCCTACCGTAACTCTCCAAGCGGTTATTCTGCTTGAGAATCTTTGAGAAATACTTTCGAGATTGTCGAAACGTTCAACAGTTACTGGTGCAACCGTCACTGAAGACCCAGCAACAAGAAGAAGAACAAATTAGATACCAAAACAAATCAAAAAATGGAAACAGTCCATTTTCAGAATATTACCAAACTGCCAGTAAATCCTTGTTTTTCAGTGTTTGAACCCCGAACATGAAATGAAAAAAAAGTTCCCGGGTGAAAATTTCTTTTGTGCTTACCATGAAAAATTGATGATCATATACAGTCGTGGCCAATGATGTTTGTCACCCTATGGTTCGATATGTGGAAAAAATTTTTTTTAAATTTTAAGAAAATTGATTTTTCAACGTTTTTTGGGGGGTGCCGAACATTATTGGCCACGACTGTACATACAATGTTAAATACGGAATACAACTCATACAAATGACTTGTGCTCTAATTGCCTCGTTCTTCCCTCTAACCATCGTGGTGGTCTGATACTAATGAATGAAATGAGCAAATTCGTGAACGAAAAGTTGTGACATGTACATGACCTTCAAAACATAAGCAGAAATTATGCTGCACCTCAACATATCTGTGAACATCTATATTTCAATGAATAAGTCATATGATGCAGCTGAAGTGAAGCAGCCGTCACCTTCGTTCGAACGAAGTTTGAAATTTTATTAAAAAGAGCTCCGATCAGTTTGTATGATATGGTACATTATGAAAAACCCGTATGATAATTCAATATAATCAAAGTATATAGAAAAAAGATGAAATGATTCAATTAGTTATTTCAGATCGTCGTCGATTGGGAGTACTTCCTGAAATTTTTAGATATTTGTCACTCTCACGCGCGCGAAGAGGCTATGTTCGTACTAGTTGTGAATACGACTGTTGTCTTTTCCGAATTGATGGAACGGAATATCTTGTACTTGTACGGTAAGCCTGTAAAAAACAATTATAAGTGATTTCATAGAATACCGCGCAACATTTGTTGATTTTCTGTATACAAGCTCGTCGGTACGAAGCTGTTGCTAGAATAAGTGTTAAAGGTCCTCCAATACCTGATAATGCGAGGAAAACGAAACATATGTCAGTAAAAGCTGAAATACGAAAATCTAAACATTATAAAGTTAAATGTTAAAAACATTTTAAAAACTCACTGACTAAATCTAAAGCAAAGAAATGTATGATGAAGAAAGTAACTATTGGCAGAAGTAGAAATGAGAACTGTGTTATAACCTGAATAATTTCAATTCAATTGAGAATTTTGACATTTGCTCGCTGCAGATTGAGCTGATAAAGTTATTTCAGGTAGAAGCAGATGCTTTCTATGTTGAAAAAAGAATTGTAAATCGAACCTGTAACAGCAAAGCTCGAAAAAAAGCTTTTTGAAGCTTTCTTGTAGATTTGGACATCGATTTTTCGTATTTTTTCATAGTTACAACTGTCAGGATACAAGAGGTGCCAACAGTAGTAGCAGCTATTACAATAACAACAAATAACAAAAATAAGGTTAATCGGAATAGGTCATCAGATTCCGATAAACTGAAGATTATAACATCATCTTCCCAGAAATATTTAGGAACTTCAGTGACCATCTGTAATATGATGTTTGCTTTGAGATTGGTTAATAGACAACAAACAGTTAAACATTGCGATTTTATTCTAAACTGATTTGTAACTTGAAATATGATGGCTATAGGACCAGGTAAGATTATTGTCATGATGAAGAAGAACACATAAAAGGGTGTTCTACCACTTCTATCTGATAATCTGCTCTCTCTAGGAAGAATAACAGCATATCGATGGAAGAACAGAGCTGCAATCGCTCCAGCAATCACTTAAAAACAACTTTCTGTTCGTTTCAATATATCAACTATATCTTACCAACATAGAGCCATATTTGGATAATAACTTGAGCTAATGTGCTGATACCAAGGTATCTGAGAAAACCTACTGGAAATCCTCCGAAACAAGGAGTCAGGAATACAGGAACAGTCCCACCAGATAGCATAAACTGAGCAAACCAGGTTCTTAAAGGATTAGTATACTAGTTGTTTTTAAATAACAAAACATGAGGAATAAAGGAGTGTGAAATCAAAACTCACAATGAAATTTGGATGAGAAGTAACGTTTTGTACTCTGTCGAAGTAGCTCTATTAGATTTGAAAATGACACACCATAAACATAACATATAAACTAGTGTTCCTATTGGACATAAGCTGTACATTATGTATTGATAGTATATCCTCATTTTTTATCATATCAGATAAATCGTCCTATAAACATGATCGTAATAGTTAAGAAAGATAATAAGCATAATACAGAACTGAAGAATATAAAATATAATTGGTGTTAACTGAGTGAGCGGAGAAAGTATTGTAAAGACATGCCCGAGATTATGAAGAATGAGAACAAAAAAATGTTAAATTATTAAGATTGACTTAATTGCGCAGCATATGGAGGTGTTAACTATGAAAGATTTATGTGATCGATCTCTTTTATTATTTAAATGTTATTAAATTAACGAAAAAAGAGTAGCATATAATGATATCTCATCTTTAATCTCTGATTAGAGAGAATTTGGTCTTAACAACCTCAGTTGAGATCTAGTCATTCAACATCGTCAGCTGGTTTTTATCTCTTCTGGCCCATGGTTGAGTTTCTCCTTAAACAATTAAATATTCATTCTGTTTTCATGAATGTATAAAATACCTGAACCGAACAGTATGAAGATTGTTCCAGAAATACTACAAGCCCCAGCACCTGTTAGGAACATTATGCTCCAACCTCCATTCCTCTGGAACAACCGTTCATTTGCATCGTTCATATTAAAATGAATATCAAAGTATGTTATTATTGCGTGGGACAGCCGTTTTTCTTCCACGTATAATTAATTAACATATATTTACCGAATTATGTAAAGCTGTCATCACATATGGAGCTGTAACAATACCCATCTGAGCACAAAACAATGATATCGAAGATAATGTAGATGTGTAGTTCGGTGCTATTGATAACAGACTAGTCACAAAGCCACTGCATTCTGAATGATATTATTCAACATCTATAATATTTTTCTTGACGATACCTATGCCTTGGCAAGCATATAGGGTACAACAGAGCACCAGAGCAAGCATCGGTTTCTCACAGTCAACTAGATATGCAAGCCCAATGAACGAAAGCGCCATACCATAACTTGCTGAAACTCGTTGCTTATATATGGTTCTGTTTTTCTATCAGACTCACAAACAGCTTGAGATATTTTAACAGAAGCTGTTGGACTCAGTAGTCCTTTCTCCTTTAATTTATCAAACAACATGCCCCAGATGATTTTGGCTGCCAAATTGACAAAATTGGGCAAAGAAACAAATATTCCATTCTAAAATTAAACATTTGAACAAATAAATTTCAGTGTTAAACACTCAACAGCCATCACTCCAAGCAATAAAACTTCCTTGAGATATGTTGGCAAGTATGTTCCCATTAATGCTGCAGAAAAGCACATCAGAAAATGACATTGGAGTTGCGCCAAAAAGGGAATGGATGTAAAAATATTTTTAAAAGGAACATCTTTCCAACTCTATTAAAAAATAATGTTATTCATTGGCTTAATTCTTTATGCACACCTTCCCTGTTTTCTCATTTTGCGTTTCGTTGGTCCATATCAGAAACCTTTTTTCTTCATCTGTTATGGTTTTGCATGAGTTTGGTGACGAGGAAGCTATCACAACCCATAGCACACACCATACGATAGATATTATGCCTTAGACATACTTTTAACACCAAACTTGTAGATCACTTACTTCCTAAATAGAAAACCGAAGACCAGCCTAACGAGCTTTTACAAAAAACTGCGGCAAGAGGAGATTCACCGACTCCAGCAATCTGAAATAGTAAGTTAATGATGAGTAAAGCAGACATCCCACTTGTTCTCCAATAGCATTCAATGCTAAGGCTGTACCTCTCTCACTGACAGGGAACCAATTCGATATTAAAGTGTTGATAGTTGGAGTGACAAAACCCTAGAACAATCATAGTTTAAAAGGTAATCCAAAAAGTTATTGTTTACATCTCCTAGCCCTAGTATGAACCGCAATAAGAAGGCTGCTTGATATCCACCCAATTTGGCAGCTAAAGGAATGAATGAATTAGCGACTGTATACGTTAGTAGAGCAACAAATAATATTTTCTTAACAGAATATCTGAAAAAGTTTGAACGTTGGTTCTGGGTATTATGAAATCCATCGAAGTACGTTTGAAGAAGGAACATAGAAGGCAAAACTGATAGAAATGCTCCCCAAAAGGCTCCGGCAAACACGAGGTTCTGTTCTTTTTGAGTCCATAAAAGTTTTCCCTGAATTAGAAGAAAAATGAGAATATTATTAAAAGAGATAAGGAACTCCGTAATCAATATTTGGATAATCAGGATTGTCAGAGTTTTTACATTTTCCCGTGTAATTGGCTGTGGGTGAGAGAATAGACAGAGACGTTTTGTTGTTTTCGAGGATATTGATGGCTGTTGTATTGACCATACAAGTCATTGTCATGTCAATGGCTGACATCATGTAAGTTGTACAGAAAGAACTTAACGATAGTAGCAGTATGATTTGTAATCGTTTCGATGACACTTTGAACAATGCTGTAATGATGAAAGATATTTCATAAGTTGAAGCTTACTCCCTACGGTATTTGGACACGAGAAGATGTTGATTCTCCTTAATTGCATTGTTGAAGAACGTGAAGACTACCATTTGTGAAGTAAAGAAAGAGTGAGAAGTTAGCAATTCAATACTTAAGCTTCTTCTATCAATAGGAGACTACTTATGTGCGTCATTGCTTATATCTTTTAGCTACTCTTTTTCTTTTTGATAAGACTGCTATTTTGATTTTTAAGGACATTCTGTTTTTCAACGATGAATACAAAAGAATGAAGAACTGGAAAACTTCCGATTCGAAAATTAGAATACGTGACTTTAGATTGACGTGAGAATAGTCGACTGTAAGCACAATGCCTCATTTTCATTGCGCGCAAGGGCAATGTCGGTCGTTCATGGAAATAAAACTAACCAAAGTAGAAACAATTTCATGTTTTTCTTCCTCATTTTCTCTCTCTCTCTCTCTCTTCTTTTCTCTCTCTCTCGCACTCTCTACCTCTTCTTCACTCCCTCTCAATAAAGTTAAAATTCAATTTTTTTTTCAAGATCAAAAAACGATCAAGTAAATCTTGGTAATTACTTATGTGCGTCTGACAACCGTTTTTGTGTTAAAATCAAAACTGGTCTTCTTTAGATCTTTTTCAAATAAATTTCTTTTCTCTTTAAGGTCACCGAGCTTCCGCTCAGACATTTTTCTTCAACTTGTTCAAAATGTCTGTCTATCTTATCGATGACCAGAAGAACATTTTCATTTTCATAGTCTTCAAAGATTTATTGCAAAATTCATTCATTTGTTTGTCTCTCTTTCTTTTTTTATTGGAACTGTTCGCAAAATAACATAATTTTTGCTGTATTTTATCGAATGTACGATCGGTAAGGTATAACTGGACAACATGTATAACAGGCCGTTTCAACATGGACTTTCAAGTATTTTCTGATAGATGAACGCTTGATATGGCTGATGTTGTTTCAATTTTATTTCCCTCTCACTCCATTCAACTGATTTCAATCTTTTTTTATTTTCTTTTTATTTCTTATTAATCAAAACTATTTCATGAGTTCCACTTATCCTTTAACTTCTTTTTCTCTTGTCGCCTTTTGTTCGAACGACCTTAGGTGCACTTTTCCTTCCTTGTTCGTTATCAACCTTCTTCATACAGGTCAATTGAGATTATTTAAATCGTTTTAATACAAAATTCATTTTTATTTCCTCACTTTTCTTCTTCACAACTTGTCAATTAGTCTTCTTTTTACCTTTGTCTTTGATTCACTACTCTTGACTGTTCTGCAATGTTCTTCTTCCCTCGCCACTCTTTTTCCTCTCTCTCTTACTCTCTTCTCTTTCTCTTTTTAAAAAGAATCTTCATACGTTTCACTGTCTATGTCTCCTCAGATTTTCACTGTATTTTCGCGGAATGTCACATGTTGCCCTTCAACTCACAGTTCTCGCTCCTTTCTGGCTGTTACTTAGCAGGGTTGATGCTAACCTCAACCACATGGTTGAACACTATCTCTTCGAACTAGTTTTCTATAGAATCGCCCATCGTAGGCACAGGCAGAGCCTTTCATGACCATCATAACCAATTTTCTTTCGATTTATTATAAACGACAAGCATTACGCTGCTCACTCTGTTTCTAAAAAGAGAAAAAGAGAAACATATGATTGTTTTATGCTGGTGAGTGTGAAAGATAAATATTCATCTGATATCTATCAGATATCAATGAATTATTTCAAACTGTTCTAGATGAAGATAATCTCGTTTTCTTCTTGTAGTTCATCGATTCAATTGTCTTATGTCCTTCACTAGATGTGTACGATCAGTGACAATACAAATAAACAATCAAAATTAATATTTTTCTTTTTAAATATTTATTATTTTAATTCTTGAAAAAAAATTTTTTTTTGTTTCTGTGTTTCTCTGTGTCATCACTGTTCAACAGTCAATGATGGTTGGCGTTTTTAATTCTGTTTACTGAGAGTGACTTTTCTCTCTCTCTCTCTTTCTTTTCCCTCTCTCTTCGAAAATTCCCTCATAACCTCATTTCTCATAATTTTCTCTCTCAGTTTTTTACTCAATAAGGACAGCATTAAATCAAAGGTTATCCAAGAAACATTTCAACAAAAGTTTTCTCGATTATGTTAATTAGATGACCTTATTCATAACACATTCCCTCCCCTCTTACACTCGGTTACTCTGTAATCCTGGCTCTCTCTCTCTCTCTCTTTCTCCATATCTTCATTTGACTCCTCTAGGTTACTCTATTCTATTTCTGATATTCAACTTTCATTTTATGAATTTCTGGATTTTTTCTTGTTTGATGTTTAGAAATCATTAGAATTGCAATCGGTTCAGCAATCCTTCACAACTGCCAATGTAAATATTTTTTGTTCGAAATCAGACATTTAAACAGTAGGAGTAAGATGAAATGAATAGAGAGAGAAGGAGGAATGAAGTTAAAAAGAGAAAAAGAAAAAGATAGAGCGGAGATCGTGATAGAGAGAGAGAGAGAAAGAAAAAAAAATTCGAACCGTCTAACAAACTATTTACGTATGTTCGATTCTCCCTTTAAGTGATAAAAAAGACATTCTGAAGTATTCTTGAATGCGCAAAGAAATTTGAATATACCATCGAATACCTTATTTATCCATATAAAGTCAATACGTTAGACGTCAACATAACGAAGCGAATTTAAGAATTTCTTTTTGTCGCAATGTTTAATTCAATTTTTCAATCGATTTAATAAGAAAAGGTAGAAAACAAGCAATTCAACGAGATTCAGAATTCCTTGTCACATTAATCGTATCAATCAGTTCTTCATGACCTCAAATACTCATTCAAAGACAAAGCTTATAGTGATAAAATCTTTTGCGAGTTGAAAACATTCTATGATGTTTTTTTTTGTAAACAAACAAATCATTATAAAAACGTTATTTAAATTTTTTTTCTCAGTATGACCAGCCAGACGGCTTATTACAATACTGACGAATGCATTTCTCAGTTTGTTTTATGAAAAAAAAATTAAGTTCTGCTTTTCAAATATTAATCTTTACCATACTCCTTTTACGATCCAAATGAACAAATGAAGGGAATAGCCAAGTTTATGCTTTCCAAATATGGACAACTCAAAATAAATTGGAGGTTCATCCTCATACTATTCTGGATGTCGATCACGTTCTCACTTTCCTCTCGATGTTTTTTTCTTTTTCGTTTTACGGTCAATGCTTTTTAATTTTTAATATTCCTAATCCTGTTGTAAACTGCTTTTCTCGAGCGAGAACAGTTATTTCATCCTAATAAGGCTCGTTATTACAGATGCAGCAACAATATGCTCGTCCTCATCCAGGAACTGCCCGATTATTCTCCTTCGTTCATGAATCACCGTAAGTTAGAAGTTTTTGTTTCTGGTTTTCTCTTTTTCTCTCTTAATTTGCCAGTTTATTCGATCTCAATGTCCATTCCATAGCTGGTCTTGCTATCAAATCTATTATCATCAACAAGCATCATCAGACAATTTATCCTGTTTTCTCAATAAATACTAAACATCACGAGTCATCATTTCATTTTAACACTGTTCATTTGAACTGTTTACCGATTTATGCTAAGAAAATCAATAACCATTTAACTCATTTGCCTACGTCATGAATTCAGGCGTGAGAGCCGATGGAGTCCGGGAGATCACGCGTATGAGGAGTTCAAGAAAATTGTAGTTCTTGCTGGAGCTTTCTTCTTTGTTATTATCATATGCGTTATGTCCAAATTACAGGTGATAACAACACATCACTTGTTTTTATAATGTTTATTTGTTGGAGGTTGGGCCTGAAGATGTACTACGATGGTCACCCATTGTGTGGCTTATTGGTGTGTGTACAGCGGGAGCAATCATGAATTTCATCTTCTATTGCCAGAAGAAATATCAGGAGAAGAAACGGCGACGTCGAAATGTCGAGGTAATTTTCACATAGTTATGACCTCACCTAATTTGCATAAAAATGACCAGCACGATAAACAAACTCACTTCTCATTTCAAATACACTTTGAGCGGTTGCATTCCATTTTCCTCATTTCAGTTGGAACAGTTGTATGCATTACCGATTCCTCTCTCATTTCCTTGTTTGGCACCTCCTCCGCACATCGACTGCTGTCGAGCAGGTTCTGTAATATCATTACCAACCTATGATGATGTAGTTCGAGAAAAAGAAGAGGTATTTCACAATCACTTTCATCATTAATAAACAACTCATGTTAGGAAGAGCTACCTCCTGCGTATGGCGATGCAGTTGCGATGCTCCCTCAAACAAACAACCCGTCTCCAGTTTAAAATTCATGTTTTTACTTTTGTTTCGAACTTTTAATAAGCCTGTAGATAGCAAGCCATTCAAGCTTAAAGCAATACCGCCGTTCAGGACCATTAATGATTCCCATTCCATATTTCACTTCGATAGGTATATATTGGCCTCTCACCAATGCTCACGGGTCTTCTTCATGTTTTTAAATGTATGTTTTGCAAGAAAATAAAAAATTAACTTTTTTGAAGTTGATAACGTACAAAATAAACAAAACAAAACATGGTTCCGATGCTATTCACACAATTCAGAACGGTTATAACACTAGTCATGTGCAAAGTAAAACTACTAAGAAAGTTGTAAAAAAGAGAATCTTTTATGCAAAATAAGTTCTCTATAGTATTTACTTGCTCTTCTTGTTTTCCTTTGTCGAAACGGCTTGATATTTGGCCTTTCCACCTCTCAATACGTATGATTGGAGGAAGAAGTTGATGAAAAGGAGGAGGTAGGTGATATCCATGAAAGATGCGAGGTAGAATACGTTCGTATCGAAATCACATTTGACCTGAACGAAAAAAATATTTCAAGAATTTTTGAGATTTCCTACTCCTTGAATGTAGACAAGAACTCCGATGTGAGCAAGAACAGCGCAAGAGATGATGAATTGGAGAATTTGAATAGAAGTGATGAACTTAGCAATGATTCCAGGAACTCGGATCTTCATTGAGCGCAAGAAGTAATACCTAGATTTCATTCAATCTTAAATGCAAAACATAATTGAAGAATAACTTACGAGTACATGAAGGCATGAACGAAGAAGTTCAAGAAGATTCCATATCTGTTAAATCCGGGAGTGGATGGGTGAGAGTAGAAGGCGTAGATCAAAGTGAGAATGTGATGATACCTGAAAAATTGATAATATGATTCAACCTATAATGCTCGTGAACTCACCAATGGAGGAACATGAGAGGTCTTTTGCGGAGTACAAGGAAAACGGTGTCAGTGAGTTCAAACAACTTAGATACGATGAAGAGCCAAACCCAATAACCATTTTCTCCCTTAGTAAAGTCATAGGCATAGCAGTATGAGTCTGAAAATAATATTTAAAAACTAACACTGATATTCTTTTGAGATTTGTTTTGAGAACCAGTTTTTTTTATGGAAGGAATACTTCTGAACAAACTGATGACCCTGAGTTGAAGGACTGATCAAAAGAAAGACGACCCCCAAGCTTTGCCACGATGGAAAAAAGATACTTACTGGTGAGTCCCTTGTTTTGGATTGTTCCGAAGAAATCAGGAGCGAGCTTAATTGTTCCAATAATAGAGAAAGCGGCAAGGATGAAGTTCCAAATATTAAGAGGGACAAAAAGAGCGAAGGGTTGACGATTTCTCATGAAGAACTTGGTTCCAAAAACAACAACAACGTACAAGATGGAAGCCTTAAAAAAACTCATGAAATTGCTCTCGTATAGGTGTTTTGTACCTGAATTGTTAAGTCAAAGTGGTCAGCAACCCACTTGCGACCCTCTTTCTCTGGGAAGTTGGTTCCTCCATGAGTAGCCAAGGAAATGAATTTCTTGGTGTCAACTTTGACATCCAGGAGACGTTCCAGGAGTGGGTGCGCCATGATTTGTTACCTGTAGAATGAAAACTAAGGTATAGTTGAATTTGATAAGAAAAATCGTTGATAGTACTAAGTCCAAAGAAGATAAGACACTTGAAAGATCTTGGCAAATATAATTCGAACACACAATTTCCAAAAATCCCAGTTGGAATTGACGGCTGTTACCAACACATATGACATTGATTGCAATGATGATGCTGATGCAACAGTCCCATCGGAATCAAAAATGGTTGAGAGGAAATCGCGTAAAATCAATAAAAGAACTTTTGTAAATAGTAACAGCGATTTGAAAAAACTTAAACTATACTTTCCAAAACGGTTGATAGAAAGTAGGAGAAAGCAAGAAGAAAAGCAGCATGGCATAGGAAATGATTTGGGGGAATGGCGCGAAGATCACCCCATCGACAAAATTGAAGAACAGACGCACCGCCGACTATCTGCGATAGTAGAGACGATAGAAACTCCGAAAATGCCAAAAGAAATTACTCTTGCTGCTATCAGTTTTATAATCGTAAATCCAACACAAATGTTTAATTTCGGTCAGAGTTGGAACAGATACAATGCTATGAGCAACAATGTAAGAAAATGACGTAAAAAGTTTAAAGTGAAAGAGAGACAAATGATAGTTCAACAAATCCATCTCAGCTCTGCCTGAGTACGTAGTTGTCCGTTCAATATTTTGTGAACTAAAAATACAGTAAGAAGATAAAAAAAAGTTTAAACTTCAGTCAATATTAGCACTGCCCTCCGACCTCACAATTACACTGCTTGATAGGACGTGAAAGAGATGATTACAAGGTTGCAAATTGTTTCCTCTAACACACACACATACAAATTGTTCAATATTCTCAGTTTTTGTCCGTTTCCATAAATATTGTCAAATCCAGTCACATTAGATGAGAACCAATTTTTTTTTAGAAAATTGCATTTTCCTTCTACATGTGTTAAGGAAGTATTCAGAATGATTTATGAAACAACGTGCTGAATGTGAACGTGCACCCATTCAGTCAGCTTTCTTTTCATAACTGGATGATAGTGCGATGTATAACGAACAAATTGTATCATAAAAGCAATAAAATTAGATGTATTATTACATTTGTATTGAAAAAGTTCATTAAACATGTAATTTTGACAGAATGCTCTATCTATTGAACTTGTTTTCAGTTGGCCTCGATCTGAAGCTCTATGCAACTCTGAAGTTTGAATGTGAGATTTTGCTACTTATATGGCCTTCCAGATTTCTGTACATGAAAACAAATGTAAGTTTTGATTTTTCGTGGAATGAAACAGATTTCAACTAATCCTAGCTTTCTTCTTTATTTGTCTTTATTTCTCTTTTTACATTACTTAGTGGTTTCCATCTCGATTAAGTGTTTCCGTTTGCTCCGACATAAAGTACATTTGGAAGATTGAGACAGTTTGAAATTGGATTGAATTTCGAAAAAAAAGTCAATTGATGTTGTCTAAAAGATTTGGATAAAGAGGGAACGAGCAGGATTAGACAGATGAATGTACATGGGAGAGAGAGAAGGGGGGGGGATGCATTCTTTTTAAAGGCATGTAACCATACAGAATCCATGAATTCAGCTAAAGCCATGTTCTTTTTCGAGAAAATCTAATAAAATGTGTGAGTTGAATTAATGTCATGGCTTCTTTATCGCCCTGCTTTATCTCTCTTTCTTCTTGTTTTTTTTCAAATTGAATAAGGTCGATGCCCACTTATCTCGCTGCTCCAATGCTTTTTGAAACTTTTTTCCAATTCACGCGATAACTTTTGATCGCAACCTTCATATTTTCCTTGTAGGCTCAATTGAGCATCTCTCATCCAAACAAACAGAAAGAGGAGAGAGAGAAAATTGTTTTTAATAATCCGTCCAACCAAAAATAGAGAAATGAAGAAGAGTAATCTATAGAAAGCTTCCTATGAATTTTGGAGAGTAATCATAATCTTTTATAAGAAAGAGACAGAGCGAACATAGAAATATAGACTAAAGTCTATTACTGAGAAATGATGAATGAGACTCAAATTAGAACACTTTAAATAATTGAAAAGTTCATTAAAAATATGGAAATCAGTAGAAATTCAAAGTTTTCTTAAAAATCTGGTCTCATTCAAGATGCACAACCGCTCTCCGTGTCAATCTCAGATAGAAATGAAAAAAATTATTTTCTTCAAAGCTTAGCTCAAACTTCAGCTTGAAATGTCATCTTATTTATAATTTTTGAAAAAAAAAGTATGACTTTCACTAAACAAGAAAGAGAGAACGAGAGTGGTTGCTGACGGTCTTGTAGTTTATTTACGAAAATATGCCGCATGTTGTCATTCATTAAGCATCCGTTCCATATTTTCTTTTTTCGCTTAATCTACTATAATTTGTTCGCTTTAAGATTTCAACTTTTCTAATAATTTTGTTAATCGATCGGAAATTATAACGTCAAAACTTCCGGAAGCTTTTTGTCAGCTACATATTCTTCCTACTCTTCTCTCTATAATAAGGCTACTTCTCTATCTATCTCTTGAGCCTTTTAATTATGCAAACTACTTCTTCTTCTTCACTGACACTTTTTCTGTCAGATTAATAGGTTTCTCATTACTCTCTGTTTTGCCTTATTTATTGGTCATCTCTATACTATTTCTATGCTGTTCCTCTAAGCTTCTACTTCCCTCTTTCTCTCTCTTTGCCTTACATTTACTCTCTACTTTGTTGCTCTTGCTCTCTATGCTCCTTCTGTATCCCCACCTCTCCTTTTACTCTTCCACCCCCTTCTTTTTCTCGATTTCTATCCCTCCCTTGCTATTTCTATTCCTCTATATCTGCTTCCATTCAAAGGTTTCTTTGTCTGTTTCTTTGAATCTTTTTTCAGAACCTATTCTCTCCCTCTTTGACTTGTATAATCTTTAAAGCATAACAATTGAATATTTTTTTTCTCTCAAAATGCACAAGAACCCACATTTTCCGGACTACTTCAGACGAAATTTGATTTTTCGTTTCGACATGTCTTACTACTGCCTTGACGAGTTTGAAGACGATGGCGTTGCCGATTTATTGAGCTAGAAAATTGAAAGACATAGTTTCAAAAGTAGACGCAAATGATTCAAAAGAGCCTTACTCTTTCTAAGCGTTTTTTCTCCATTGTTGCCTATTAAGAAATAATTTGATTTCTTCTCTAATTTCTTCCTGGCAACAATACTAGATCTCAAGTACCCGTAATTTAATTTTTGACTTTTGTTTCAAAAATCCAGATCAAACAATGTTTTTTTTTCATCAAAGCTTTTACTCTTTTTTTTTATTTTACACGAAACTAATCAGCATATTTATCCCACGTAGTTAGGCCATGCCATTTCCACGCAAATGACGTGAGGTTCCACGTAAAGTTCATTCTCTAATTTCAAATGATGAATAAACGGTTGCTTCCCACTTTTGTTCGGCCGCTTTCGTTCTTTCTTTATTTTTGGCTGCTTGTTGTTCATGTAAAAATTTCCCTTTTTTGGTTTAAAAATTTCATTGATGTCAACAAGCGTTCAGGAATCAGTTTGTGGCTTCATAATTATATGAATCGACTTGACTATTCTATCAGATACGAGGCTTAATGTTAGCTTACATGCCATGAGAAGAAGTAAAATCTTTGCGAAAGTATTGCCAACGATGGTGCAAGATTGTTTAGTCACACTATTTGAATGAGATATGAAAAGAATAAGCACTCGATTGGAATATTGAGAGAGTTGGTGAACTAACAAGTAAAAGGGAAGTGAAAGATGAACACATCATTCTTTGTCTGATCCACTTGGTTGACTCCAAATGCATTACAAAATTGTTTCATTTGTGTCTTAAACCATGAAACAAACAAATTCTTTTTTATTTCTAATTTCAATTATCATAACAGCAAAGCAAGAGAATTATTCAGAGAATATGGAATAAGAATCCTTATTGGTTGAAAAATTGTTATTTTACATCTTAGATGTCACCAGCTCATTCTCTTCAATCGTTGAAGGCGAGAAGCTTTCTAACTTTACTCGTGGGAAAAGCAACTTCTGATATTCAATGATCATTAAATATCCTTTTATACAATTCATATCTTATTTCCATATTATATGTATACATTTATATTCTCTGATCATTATTCTTTTAAGTTAAATCTGCACCTATTAGTAGGAAAGTGAAGGAAGAGATTGCTGAATAAGAGAGAAAGACAAAGAGAGACCAAACGAATTCTGATTTCTATGTATTTACTGAACATTATAAGAATGAAAAATAACATTTTTTTTTGTTTAACAAAGAAGCGACGTTGTAAGCTTTGAATTTCATAAAAATTTGGCACAAAGTTCTGTCTCTGTTTCTCCAATTCTCACCTCTTACATCCCTCCCCCTAACCCTTTCATTCTCTTATACATATATTCTCATATCTGGGCATTCTTTCATGTTATTATTTCAAGAAAAAAAATGAATTTAGTTTTATAAAAATGAAAAACGACCTTTCTATTTATCATTTTGCAAACATTTTTCAACTTGAGAAAACTCATATAGGCGTGCTAGATGCATGCCTTAGCTCTGGGAATGAAGATATTTGTTGATGGAGTACATAGGAAATTCGATTTTTCTTCCATTGGCCCCATATATGGCCATGTTTAATATAAATATTGTTAACTATAGTTATCATATCGTTAGTCTATTTATATATCTACATCCTATACACATCTATATTCATTTTTGTTTTGTTTTTTTCTCCACATTTCTTTTTCTCATTTTCATCAGCAGCTGAGGTTGTTGAGAGTGAAAAGGTGAGAAACAGGAGTTATTCAATAAAATATGAAAAGCAATCAGGTGAAACTAAAGATTATAAAGTTGATAGATAAATGAAATGTGAGAGAAGAAGAGATGAATGCCAAAAAAACCTTTTACCTCTGATAGTCGGGCTCTTAATGTCAATCTTCCCTTTCATCTTCGTCTTCTTCTTCCTCTACCACCAACTATGGTTTAAGCTCAAGTAAGCTTCATAAGAACAACTGTTTGTTGTCAAGGAGATTGATATTTATGGGCAGAGAGAAAAAGAAGAATTTCAAAACTACTAAGCTTTTTTCGAAAAAAAGAAAATCTGTCAGGAACGCTTGATATTATTCTGAAATCTGCTACGGAAGTGAGAAGATTGTTTTTTGTTTCGAATTATTTATTCTTGGTCCGTTGTTGAAATATTATTCCAGTCTTGTCTTTAATTCATAATACATCTGCCATGTTCATTCGATTTTCTGCAAATTCAAAAGCATTTCACATCCTAATGATGAGATGAATGCTAAGCTTATGTGGATTCGGTGTTAGTTTCTTTCGTTTTTGTCTGACATTCCTGTCTTGGCACAAGTCTGCCCCAATGGACTCAAAAGGCAATTAGAACATCTTCACAGAGAGAGAGACAGAGAGAGATAGAGAGAGAGAGAAACATATCGCTCTTAAGCTTATTTTCTCGTTGGCGATTTCTCTATTGCCTACGACAACTTAACTTTTCTATGGATTGATCATCCTTTTGCAGTGTCTTTTCTGTTTGAGTTCTCATTTCTCCAACTTCATTGCTGTGCGGATGAGAGTGAGAAAAACATCATTCTTATGCTGCAGATCAATGAGATTTCCACTCAATCCATCTTATCAATTTCATAAAACAAAATATATTTTTCATAGCATCCAATAGCTTCTCAACTGATTGCCAACTGTTTACAAATCCTTTTCTGCGATTCACTCAAAGAAGAACATATTCTGCAAGCTCTATCATCCATAAGCATACAATTGTGTTTTATTAAAATATATTCGATCAAATAAAATCAGAAAATGAGTTTTTCCGTGAAATTTGATTACATTTGAGCTCTTCAAAAGTAAAATCTTACGTGTAGTTGTTGTTTTTGCAGTTATTTCTCTTCTTCATACCATAGTTGTTGAGGTTTGTTGTTGGGAACAAAAAAAATCGAAGGAAAAGGACGAAGCGAAGAGAAATTCAATCAGATTTTTAATTTTATTTATTATTTAATTTACTTTGCAAATGACAATGATCACTAAATGTGCTTCACCTTCGTTTGCATAGCTTTCGTTCTCATCATCATCTCATCTGACAATGACTTCGTAATTTCTTCTCCTTAATTGATAAGTTTATACATGAATCTTCAGTTCCCGTATAGCATTTCCATAAACTTGAGCTGAAAAATCCAAAGAAAATCTTTCAGACTTCTAACTACTAGGCTTAACCTCCTTTTCCATCTTTCTTACTCTCTATATCTGACTCCGTCTCGCTCGACACTAAATTTATCTCCTATTTCTTCTCTATAAGCTAGTCTTATCCCTCTCCACATTCAATCTTTCTTCAGATTTTCTGTTCTTCTCCCTCTTGTTCGTCTTCAACACCAGAAGGCTGTTTTGATGTTAATTGTTTTTTATTGTTATCGATCTTTCACACCTAATATTTTACAGGGCGATTCATACTTACGTAGGCGTAGAATAGACGAACCATTCGTTTCATATTTTCAACGTCCTGATTATGCACAACTTTTTTCTCTTAAGGTAAGATTCATTCCACATATATCATCTGAATGTTTTGTTCTTTTAGCAGTCGTGAGCTTGCTTCCGATCCCGAGAACTACCGATGGTTCTTCCCATTATTCACAAACAGCTCCTTATTACTGAATTCATCCCTCATGACGGGATTCTCGTCACTTCTAGCGCTTGAACTATTCATATTATTATTAGCTCTCATAGTTAACTCAGCTTTAATAGCAGCATTACGGTCTTCCAGCCTTATTCATATAAATCTCAAACTCATCTGCATAGCTCATCTAGTGGAATTTTATTTTTTAGCGACTGCTCAAATTATACTTATATGCTATCAATCAGGAATTATTTCTGATACAGGTGAGTATGAAATGCGTTCTGCAGCTCCCAGCTGCAGAAGCATTCAAAAGATTCAATAGGCTTGGCATCTTTAATCCAAATCTGTCTTAACTCCTTCTCCTCTAATGTGGGAGAAAAATCTTTTGAACGCATTGAACAGAGTTCTTCTTAATCATCTATTCTTTTTTTTCAGATACATTATTGAATGATATATGTATTACTTTAACCGGCTTCTGCAAAGTGCACTACCTCTGGTCCATCATATTGGTGCAAGCGGCTACTGTGTTTGAACGAACGGTTGCTACTAGACATATTTCCAAATATGAGGTATAATATTTAGTTTGAATTCGAAATTTTAATATTTTCCACGTAGGTGATGAAAGGCAAATACATTGGAGTAACTGTTTGCATCATTAAATTTCTTCTTTCGTTGATCATTACATTAGTTATGTTATCTCTCCGATTACAATTCTCAGTTGTTTCCATCCTCCTACTAGCTGTCTTGCTCATACTCACAACGGTATTATTCTTCTGTTTATCACTTGTTTAATTATGTTAATTATTCAGTGGTATGTCATACTAATGAGAAAGAATCGTCGAATTCTCGCCGGATGCACTGTAGCAATGTACTCACTAAGCTCCAAATATCAGGTGACAGAGAACATTCGCATATTATCGGTGAGTATAATCAACAGATCTTTCTAAAACTTATTTTATATCTTACAGTTAGTTAGAAATTTGTTTGTTCTCGATACAACAGCTCTGTTCCTAATAACAGGACCAATGGCAGTATTCCGCTGGTTTCCATCCTTCCTCTACGTTCAGCCCTTTCTTGTTATTGCCTTAGAAATTATGATGGCAGCGTATGTTTTCTTTTCTTTTCAAAAAGAAGATGAAGGAGAGAGAAAAAAATTCTTCTTCTCTCTGATGAAATCTACAACCGCTCTCGAGTTCGTACAAAATAAGAATGAAATTTTCATTTAACGCTTCACGTGACAGTGTTTCACGTGGATGTTATGGGTTAGAGAGGCAGTCGTATGTTGATTGATTTGAACTATTTGATGAAAGTTCGAAGATTAATCGGCCTAACAAAGCTAATTCTGAACTATAACATGGAATGTAAAAGGATTTGATTTGAACAAAAAAAAATTGAAAGAGGGTTTTGAATAAATTTATGTTTATATTATAGATTTCCATTGGAAATGCTAGTAATAGTGATGTGGGATTCGAACAAACGTATTCGTATGGCTAATAGGTTAGATCAACGTACAAGGCAGCGTATGTATTCGAACATCGATTACAACTTATGGGATTCAGCTGAAGAATCTTTAATTTATTTTAAACAACTCAATAGTAGTTGGAGTAAACAACGACAATAGCATATTTCGACTTCTGAAGATGAAAAAGAAGAAGAAGAAGAAGAAAAAACATTTTTGTTTTAACAAAAATATAATTCTTTCAAAATGGCACTTTGTATGTTTCATTCTCATCATAATCATCATCTGATCTCTCAACAATCTATAAATCAAACGGTTAAGCGAAGCTGCTTTCTTATAAAATTGTTTCGATTTTATTGAATCAAGTAGGTAAATCAAATTGAAACGGGTAACTCATTCTTTATATTCTCAATCTCAACAATCAAAAAGGGTTTTTCTTATAAATCTTTTCAAGTGCTTTATGCTAATTCATTATATGAATATCAACTATTGTATTTGTGTTTATTTGATATAATAAACAATTTTAATTTTAAATATCTTTATTATTATTATTATTAAAATATATAATTTAAATATAGATAATCTATGTAAAATATATTATATAAATACAGAACGGACTTAGCATGTTTGGAAAATGAAATAGAGATGATCATCTGGTCGAATGGAAACAAATACAAAACCTGACTTCTTTATAAATTTTGTGATATGTTTGTATCTCTGATTAACATGTCCGCAGCAGAAAAAAAAATGGTGACAGATCTGAACCCACAAAATTCGTTTATGATCGCCATCACCATACGGTGTATGACGACTATCATCTTCATTCAACTGATTTCTTCATTGATTTTCTTTTATATCAGTGCGAGTTATCAAGATTCAACATTGAGAGATATCTCTCTATTAGTTAACTATTTCTTTTATTTTTCTCTAGTTTTTACTCCATTATAATTTCTTATTAACTTCATACATAAACATTACAACTCATCAATTAAGCTGCGGCATGGAAACATGCCTTGCAAGCATCGTCTAATTGATGTTATGAAAATTCCGAATATCGTTCTCAATAACAATAGTAACGATTAATAATAAATAAATTTTCATTTCTCTTCTATTTTATTTTATTATTTTTGAAAAATATCAAATGAATTATAGATTTTCGATGGATAGTTCAAGGTTATGCTGATACATCCTAACTAACCATTGAAAATTACAGAAATTTTTGAAGCAACATGATTGATTGCAAATAGCTTGAACTTTCATCTTTCACACGTAACACAAAGAAATTCCATTTCAAAGAACAACCGTTTATCTCCTATAAAGGACTTCCAATTTTAAAATAAAAAAAAAGTATTTGTTTGACCTATAGCTGTGATTGGAAGAGAGAGGTCAATGTTCATTAACTATATTTATTTCTTTTGTCACCAGGCTATATATATATATAATCATTCTATTGTAAAAAATATATTCGTAATCATTCAAAAACTGTTTCATTTCCTTCATTTCGCAACAGCTCACCTAAACTCTGTCATACCTTATTTCCAGTTGCGAAGTGATAATTGTCGAAACACCTTAGGGCATTCCGTTTTTCCAAACACTGATTATCAATTACAAATGTTCTAAGTATAATGATTACTATCAAAAAGTTATTTCAACACTAATTAAATCGTAAAGAAACGATTTTTCTTTGTTCAATCCAACCTTTCACCCTTAACTAGTGATTTTCGCTTGATTCTGTATCACACACACACACATACACATACAGCCAGCCCACAGCCCACCAACTTACTAAACTGGTTTTACTTGTGTCCGGTCATCTAACAACGACTGAATTGATTAGTTTTCTCTTTTCTAATACTATTATTTTTCTACAAAAAAAGACTTATATCATACGGACGTTAACTTTAAAACCAATGACATTGGTAGCCTTGATTGATTCTTATTTTTCCTTGTTAGCTCATGATCGACCTGTCCGTTTTTTTTCCAATTACTTTCTTCATTTCAAATTCATTTTTTTAATAATATAATTATAGCCTAACAATTACTTCAACAATTGTTCACATTCAAAAAAGCCATCATTTCCCCATCCTGAATGATTATCATATGTCACAAACGGGGACACTGGCAAGAGCGCATTCGTTAGAAACACCAGGTAACACATTTATAACATTGTTTTCATGATATTCTGCCAACCTCGTCATATCAATGTATGTGTTACGGATAATTAAGAAATAATTGCAACATTAGAAACTCGAAAAAAACTTCAATGAAATGATTAAATTGCAATGGCATTGGCTGACAATTTGAGTGCAATTAGAATATTCCTGTACTCTTTTTCGTACGTGTGGTTCACGTGGGCGTCTGAAAGTTTTTTTTTCAATTTTAATAGCTCGAACATTATAAGCGGTTGTTTTCTACTGTTCTCGCAGTTCGTGAGCGTGGGCAGGGATTTCATAAATAACAATACTTATAACCCTGGTAATTATAGATTCTGAAGATGATGTTGCTACTCCTTCATCCTCAACATCAAGCACTTGTCTTGTTTGTGGCGAAAGTGCTGCAGCCATGCATTATGGCACAATGGCATGCGTAGGATGTAAAGTGAGTTTCAGCTCAATACCGTTCCATATAATGTTTTCAAGGGTTTTTTCCGCAGAGCTTTAATGAAGGCAGATCAGCTCGAATGTTTCAACAATGGTCGTTGTGTTATAAACAAAAGTGAATCTCAAACTGCATACAATTTTATCAAATGATATATTCAGATTTGAGAACCACTTGTCGGAGTTGTAGATTTCAGAAGTGCCTAGAGTCGGGTATGCAGCCAGGAGGTATTATGACATCATCCATGTTTTTTGAACTGTATAAGTTTTAAGCTGTCAGACCGTGTCGAGATAGTTTGGCGAAATTGAAAAAGATCGTTGTGGAAGAAAAGAAAACTGAACCTGTGAGTTTCAACTAAACAAGATTGTCTCATGTTCGCTTTAGCCTGTTTCACAAATTCCAAAAACGAAGGAAGAATGGATGAAGAAAATGACAGTCGGCATGAGAACACTATTGATGAACTTATTAAATATCGAAGCAAGAGTGATGAAGGTTATAATAAGGATGCCGTGGGTTAAACCAAAGTATCTATATAGGGTGACACCAATGAAGATATACACTCCCTGTATCCACTTAATGTACATACATTGAAAGAAATCATTGAAAATCCAAATATACTGAGTGGGAAACGATCTCAAGTAAGTATAGAATGGAGAATCGATAAGAAATATATACGAATACTTATGTAATTCAGATGCGTTATGAACCTGACAGAATGGCTAAAAACAGTGAGTTATCCACAATTGCCTACAGGCGACTGATTGCTGCCATTGATTGGGTTCAAATGCTTTCGGAATTAGTTGGAGATATTGATGTGAATGATAAAGTGAAAAGACTTTGAACCATTCATCACTTTCAATATATGTATTTTCAGATTGCTCTGATTAAGAGTTGCTTCCTTCCATTGATGGTTTTCAAGTTTGCCTCTCGTACTGCGGAAGCAAGTAAAGATAAAGATATTTTGTGTTTATGCAACTTCGCTTATGTTCCCCGTCATATATCAGAAGCATACGCTGATTCCTAGTAAGTTGACTTTAGTTAAAGTTGATAGATACGCTTCTTACAGTCATTTGAGTAACGGTCTAGTTGGACGAGCTTTAGATGAACTTGTTACTCCATACAGAATCTATGGATTCCGGGAAGAGGAGATTGTTTGTATTTCTGCAATGATAGCACTTAACCCCTGTAAGTAGAGCTTACTATAGCATTAGACTTTAAGCTTATATCCTTATCATTCTCATTATACCTTCAGTAGCCCGTGATCTATCTCCGACAAGTTATACAAGAGTTCTGGAGTTTCGAAACAAAATACAAGACGTACTCTTTCACATAATCAAAGAAGCACGGATGAGTGCTAATCCTGCTATATCATTTGGTAAAATTCTGCTTTCACTTCCTACGGTTACGGTTAGTCATATCAAAACCTCTAAAGCAGTATTCTCACTATCTCTCAGAGCCTTGCCAATTCTATGTGCGAAAATTTACAATTTGCCCAAACGTTCTCGCCTCATGCTATACCCTTAATTACGGATCTATTTGGGTTTGTCTCACTTGAGTTCCAAATATCATTTTTCCAATTCAGATGCTTCCCGGTTGAGCCATTCCCAGATGAAGATAATAGTCAGAATTTGAATTGCCTGTCGTATGACAAAGGTTGTCAAACAGATATATCCCATATGAATCAAAAACGTAACGTAAGTTTTTGATTTGCGCATAAAGCAGAGGAGGAACTTTTCTTTAGAACAAAAGGCGAATGGAAGACATAGCCGAGGACGAGCCTGAACATTTCCGTTTGCTTCAACCACCGGGAAATTTCACATTGACTGAAATGTTCGATGATATATCCCAAGATGGAGAGAGCGATGTAAGAAAAACTTTGTCTTTTGTTCTTTTGGAAATTCTTGATTTATCTAGATCTTTTATGATTATGGCCAAACTACTGGCGCTCTTCCACCAATATCTACCTGGGCTACAAATTACGTTCCAGTTCCCGCTGGTCCTTCTTACCAGCAAGAATCTACGCAAGCATATACAGAAAATTCAAGTCAGTGGTATCCGCAACAAAACATGCCAATAGAATCGGTGCAAGATGTACACGTTCCTTGGAATATGGCTGGAGACCCTAATGCATATCATCAAATGAGTCAGCCACAGCATCAGTATTACTAAACTTTCTATTTTTTTTTGTTTTTTTTTGCTTTTGTTAAATCTTCCGACGAGTAATCAAACCACGGAAAACGGGTTACGTACTAACCTTCTGGTTGAAAGCCTATATGTTCGGCTAAATTTATTTACCACTACCGAAGTGAGAAAAAAAAATAAAATTTACATGAAAGATATGTCTTTTTTGATAGCACTAAGAGATCAGAATTCACAGGCCACCAGAACCACTCTTAATTCAAATGTCTACATAGACACTCTAGGGTCCACCAAGTAATTATGAAAACTATTCTGTGTTAAGGAAGTTTAAGAAAGAGTACAGATGGTTGAAACTTGGAACTTATCGATTTCTCGAAAGTTTCATCGCATACCCACAATTGGGTCATTTAATTCTTTTCTTCCTAGTCACTTCTTGAGATGGTACGTTTTTTTTTTAAAATCAGATCTTCTTTAGGTCCATTACTGGGTAGAAGTGAGATTTTTATTTTCAGAAAAAACTTTCCAAAAAGGCTTCTGCCGATGAGCAGAAAAAAATTAACAGTCTTATTGTAAGTTGAATGATTATTCCAAACTGACAAGAGGTTTCTTTAGATAACGTTAGGATTATGTACTCTATCGTTTGCCCACTATATTGTCAATCCACTCGCATTGCCTCCGGCTACTATGCTCACAATTTCCTTGGTATCCACAATTGCATCTTTTTTGCCTCTGGCGTCAGCGTATATTAGCTTCTCCAAGAAAATGAAATAAAGATTATGTGAAACATCAATTGAATTCCTTTGGGCTTCCAAAACTTAATCTTGATCTGAGTGTTTCCTAGCACTATGTCCTTACAAATAAATAACACATTTGGCTAGGGCAGCCAAGATGTTTTTCATGTTTAGGTTCTTCCCTTCTACAACAGGAGTTGGAAAAGCTGCTTATCCGTTTCGAATCTCATAGAATTCGCCTTATCCTTCGGGATCTGCGCGGAACGGTATCGGAGTATAAAATGAGGTTCGGGCTTGCAGGCAGCAAATTATATTTCATATTCCGTTCCTAATTATTATTCCGTCATATAATGTTGAAAGTGTGCATTCTGGCATTCGCACTCATAGCTGTCTATGCTCATAAAGACATGGCTTTGACTGAAGTAGCAGACGAAATATCTTATTTGGCAGATCAAGAGCTAACAGAAGCAAAAAAAGCCGGGAGCACAGATCAGGTATAAAGAAAGAGAAACTCAGAACACTGTTTTTAAGACCGTAAGAGAACAATTTGACCGTATCCGACCTCGTATGCTTTTTAGACTACAGAGATTATCTGATGTAAGTGATTATTTGGTTTCTGATGAAATTTTCCTGTGACTCTTGAAGATACGCATGCATGCGAATAAATCAACAGCAAACATCTACGGCCCTAAGTATAACCAGCTTTTCAATTCTGTTATGCTCTACAGAAGCAAGTACTTCCTTGCAAAGCCATCTGAAGCAGTAACCAAGCAGGTAAGCTGATGAAACCAGATTATAGAAAACCCATCATCCTTTTAGTTTGCAATCGAAGGATTGACACGCATCAAGAAAGTGTCAACGCAAATCAAGAACAAGAGCAAAAGGCTGTTATAAAAATCGGCATAATATTTATTATTTAACAACTTGAACAACCCGTTGATTTATTAAATGTACTGATAAAACTTAATTAAAACGTATTAATCTTCATATGACTGAGATATCTTCTAAAACACCGTAATCGTCTGTATTTCGGCTACCCAGTGTCGAACTGGAAAATGCATGTTAGAGGTAGGCGAAATTTTCTAACCTTTCATCAACAAAGTGATTCGTCATCAGACCATAGTCAATTTTCCGAGAGTTTAGTGAGGAATCGGAATCTGTTCCTGTGATATGGGCATGACCAAGATGTCCAAAACATGCCACAGCTTCGATAGATCCGTTGTATCTCTCACAAACCTTCAAAACTCATCTTGTTTATACGCAATCAATCTAACTCACTCTAATAAACGCAGGACAATGATCTGAAGTGAACAGATTCCTGCAACAAATATTTTATAATATTTTTATAACTACACACGAAATTCTCCAAGTGAAAAAGACAAGATTTTTCATTTCAAATCATATATTAAAACTGAGCGGTTGCATTCATATACTCACTTCTTCCGATGAGTATGCACACACTTCATTAACCATACTTTTTTCGCATAACGTATTTTTGTTTCCGTACTCCTTGTATAAAACCTAGTAACTGTAGACTCTTCCTTCAACTCTTTCCACAGCTTAAAATTGGATTATATTGGAAGCAAGTACTTTACGAACTTTGAATTCGGAAAAAGTATTAAAGAAGACTCTATGTATCCTGAAGGCCTCCATTTCGTTTACCTGAACAATATTGATGAAATAGTAGAAAAATTGTTAACGTACTAAATTCCTATGAAACTCATCTGCATGAGTTGCCAAGTCGAAGTATGTAGGTAATCTTATTTTGCACGATTGGACAGGACAAACTACATTATCTGGACTTCCAACAACAATACGAATCTCGTTGTGCTCTTTCTCCTTAATTAGAATTGAATTCAGATCGAGTTCATCAGGTTTACCTTATGATTACGGAGGCCTAACTTGGACAGGTATGGTCGTTGGCAAACTTCGCACTCGAATACTGGTCTGTTCCTCCCACTTGTATGAATCTTCTTGAAACGCACATTATCAAACCATCAACATTTTTATCCAACCTTAGCTACCTGTTTGAACCGTCTTGCTTGCTTCACCTCTTCTATTTTCTCTTTACTCAGCCCATGGTCATTGAATAAATGACGATAAAGTCTTCTAGAATCCGGAAAAATAACCCCACAAATCTGAACAGGGTAGGATGAAGACGATTATCGATAAGCACTCACATCACATTCCTCTTCTTTCGAATAATGTTCCATAGATAAAACATCCCTCATTACAAACGCTTCATCTTGAAATATTAAATTTGAAAAAACAGAACGATGCAAAATAAAGCAGCATAGAGGAGGCAGTTTCCACCAATCAATAACATTCCCATGAGTTCTCAAATGCTAACTTCAACCATTTATGGAAATGAGAAAAAATATCACTTTATAGCGAAAATCAAGCATGTCCCAGTGTATTCAGGTTCAATTAACTTGTAATAACAAGACGAATTAACTAATTAATAGAACAAATCTAATAGTAAAACAGTATTTATCTTCCTTTAACTAAGTACACGTTGAATAGAAGTAAGTTTTAGTAGAAATGGTAATCACAAAAGAAAAGCCTTCGAATAAGATTCATGTAAACAGTTCCCCGAATTATTAGTTGCTCTTCTTGTTAGAAGAGTCAGATTTCTGAAATATAGAGGTAAGTTGTTGTAAGTATTGCTCCGGTAAACCTCGTATTCGCTCAGCTTCTCAGCAACTCTGTCGTATTCTTCTTCGAGTCCTTTAGCTTGTGCTTTCACGGCGTCACGATCGGCCTGAAAAATTGAAATTCTCTGAAACTGAAGCGAAAAACATACATAAGCTGATTTCAACTCCTTGGTGAGCTGCTCGATTTTCTTGTTCAAGTCAGATGATTCTCCTTCTCCCTAAAAAAAGCGAACTAGTTGAGCTTCTGATTACCAAACAAACAGCGTTCATAAGAGTCTTTGCTACTTTAGAAGCAGATTCAGCTTGACGCATAGCGGCTTCACTGGCAGCTTCCATTTGGGCTCCACGGTTAAGGAGAGAGATGATACGCTTGATGACTCTGAAGACACAGCTTGAAAGAAAGAAGAATACAACTTACAAAAAGAGAAGAAGGGCGAAGCCAGAGATATAAAAGTTTCTTTGGGCACGGAACAACTTCATGAGAGTGTTGGACTCTGAGCTAGCAGTGTGTACGGTTCTCTCGATGGCATCCTCGTGAACAGAATATTTATGAACTTCTCTGACGGAATCTGGAAATTTTCTGACGTGCTTTTAAATTTTTTTTCTGATACCGGCGAAAAGGATGAAGAGAACGAAGGTGAAGGCGTACGAGTATATGAGTGCATGTTGTCCCAATGAACTGACTAATCTACTCTTGAACAATTTGCTCCAACTAAAAGAGACAGTTGAGAAAGCTTATAGAGCTGAAAACTCACAGTGATGGTCTGATCCATGGGAGGAGAAGAATGAAAGTGAACGCGATTTCCACGTATAGTACAAACGCTACTATGGACCACTGTAATGTCATTCTAAAAACGAAATTGAAAATCAGCACTATCAACGAAAGAGGTAGCAACTGCACGTGAATACGTACTGATCAATAAACAGTGTCAACAAAAATATACATTTATTCTGAAAGGATGTTGAAAGAATAATTTTTAATATCGAAAAAAAGACAACTCAGCGCAGAACTGCACCAAGTATACGTTCAGGCATACTAAAGCACGAAGCTCCTTTCGGAGAAAGAACTCTCTGCTTGCGAGATATCAAACAGGTTACAAGAAAACGAAGAGCTGTAAGTATAAACCGATTATTCAAAGATAACCGGAGAAAACCCAGACGAAAACCGAACAATACCAGGATAAAATACAATTTGCAAAGGAGGAATGAGTTTTCCCGGGTGAAGCAACTCAATTAAATTACATGAAGGTCTATTTTTACAGAATAACTTAAAATATTAAAAATGCGAAACTACACGGGAACGCATTGGAGATTTCTTCAAAACCCGTACAACCTGAAACATAAACCTTGAAAATGTATTACGAAACGCACAAGATTGAAAAATCAATAAAACAACTGTCACGCATGTTTAGATAAAAACAATTTGTTGATACGAGGTATCAGTTGAAAGATTACTGACCTAATTTTGGGCATATCTCAAAGTCCATTCTTTGGCAGTGCGAATGGCTTCGCTCTCATTTGTCTTCCACTGTTCTGCTACATCGGTGGCAAGAGGATCCTACACAAGAAAACATTCATTCCGTCTATTACTACAAAACTCACTTCAGGGTTAGGGGCTGAGAGCAATGCTTGAATAGATAACAAAACAGTACGTATTTGGAGAGCAGGTGACCATTTATCTAAACAAGGCTGAGAATAGAAGGAACCTAGATATTACCTTTCAGAATGTCCAGGCAGATTCTTCCCAATTTATCTATGTTTGGGTGATAAATTTTGGTTACGAAACGAACCTTAAGTGACGTAAGTTAAGAACGATTTCATAAGAATGACTCACCTTAGGAGCCGCCATAGGATATTCTTCTGGTAAGAAAAGTTCTAATTTGAAGATTCCTCCAGCGAAAGGAGAATCAACTGGTCCTGTGATCATAACATGGAAATATCTAAAATGAAAAATTATGAAAATTACTGGATGAGTCGTCAACCTAGCATTCTGCTCATCAGGTGAAGCGGAAATGCCCGGTACAGGGTCTTGCATTAACCGCTGAGTCTCCTTAATAATACGACGAGGTAAGGATGATGCCATCGAACTAAACAGTATTATCTATTAGAATCAAGAAAAAATAAAAAGAAAGACGCGTCATAGAAATCAATAAATCCATATCAAACAAATAATCACCAGGCATATAACCCTTACGGTCCAGAAAAAATTTTTGTTTAACCTTTATAAACTCATATTACAGATCACAGACATGTTTGATAATCAAGTCTAGAAAAATGCGCGAAGAAACGCAACCCTCAATTATTAAATATGAGACGAGTAAGATTTAACAGTAGTACATAACAAGTAAAACCTAGAACAAACTTAAAATGGACGAATAAGTTGGCACATTAGTTTAAAGCTCTTCCTTAACATACTTAGGTTTCAATTCTTCGATTTTTTTGATGAATTCGGTCTTTTCAGTACATCCTTTACAAGTCTGAAACAAAGACTCATGGAAACCACCTCAAAATAAACTAACCTCTCCCCATTCTAAAAGAATATTTTTCAATTCCTTCACTCTCATTTTTTTCAAATCAATTGTCTTCCAATCGAGTGGCTTATCTGCAAGGAGGCATTGCTAATAGAATCGTATATATACATTTTTTGAGACAAAATAATCTATGGTCAAAGTTAATTAGTCACTTTTCTATACACCTCTCAAAGTAACTCTTCCCACACTATCCGAAATTGAATGCAACCGCTACCTAGTAGAAGTAGTTTGGAAATGATAATTCCATTGCAATCATTTACTGAAACATCTCGTACTTACCATATTTCAATTCGCAGATTTGCTGGTCCTTGGTTTTTAACTTTTCGCAGACCTTGGCAGGAGGCATAGACCAAGAGAGTGGCTTTTGAACATCATTCATAATAGAGGTAGCTGATTCGGGTAAGGCTCCAATATAAAAACACTGAAAAAGTGCCGGTTGCGAAGGCATATTTTTTTGTTCATACGAATTTGTTTTCCTTGTTAATAGTTTTAGCACAATGTTCTCTTATAACTTTTCCAATGCTGTCTGGTTTTTTGGCTTCTGCTACTGGTACTTTGGCCATGGCATCAGTTAACACCTTGGTACATACTAAAAAACATCTTAGACAAAAACGTGACACAGTCTAACCTTCGCACTGCTGAGCTGACACTGCAGCAATAACAGCAACCAATAACACAACTCTCATTTCTAAAACCTCTCATATTAGCGGAAAAAATATAACAGAACATAGATAAAAATGTTTTCATGACATTCAAGAGCGAAGAAACAGTAAAAGTTAACGTAATTCTCTACTGAACGCCAAGACTGATGAGAACTTCTAGTCGACGTGTACACTTGAAATGCGCCAGTGATTTTTGAATGGCCCCGATGGTATACAATGGACAAAACCATGCAAAGAAAAACGAAAAATTTTGAATAAAGTATTTAATTAATATTTAGAAATGATTCTGATAAATTACAGTGTAATATGTAGTACTCATGCATATTAAAGAACTGAATGAATACCAGTAGTACTGATAAAAGCAATACTATAAATGGATATCATATTCTACACGGTGTTAACAAGATGATAAGCGAAAGAAGCAGTATAAAATAGTCCGAATTTACATTAACAAGCTCAAGATCAGAACAATCAATTATTAAAAACAGTATGTATGCTAAAAAAAATAATAACACCCGGATTGTTGGAATTCTTAAAACTCCATTGGATTAAGAATAAGGGATAGAGACAAGTGAATGATAAAACGAAAGAAACGTTTAATTACTCCAACTTTTTAGGTTCTAAAAAACGTCTGTGCAAAGGAACAAATATACATAAAAAGGCTGCAAGAAGTGGAGCGAGAGAGAACAGTAAAACCTGGAAAATGGATGTCAATAAGTGAAATGATGATAAAACTCACCGAAGGTATCAATACATCCTCAAGAAGTCTCGGCCTATCGGAATTGAAAGAAGATATTGACTTAGCATTTACGAATTCGAGCTTCTGTGGTTCCTTTTCGAACAAAAACAGTTGAGCTTCTAATTCCTTGTTGCGAACTAAGAATAGGGAAAAGATATAAATATGAACAACACTTCCATTACCTTGAAGAGCGAGGTTTTCTTTCAGAGTAGCTTCCATTTGTGCTTCGACTGCACTTTTCTCATTCATACCCTCAGTTTCCTCTTCTGAATGACAAATGGAATAGAGTAAAAGTACCATGAACTAACCCTTAATTTTTCTCTCAGGTACAGCTTCTTCTTCATTCGGGCAAGGGGGCTCCGGCACACTTTCCTGAACTCCAACATTATATTTGAGTAGTTCGATAAGGTAAGAAAGAGATTCTTCGTGTCCCAAGTGTTTATCGTTCCGGATAGACTCCTGTAGATGATCCACCAAAATGGGAAAAGCTTAATGTTAAGATTAAGACTAATTTTTGAAGATGAGCGAAACCTCTCTCAACTAAGGCTTCATCAGCTAATGCTTCAGCGGCACGTAGCTCCTCTTTAGTATTAAAGTAATGACGTTCCATTTCCTATATGTAAAAATTGAGAAAGTTTGAGAAGAATATTCTTACATCCATAGCAGACTTAGCCATACTGTGTTCGTGCTGAAGATTATCGAAAGCTCTTACAGTTTCGCGAAGTTCTTTTTCAGTGACCACGAGCTGAGTATTCATTGAATCAAAAATCACCTAACAGTATTATATACCTTATCTCTCAAACGAACACACTCTTCTTCAGTTGTCACCAAACTTCTATCAATATCCGATAGCCTTAGTTCATATTCAACTCTTTCTTCTTGAGTTCTACTAAAAAAAATTTTTCAGAAACAAACTAGGTATTCTCACAAACCGCAGAGAATCTTTGCACATAGCCTCGAATTTAGCCTTATCCTCTATTAAAGTGAGCATTTCTTCTTTAATTTTATCGACGGGTGTTTTGCTATAGACGGACAATTGAGCTTCAAGAGTTTCAATCCTAAAATGGGATATATCAGTACACCAACTCAAACACACTTACCTTGATAGAAGTCTATCTTCGTTTACGACAGCTTTTTGAGCTGATGACATCAGTACTTCCGTAGAGCACAACAAACTCTCGAGTTCTTTAAGTTTTTTCTGTGTGGCTTCTTCTCTAAATCAAAACATACGTGATTCTTCAATATTGCTTGCACATACCTGTAAGCGGCTTCTGATACATACTGCTGGAGTTGAAATAACTGATAACTGTTGAGAAGAGATGATGACAAAACTTCTTGTGAAGAGCTTTAAATACTGTTTTTCCAGGGTTTTTCAGTTTCAAACTAACTTTGCGCCGTTTGATAACGTTGCTAAGTTCTCCACTATTTCTCCATCCGCATCGAATAACTGAATGGAAGCATAGATGCAACCATGAGCAACTGAAAAGTTAAGATCAAAATCAATTTACTTTTAGACGCTTGCCTTTGTTGGTGTTTTCTACAATTTCAACACCGAACTGAACAATATCTCTCGTGTAAATTCGTCTTGCCTCTGATTCTTCACCTAAAATATTCAATAAAAAAAAATGAAAAGTGTGAGGCTGCTATACCTGTTACAGCTAAGCGTTCGTTATTTACAAATGTTCCGTTGCTCGATCTAGTATCTCGCAGATAAAATCCGCCGTTGCTATACCACATGATGGCATGGTTTCTTGATAGTACCTGAAAACGACTTAGAGATAACGAAAGAAGACTGCACTTACTTTACAATCGAATATGGCATTGTCATGGCTTGGTTTCAATCTCGCTACAGCTCTTCCGATCTTCAATGGATCATCATCGGGCCCTACTTTGGCTTTTCTCTCGTCGAAGGGGTGACTTTTAGTGATAGGAGATAAAATAACATAAGGTCCACGCATTACCACCCGATAGCAGGCTTAAAGTTGAAAGATCAATAGTTAATGTTCTTAGAAACAACAACAGTAAATAACATCACTAAAATACTGAAACATCTGTTTTCAAATTAATAGCAATGGAAAAGAAAAATTATCTTATTTTTAACTCAACGTCTAACACTGCGTACTTTGCGTATAGACCTATCAATGTTCTACTAAAGGGAAGGAACTAATGAGGTTTAGTGAGCTGTAACTCTGTGAATCAAAATAATGCATGAAGAATATCGTAAATGTTCTATTTTATTTTTGAAGTTCAACGAATGTTGCATACTGCTGTGCGTAAAGGCGTTGAAAACAGACTGAAAAACATGGCTGCTTGCAACTATCGACATTTGCCTTTTGTCCATTAGAGATTTTCCAATCTAGGAAGAGTTCATCGAACTCTATAAGCGCTTGTTTCATCTTGCCCCATGTTGCAAAATGTGAAACAATCATCGGGTTTTTTAAAGTGCTGTAGCCTCATGAGGAGAAATCTAAAATTTCTTACGATTTACGAAGGGACACTTTCGGCGCTCTGTGCATTGATCCGTAGAAAAAGGAATGCAACCGAGTTGCGATTGGAAGTCATTAAAAATGAAAACAATCTCCACGTGATTCACGTTCAACGTGCCTCAAGGGAGACGTCTGGGAAATGAAGTTTTTCACTGTTTACTTAAAGCGGTGTTTTTGACTTAAAACAGCTGAAATGATTCTAGAATATATTTATGAATATGACAAAAAAAACACCGGTGAAATGAGTTGAAAGATAAGAAAAGTGTGACAGCCCTCCAGCGAGGTTAATTGGTACTACACAATATGTGTCTACAACGTCATGGATCATAGATCTTCGTACTATTAATACTATGCAACAATACTAAAATCAACTTAAAAAACAACAAAACCTCTGCTGGAAGGCTGGATGATATGATTTTAAGTTAATAAGTTATTTGAAAGTCTGAAGAGACAATAAATAATAATTTCGATTGAGTTGTAGGCGAGCTACGTGGAGTTTAACTATTCGGCTGGCAATGCTTGCAAGTGAATGGACAATAGCTCTTCATAACGAAGAAAAACGATGCTCGCTTACAGTACTGAGCGAAGTGAGGACAGTCAACGAAATGATCGATACATTCTGAAATTTCGTGTTGTTTAGAGATGTACGAAAGAGTGAGGCTCACTTTCAGAGTTGTCACCATTTGGTTTTTCTTTGGATGCTCGTTCTCTAGGTCGCTCAGTTGTTGACGAACGAGATTTCTCCTTTCTTCTTGGTTTACATTGGTACAGCTTATTGATCTGAAAGAAACTTCATGTAATTCTGTTATTGCTTAACTTTTCATCTTTTTTTTTGAAATATGGCTCAAGTTTGCTTTCATAGCGAATCATATTAGGCATTTGGCTGTTTTCAGTTGCAACTTTCTGTTTATGTTACAGCTTTTGTTTTAAAACATAATAAGACCGAAAAACATAAAAGGTTTAAATTAAAGCAATTTCGCAAACGTTTCCATCCTAATCATTATGTGTTTAAGCTTTGCAAACTTCTCCAAAAATGAAACTAGCCTTGACTATATCCAGAGGTGAAAGATCAGTGGCACTTCCTATGACATCAGTGAAACCTTCTTCTACTGTTTCAATTGTATTTTTACCATTTCTCGAAAATGCTGTAGAATCATAATGCATTATTGACCGGTAATCGTATTTTTCTCCTTGTAAGTCCTGAATGATAGATTGAACAAAAGAAATAGCCTTGGAGGAACACCTGGAGAGCAACAGAAATTTTGTCAAACTGCGACTTCATTCCAGGCAAAATATTTTCCCATTTGATTTTAATGTGATCTTCACGATCTGAAACGGGTAGTATGGAAAACTTTCATGTTTTGGATAGTCTTTTTATGTAAGAAGGTTCTTTTGAAATTGAGCAAAATAAATAAACAAACCGGCTCTACTGTGTTCATGCCAGAAGCCAACAGAGTGCATGAGTTCATGAACTATGATTTCATGAAACAGACAACCTCGACCCAAAGAAATTTCTTGTTTTCCCCCAGTTCGTCCAACTTGGGAATAACAACTTGAAAAAGTTTATAGTCGATGGCAAATCTTATTGTATCAAACCCATATCCTTTCACTATGTTGAGATAATCAGTTTCATCCGTTCGCTTTTGAAAACGAATGCACGTCGACTTCTTGTAGCTGGCGAAAGCTTTTTCGATTGTTCGAACTTCAGCAGAAGCTGAAATTATTGAATGAGACAAGGGTCAATCAATAAAAATTGACATCTCCGAAAAGAAACAAAGCATTGAGATAAAGAAGAGATAAAACTCAAGAAAGATGATAAAACTCAAGAATATTAATGTTTCAATGAAGCTCTTGTGCAGCATAATTGAAAATCCTTCGAATTTTGTTATCAGGTACAGAAGGTCCGACCCAATAGGAACTCACTCACAAAAAGCTGAATCCATTTCGTACGGAATGATGCCTCCAGTCCAAGTCAGCTGCTTATTCTTGAGAGCATTGAAATAAACAGAACCGTCCTGAATATTCAAAAGTACAAAAGTTGAGCGTTATGAACATACAGGCTGATGTAGCAAAGTTTCATCAACACCATCAATATCACCTTGGAATTTTCCTAAAATATCAGTTAAGCATAAGCTTGTCCAGGTAAAAACCTGAGAAGATCCATTCGTGATGAGCTGTCCTGTGGTCTATTGGTAAATAGGGAGCTATTTGACCCAAGAAAACATTATGTGGCTGTGCGCTGATGAGCTGTGGTAGCAGAATGAATATGAGGAGCGATGGCAACATGCAGATTTTCAGATTTCAGCTCTAATTAAATTCCGTTCGATAGTTTGAGGTAATGTAAAACAATGAAGAACACCAAAAATTCACCAAGTTGCTTTTGAAGTACTCCAATTCTATCCTGAAATGTAAATGCTGTTTTGCGAAGAACAAAGGGTAACATAGAAAAACGAACGAAGGTGCTTCACATTGTTTTTTTCTCAATGTTAAACGGAGCATAAATGGAGTCAACTGAGGACTTCGACAAGAAAATCACAACAACTCTATTAATTGAGATACATGGAGGTCTTTAGTTTGAACTCATCAAGAATACAACATTCAAGCTTGGTCAAAACGAAAGTCTACAGAATTGAAGAGGTGTCAATTGAAAAAGAAAGCATCAGATGCAAAGGGGGGGGGGATAATGGGAGGAGTATCACTCCTGGAGGAGAGGAGCCGAGAGAATGACCTCTGACACTTGAGAAAATAGCGACAAGAAGTTCATAAGTTCAATGATACAGGTGTCTATGAATGATGACCGTCATGAAAGTGAACTGTTCCAAAATATAAGTATTAGAGCGGAAAATACAACGTGCTGAGCTGGTGAAGGACAGCTAAAAGTCTATTGAAATGCACATTTCTTGATGGTTCGGCTTCTGGTTTGAATTTGCTGCTCTCGAAACCTCCTCTTCGCGCTCACTATTTTGTTATTTCACTCGTCTCTCTCTTTGTGTTCACTTCACCAGACAAATTTATCGTTGGTCACTCACCTTCAGTGGTCACTAACTTTCTTCTTCGCGTCTCTTTCTCCCTTCGCCTTTCTTATATTCTGTCCCGGTGCTGTCGAATTCGAATAGTCTAAGGATTTCTTAATGACTAGGGACAAGAAGAGAAAGAGTGAAAAATGGGCTCGAGAAATAAATCTTCAAAACCTATATCCTGGGTACCGTGCACAATTATTTCTCTCTTTTTTGACATTTGCACTGATCGAGAAATGCACAAATAGACAATTGATTTGACAAAAACTCACACAAATGAACTGTCACATCATAAAGTCTCTTAATGATCACGCTGTTCTTCGTAGAAATGTCCTTTTAAAAAAGGATATGAATGAATAAAACTCTAAATGACACACTAGATACTTCTTCAAGTCAATACGATTCAAAAGATAGTTGAAGTGGAGCAAAGATTTCAACGATCGGACTTACATATTTTCTCCTTGTTGAATTTTCTTTTCCTTCTTTCAGCACAATTTGGAAGACGTTCAAGCCTGCGCTCAATGCAAAACCGGGTTGGGAGGACTGCTCAAGTTGGGAGACCAAATGTTTCCAGAATTTTCAGGCTCAAACAGAAAACGAGGTTAGAATATTGAGCAGGTAAAAGTTAAGCAGAGAAAGGTTGTGTAGCAAACAAGAAATTGTCTTTTCCCCTAATCGACATAAAGTTCAAGAAATGTGTACTGAAGAATCAAAGGGAATACAGTTCCCATGGAAGAAAACAAACAAAATATGGTGTCTGATGAGAGTGGATATTGGGAAAACTGGAATTCAAAATCTGTTGGCTAGAACGTACTTCATTCAAAACATGCAAACCATCCAGTTGCCTTATAGGTACCCCATTCATGCGATAGGTAACTGAGAGTGTATTGAGAAGCTTCCTAGCCTGCTGATAACTTCTCAGTTAGACCTTCCGGTCGTCGGTATGAGAAATTCTTGGATCGTTCTATTAACATGATTAATTCTGCTATTCACCTTGTAAGCTGCAATTTAAGCTTATTATGAATATATCCCTACATTTGCATGAACGTGTTGGTTGTGTTCTATATCTCAAGCGAGGATAAACCTAGAGGTTAGGGCCACATGCAGGAATAGACAAAGAGATAGATGGAGGGTAATGGAGAGAGAGCGGTCACTAATACATGACCAATCAAAGGATTATCAGCCATGGAAACGGAAAGGTTCAAGCACACTATGATCGAACCAAACTGACCAACACATAACATTACTCTTGTGTGATGTTATTGTTGCTTTATTTTACAATTTCAATTAATAAATATTCAATCAAATCATACGAATCTATAAAAAAAAATTTTAGGATGAAACCAGTTATAATATGCTGGATCTTCTTGGTCATAGTACCACGAGCAACATATGCTTTTGACTGGGGCGACTTTCATAAGGTACGAAAATTCCAAAAATAAGAAAAAAACGGTTTGACAAGAGAAGTCCGTTGTTCTTAACATCGGCTTGCTCTGTTAGCTGTGATTCATTCGGGACTCCTTAAAATACATTCCCTTTGGGCATACAAAACATCTAGTTTCTGCGACGTAAGCACGTATGAGATATTTTGGAAATGGACCACGTTCACTTGAATTTACGAAAAGTTCGATGATTCATGATAGTTTATTGACAAATCTCATTTAACATTTACATACCGTCCAGTTTCCGATGCAGAGGTTCAGGAAAATCTGCCATTACACAACCATCTAAGCATAACTAGAAAACAGAAAGATGTGTCCGAGCAGAAGCTTATTTCCAGGTCGCTGTAATCTTTTTCTCATTCTTTGGTCCTATGGTGATTCTAGGAGCCATAGGAGCAGTTGCATATTTTGCTTGTATCAAATCTTGGTAATACAATTGAATTAATGGAATAGAATCTATAACCTTTTCGTAGGTTCGAATCTTTCCGAGAAGAAGTGCGGGAAACACATCGTTCATACCATCCCTGGCCACCTGGATCAGCAAAATGGCAGCTTCAACAATTCAGTAAGTTCTAAAAGAATAATACTTGTGCCAATGCTTTCAAATTGATACAATTCCCACACTTCTCTATGTTTACATAACTAACTGGAAAGTAAACATGCGAATGAGTGCATTGTACACTTATACATACCTGATAGGCTCACATACATTTTGTGGAGGTGAATCCCGGAGAATCATACATTTTTCATCTTTTCCTGTTCGCACTAGCAATTAGCTTGTTGTTATTAATTGTTATAATATAGTTCCCCTGACATAGTGATCCTGATATAACCGTTATGATACATCTATTCCAGTTCGAAGTTCGAGGCAGACGGATTCTACTTCTGGAGCGGCAGGAGCTGCTAGTCGTTTTCAAGCTGCCGAATCGGTTAAATCTGCTCCAGCTGTTATCACTTCTGTGAGCCAGAAGCTTTACCCGACACCTCTATCGCCAGGATATCTACAAACTCCATTGCCACCAGCTAATTATCCGGTATTCATTTCATAATCTTTACGCGGCATGTGTTATCGCGCAAAAAAAAATCCTGTTGAGCCACACGCGTTGCCTTGAAAAAATACGAAATCAAACAATGCTTTTAAGCACTGAATAGCAAAGAATAAATCAACAAACACATGAAAATCTCTTCTGATAACAAAACGGCACAATTGATTTCTCTCATAGGTAGATGAATGATTGCGTATTCATTCACAAAGCATTAAACGCGCAGAGCGGTTGATTTTTTTCATTTATAAAAACGAGATATATATAGTACATTGTATTACAGGGAATGTCTTACAATGGATCTCATATTTCACTCCAACAACCTCTTCCTTCTATCATGATACCAGATATGCAACAAGTAATACTTTGTTTCTTTACATTGAACTAACATCTTATATAGTTCCCCAGTCCTCATCCCGCCCCTGAGGTTTCACCAGGAAGATATACAGGCGCCATGCAACAGTATCACCACAACATGCAACCTGGTAATCATACTAATAGATTTCAAACTACTTATGAACTTTGAGGTACTTCTAACTTGCTCACACCTACATACACAATGTATGAACAAGGTAGAGTAGAAGAAATGGCGCGACGTCGAGAAATGAAAAGCCCTACTACTCCAGAGCCATTAGAAGCAATCACTGTGCGCACAACTACAACAACAAGACGAACCACTGTACTGAGCCCAGTTCAAGGAAAAAGAAGCCAAACTATTGTTTAAACAAAATGGAAAATATATATGATCTCCATAAGCATTTCCTCTCACATGTAAACTAGTTATCCTCTGTGTGTCCTGTATGACGTTTAGTACGCGATTACGTATTTTTTCAAATGTATGGCTTATTTCTAATAAAGCACGAATCACAAGTATTTTCATTGAAGCTTCACTCCTGAGAACGAGCTGAACCGTTAATGGATGAAGGTAGCATCATTCCTGATGTTGCATACGGGAACCGCAGTTATCGTATAGTTCGTAAACGTGATTCCAGCACAATTTCGGTATTTTCCTAGAAGTTTTCTTAACTGTAGAGTTCTAGCCTCTTACGAACCTCTCGAAGAGAAGTGCAAAGTGCATGAATGAGCCTGACGGTCCAATCCACAAATACACTGTTGTGAACGGGAAAGTGGGTGAAGGTATGTTCTACAGCTTGAAATGTCATTTTGTTTCTTAGAAATAATCATCAGTGATGAAGAGTCTAATACATCACACCAACCAAACAGACGTGGAACAATTGAAATGGATGATGTTTTCGACATACAGCCTGTAGAGAAAGTTTCTTGAAGTACAATTCTACTCATCATCGAGGATTTTTCAGGTTCCATATAAAGCGACATCAGTCTATTATAGTGCCGAATCATCGCCTGAAAAAGTAAAACGTTCCTGCGTCTTGTTTTCCGTATCCATTACTTTTAGACGCCTGTAGTCCTAAAATTTGATCCTAACAAAAGAATTGGAGCCATTGATTTGGGTGGAGTGGTTAGCTCTTTTTGAAATATTCATATATCTCTCCAATCATACTCTTGTTCATCAATTAGTTCACTTTAAGGAAGGTGTGAAAACGTCACGATCACAAAATGAAAAATCAGAGACTGCCGTTTCGAACGAATTTGAGTAAGTTTTTAGCGTCTCAATTTAAATGTATTTCAATTGGTTGCAGGAGAAAGAGAAAAGAGTTATTGAAAAAAGCTTCCACACTAACAGGAACTTACAGTATGTTTTAAAAATCGTATTTGGCCTCTTACAACTTTGCAGAAATCGAACCTGATCTCAACCGTCAATTTACCACCGATCACTCTTTCTTCTCAATCTCGTCTCTAGGTATATTCCATATATATAATCTTAAAAACGCAATTTTCAGTACTTGGTGATCTTCCCTTGCCCTACCCAGCAAAACCTCACGATGACATTTTGAAGTTTGAAGCTTTTTTGAAACAAAGAGTTGATCTTATTTTTAGCTACGACAAGCCAGGCTTTGTTCAACTTCCGTGGTCGACACAAAACATGGTTGGAAATGTGAGGCGTTATGTTCAAGTCCTAAGAAGTCTCCAATGCATTGAGGAAAACATGAGTTCCATTCACACATTACCTGTGAGTAACTCATATTGGCTTTATGTAGTAGCTACGATTCAGATTAACATACGGGAGTATCATAACATCTCAAACTTTGACGGCTTAATCAACTATTATGAAGAACTACCTTCTAACGAAGACAAAAAAGAATTTCTCAAAACAATATCAGGAATAGCAAGCTTGGCTCTACGTGCGGAAGCAGTCATCACAAAAGTAATAGTCGAATACTTTGTATTTACTTGGCTATGTACTTACAGCCAATACCTTACCTAACGCTCCAAACAGAAACACGCTCAACCTCTAGTTGTTCAATTTCATTATCACAAGAACAATGTGCTTGTTTACTTGCAAATGGTTTCTTCTGTACTTTTTCTGAGAGGAGTGAAAAATTCGGGGAATTCAATATGGATCAGTAAGAGATACTACAGATATTAGAATTAAATCCATTTCTTTTAGATTGTTCTCTTCTACTAAAAGGATCAGTCAAGTCAAATTTCAATTCATAATTGAGTACTTTAAAGTGAATTCAATATGGTATTTGTTAATCACAGCATGAGTTTCAGACAGTTCTGAAGAAAATGCCTGATGGTGTTGTTTCGTTCCGTAGAGTTTCTATTAAAAACTCTCCCGATTTTGAAGAAAGCACTAAGCCCGTAATTTTTTGAAAGTGAATATTACAGTTCTCTTTTTGCTTTATAGATTCCTCTCATGGAATTCGGTGATGGCAAAATCGAAGACTACATTGGAGCATTGCAAGTGGATTTTGCTAACCGTTATATAGGCGGTGGCGTATTAGGGCGTGGAGCAGTACAAGTTATAGCAACTTTATTATTTTTCATCATCAATATTATTCTAAGGAAGAGATAATGTTCTTACAAAGACCAGAGATGATTGTATCGATACTGCTGGCTCCCAGGATGAACGCACATGAAGCAATTTTCATCAGCGGAGCACAACAATATAGTTCGTACTCTGGATACGCTAACAGATTGAGATGGGTTCCTGTGAACCCCGACAACGTTGTTGTGAGAGATAAGTTCAAGTTGGATTTTAGTCTAGTAAGAAGCTTAAAGTTATATGTACAGGAGGATTAATCATGAAATTGTGGCTATAGATGCCAAGAACGTCAGCGAACACCCTGAGAAGCAGTACGACGTTGAAATGATTGATAGAGAGCTGCTGAAGGTAAATCATGAACTCTTCACTTTTGCTTGATTCTGACAGTGCTATGTTGGATTCCACACCGGAGAGAAAGAGCCTTACATAAAGCCCATTGCCACCGGTAATTGGGGATGTGGAGTATTTGGCGGAGACCTCCAATTAAAAGGTAAACCCGATATCCCATTCATGTTAGTTATTATCTTTATTGCAGCTCTGATACAGCTCTTAGCCGCTGGAGCTGCTGGTAGAGAGTTGATTTATGTACCTTTTAACGAGGAACGGTTCAAGACAGAGTTTCGAGCTCTATATCAGAACCTCCGAAAAAGGAATATCCAGATAGGTTTTTACAATCAATTTTATGTTTATTATTCTCTTTACTTCCTAGGAGTCTTATACGGCATTCTCAGCAACTATTGTATGTCTAAAACAAATCTCACAGTGTTCGAATATGTGCTTGAATGCTTGGCATGATTGTTCTATTAGTTTACAGCTTCATCCTCTAACATCTCTTTGTACCTTCTCATATTTGAACTGCTGTGAGCCAGTGATTTTCATTCCTATGTATTTTTGAAAATATCGAATCAACAGGTCTTTTCCTCTCATCTGTTTCCTTCACATGTTTATTTGCAATCAACTAATCTGTTTTCTTGAGCTCAGAAATTCATACTGACATGGATAATTGAAATATTATTTTCACCGACATCCTCCTAATCATCTGTTCAATAACATGACCCCTAATCTTAACATCAACGCAAAGTAATTATTTATCCGTTGAGTACAGAGTACACACCATAAATCATTATTGGTCAGTCTATTGTACAATATATTTATAATGTAGTCCATAATGTTTCATGCTATGTTCGTATCGATTTTGAGGAGAATCAAGATTACCATTAAGCACCAATGACCTCTTACACTCATAGTGCTAAATGATTCGTCATGAATACTTTAGACCACTCCACGGTTTAAAAAAAACTTGAAACCATACTCTTATCGTATATTGTGTTATATATTGTAAAAATTAAATTATTACTGATAGGCAATATTGAGCTACTGGTGCAAATCAGAATCTTCCTTATCTAAGTTATATAATATACTTTATATACTCATGTTATTAGCTAGCTCGCAATGAAAACCTATAGCTATTGCAGAGTGCACTACCACAATATGCTAATTTAGGGATTACAGTTTGCGCGTGCTTAAACCAATCATTTTTAATCCAGACAGCGCATTGTGCGGTTGCTTTACATCACGAAACATTTTACATTTCTCATGCGTATGTTTGATCTTTGTTATCTAGTGTTTCTCTAGATTGTCGACCTTCGCCACCATCATGATCAAGCTAGGTATGAATGTGGCATTTGAAATTTTGTGAAGTTCCGTTATTCCTTTCTGTCATTAATGATGATGAATAAAGGTCCCATTGATACGACTGAATCAAAACGCTGATCACTTGACGTATAGGGTAAAAAGCAAATAATGTGTGACAAAATTATTGTCAGCTGTTGCTTGCTGGGAATTTCATGTGTAGTGTGATAATATTTTCCGTGCTCCTACTCTTCTGAATTGTTCTTGCAAGGTATATGTTTATGTTTTCCTAGAAAATCGGAGAATTTCATCTTGAAATGCTCTTCTTTCTGCGTTTTTTTACGAATCGCGGACAAAGAACAAAAGAAAATTTTATTAAAATGCTCCTTTCAATAATTTAATAAAACTGCTTGGAGCGGCGATGTTGTGAGTCTTCAACTACCTAACAAATCAGGAAAAGCAGAATTCTTTTTAGTCTTTTCGTTGACACTAAATAACAATTGTCTCTTTTATATCACGCTGATCTCAAAAATATAGACGATCATTTGAAATGTTTTAATGTGTAGTAAGATGACACATAGACTTGAAAAATCTATTCTGCTAAGCCAGAGAGCATAGTTTTCTCTCATTCTCCCTCTTTCTTTTTTCCTTTATTCTACTCTTAACTTAACCAGCATTAGTTGTCACATCGATTTACAACTTCCATTCACTTTTGAAATGCCCTATTGAATTTCATCAGTTTTATGTTTGTTATTTCTCACAAGTTTGAACGAGCCGAATTTTTTTTTCATTTTCAAGTCTTGGTTTCCGGGCACATTGTGATCTTTTCTTTGTTGTTAACAAATTCAGTTCAGTTGCCTTTTATCATATTTCCCCGTTGAAGCGGCAAAAAGATGAATCGAGTTTTGTTTTCAATTTGAAACTATTTGTTTCCAAAGTCTTCGAATTCAGCAATCTCTTTGTGTGTTTTTTAGTTCGGAAGATATTATTTTTCGTAATTCATACATAGGTATTAGTTTCATTTCAATCTGCTCTCCACCTTCTGCCCTTATTCGTATTTCTGACCACATGCTATACTATCGTGACTACCCTTTTTTACATTTTCATTTCACTTCTGTGTCACAAAACTATAAATCCGTGTCTGGCAAGTTGCCCATGACCATTCATTTCTCTCGAAAATGAACTTTTTTGTTCGTATAAGTTTAATACAAACTGTATTGTATTTGTTTGACCTTTCATACAACAAGTACATTCGTTTTCTGGTTTTTTTCGATGCGGGTTTATGTTTGCGCGGTTACTTCGAATGCAAATTAGGACCTTTAATGGAATGCTGATGGAAACGTGAAAGGATCTCACTTGATTCAATAGAACCAATGCTGAAGAGTAGCAAATGAAATAGGAGAAGATAAGGTTGCATGTGAGGCTTTTTGAAATGAAATTAAGTGTTGAAAACTTGGCGAAAGTTTATTATTTGTGAGTGTTGTGTGTTGGTTCATTGCTTATGGAAAAGCTTAGCAAAACCTCGTGACGCCATCACAACACGGTGGAAGAGCTAAAGAGACAGGAAAGGAAGCAGAAGGAAGCTTACAACTACTGAATATTGATTGAACTTAAGCGTTCTTTATCCTCGAGCTCTTCTCATCAAATCCAAATATTAAATAGCTCTTTAAGAAATTCATATTTCCACTCATACATTATTGCTTTCACCCGACTGATATTACTCATTTATTTCGAAGGCTTATGACTCTCCTTTCCAGGATGACATTAATTTACTTTTTTTTCTTGTTTGTTTTGTTAGGCATTCATTGAAATTTTTCTAAATAAAATGAAATTTCTTTTGCTCTTCCGGCTTCCTCCTATTGCAATGTTGTTCAAACAGATGATTTTCTTTATTCCAAAGTTATTGATACAGCTAAAGAAGAGAGAGAGAGAGATAGAGAGGGCGAATAATGATTGTCTGTCATCTTTTGTTTTCCAATGATAATGATTCCATCCTTTAGTATAAATTTAATATTAACACACCATGAATGCAATGCTTTTCAAAATATTTTTATCAGTTCATATTTTAAAGTTCATATCTACTTCTAAACATTTATGATCATTAGACGTATCACAATGGTTTCATAGAAAACTTGGTTGACATTCTATTTTTTCGACCCATTTTATCTTCAACATTTTCCTCAAAACATATCAAGATGTCAAAGAAAGATTGTCGCTTTTGATAACGTAGGTTTTACTACTTCTTTTGAATTTACCAACCAATTGCCAATCATAAACTACATCAGATGTTTTTTTAAATAATACCTCTTATCCTTAAATCTTATTTATTGTGATAACTCAATCCAGTACTCACACATCATGATAGCAAAACATTTGTCTCAACACTCACTCGATCAATTCTTTCATTCTAACAGTTTTTTTTCTTTATTGTTTCATTTCACTTTCTTTTTATACTCTGACCTCTCTGACTTTTCTTTCTATTCACAATAAATGCATACGATTGTTTCAGATATGCGGATATGTACTGCTCTAATAGTTTATAGTATTGCTTTCACTTCAGCTCAAGTTATCACTTCAGCAAATAATAAAACTACATCAAATTCCTCTAATAATGAAACGGAAGTACTGACTCCTGAGATAGTTAAGCCATCTGTTGTAAGTTTGTATGTTAAAACAAAATGATACACGAATGCAACTTGACCAGTGTTAAAGATTTTATTGTTTTTTCGAATGCGACCGGTCTGTGTTGTCTGAATGCGATAAATGAATTTGTAGTCTTTCCATTAGCTTACCCTTAGCTCAAATTATGCTAATTAGTGCAAATGTGTAGCAATTGGTTGAAAAAAAGTTTATGACCTGTCATCAATTTAAAGAATTGAGATATATGTGAGAGTAACTGACATAAGATGTTTATTTATTTCAAATTCAACGAATTGATAAAGTTTTTGAGTGATGTTCGTTTTTTCCCCAGAGTATTATCCATTATAACATTGTATTACAAATGCTGACCAAAGTTTACGAGCTCACATATTCTCAGTGGATTTCGGTAGTTTGGTTAGCTCTCTGGAGCGTTCAGCTGCAAAAAAAACCAGAATTTACTATCAGTTTCTTTTCATTTTTCTTGTTTTTTTAGCCTCCACCTGGTGCAGGAAACATCACCGGGGTCAGAATGCCTAGCATTTTTGGTATGAGAGTGGAACTTCCGGCTGATGATCCTTTCGGATATGAGTAATGCATTTTTTTATTTTTAATAAACAAAGAAATTCTCTTTTTTAGTAAACATGGAGTATGTATTGTTACGCCAGATGAACCTTTTAAAGTAGTAATTTATGGAAATCACTTGGATAAAATAGCTCAACTCATATTCACTCTAACTAACAATTGCTCAGAAGCAACACACATTGTGGATGCAACTAATAACTTTATAATTCACTTTACTCACAAAGTAAGTGGTTTTATTTTGAGATTTGTGTTAGAACAAGATGTATTAAGGCAACTTTCCAACTAACCCTGCCACCTGTACCCGAGAATGTACATGCCTACAAGATGTGTGTAAAACCTAAAGGACTTCTACCTTCGCAAAACTTTGAAATGACAGTTGTGAGTAAAGCCATTTTCTTATAATTTGTAGTACACAATGTTACAGTTGGAAGATGTATCTACATGGATAACAACTGAGAAACCCCCTAAGGAGTATTTACTGCCTCTTCCACTACAGGTAAACAATCATTCTCTACTTACCATCAAGCTGTATTTTATCTTCTATTCAAATCTTATTTTGTTGTAGATTGCCGTTGTATGTCTCTTGTTATGTTTATCAGCTCTGTTTTCTGGTTTGACCCTTGGCCTCATGTCTCTGACACCTCAAGAGTTGGAACTAGTCATGAAAAGTGGTTCACCAAGCGAACAAAAATATGCAGAAGCGATTCTCCCAATTAGAAAAAAAGGTTTTTTTCAATAGAGAAAGACGTTTATGTGATGTTTTCTAAAGGAAACCAACTCCTATGTGCACTTCTTATGGGAAATGTCATTGTGAACGCGGGTATATCCATCTTGTTCGGAGAACTAACAACGGGATTATTAGCCCTTATTATCTCATCGGCAGGAATCGTTATATTCGGAGAGATTATTCCTCAGAGTTTTTGTGTTAAGTTAGAGAATATTTAATTACTTTTGATAATCTTTTGTGCTCATTGTAGGAAGGGATTAGCCGTCGGTGCTCATACGATTTCGGTAACTCAAATTATTATGTTTATAACATGGCCGCTGGCCTATCCGATCAGTCGTTTACTGGATTGTCTATTGGGAGAGGAATATGTAATGTCAACACTATAACGGGGTTCGGAATAATATTTTTCTTCAGCAATCGTATGATCGAAAGCGTTTGATGGAGTTGATTCGTATGTCTATTAAATCTGACAACGGACAACTTTCGAACGAACTCAAAATCGCTGTTGGTGCTATGGAGATAGCTGACAAAGTAGTTGAAAATGTTATGACGAAGATATCGGTCAGAATTTTAATTTAAAATATCAACTTCTCTCCTGCTTCAGGATGTTTTCATGTTACCAGACACAACAGTTTTGAACGCAATGACTGTTGCAGAGATTGTAAAGATGGGTTATACTCGAATTCCTGTGTACTCCGATGGAGACAAAAACAATGTAACAGATATACTATTTGTGAAGGTATCTTTAAGTCAAGAAACTAATATTCTCACATTTTCTTTCTTTTAAAGGACTTAGCTTTGCTAGATCCTGATGACAACTTTACTATTCATACAGTATGTGGATATCATAAGCATCCGGTTAAGTTTGTATTCAACGACACTCCATTGAGCATCTTGCTGGAAGCTTTCAAAAAGGTTTGAAGTTTTCTTCATCAACAAAAGAAACAAAGACTTTTGCCGCCTAAAAAAATTTCTTTTTTTCAGAAATTGAAAAACCAGGTAAAATACATGTAGATCAACCAACACTTTCACACGAAAAGAAAACTAATTTTGTCAAAATTCAATGTCCGATACGGCCTTAACAAGTTCTTGCGATTTACTAACTTATAGATTCAGTCATCGCAAGAATAACGAATCACTTTCATGCTTCAAGCTTTTATGAATCATTAAACACTTACTCATTTCAATTCAAGGGTGATGGCCATCTGGCTATGGTCAAGAAGTTAGTCGGTACTGAAGACCACGATCCATCTTATGAACTAGTTGGTGTTGTAACTCTAGAAGATATAGTTGAAGAAATATTACAAGTAAGAATTAGTCGAGTACATTTAACGAAGTCGATCACTAGGCTGAAATCAATGATGAATTTGATATTGTATCAGACAATGTTAACAAAATCAAAAGAGAAAGGAAGCAGGTGGGCCGAAAAGTTTGTTTTGCCGTTTCCACTTTGTCCAAATATGCACGAGTATCTAATAGTTTGAGCTCACTTACAAAACTTCGTCGTCGTTTAGATGAAACCGTTTGAAATGTTTTTTTTATTTTCAGAACAGTGATATCGTGAAGTTCTTGAATGATAAAGAGGCTCCCCAGGTTCAGATATCTATGCAGGTATTACCCATACCTTCTTGACACTGTGACATAAAAATTCAGCAACAAATCGTGGCATTACAATGGCTAGTCTCCAACGAAGTAGCTTTCAGTACGAAATACATTGACACCAACGTATTGGAACGCTTAATCAAAAATAGTGCTAGAAGAGTTTGTGATGTTTATGGTCTTTATTCATTGACAAACCCTTGCAGGTAGATGTGTCGGCACTCATGGCTATGGCACACGATCAGGTTAACTTGCCTAAATTAGCTCGATTGTACACGAAAGGTGAAATGAGTGACAGATTTGTTTTGGTTCTTGAAGGACGAGTTCAAGTGACGATCGGTCAAGTAAGAAATAGAAAAAAGACATGAAACTGATAAGTGTTCAGAGTGGAATGATGTTCGAAGCTGGTCCATGGCACTGCTTCGGAAAGGAAGTTCTGGATAAGTTGGTTCAAGGAGCTGCTACATTATCACGGAGCACATCTATCGTTGGTGAGTTGATTTTTTTGTGAAAAATTAAAAAAAACTCCAAAAGTAATTTGATACCGTCATTAGAAACAATGATAAGAAAAAGAGAGAAAGAGAGGAGAGTACAGGCAACCGTTCTGTAATGACGTTTGAAATCGAAGTGAGGTGTTGTGAAGGAAAATACGCAAGCAACCTATTATGCAAATTAATGCAAATTATTACAGATATCAATGATTTATCATGTCGTCGTCCTGACCTGATGTTCGACCCAGACTACACAGTAGTTGTTAAGGAAGAATGCACATACTTGGATATCAATGTTGCTGCTTATATAAATGCTTTCAAATCATCATTGATGCAACGAGAAAGAGAGTAAGTCCTTGATCTTTAATAAGATACAAATGCTTTCAGTCGTGACGACGGTTCCTATGATGGTAATTCACGTACTCCTTCACCCACCCGTAAGAAGAGCATGCTAGGGGTAAACCTGTTTTTTGTTTTGCTTTTTAATACTATATTTCAGTCACCTATACAAGATCCTTCCGCTTTACTAATTCCAAAAATGCAACAAGTAAACGATGCTCGGGAAGCAGTAAAAGTATTGAATGAGCAAATGCATCATAGCAAAATAGATGAGGTTTGAAATTAATCGTTCTGCTTTGAGTTACCTCTCATTTTAGGAAGAGATGGAGTTGCTCTCAAAGGAAGAAGTTTAGTTATCATATTTATCTCTTATGAATTTTCCCTATTTACGGGTGTAATCAGATTGTAACGAATTGTTATGAAAGATCGTGATAGATCTCTAATATGAATGAATATTTTCGAAAGTTTGAAAAATGTGACCTGTCATTTGACTCCAACTGAACCTGTTCTTCCCCAACAATATCTCAAGTTAGAATCAATTCATTCAAGATTAACGCAAATGTGGACAGTTAAGCAGGAAAACCGTAGAAATGGGGAGACCGGGACGAATACAAAAAAAATGACACTGATTAATTTGCAGAGGTTACATATGAGGTCAAGTGTTGGCGAAGCTCTTCTGAAATACAGCTCATGACAGTTGAGTTATTGGCTGGGCCACGTTGAAGAATAGCTTCAGCAAGGAAAGCTGAAAAAGCACACTTGAAACAAAAACGAAAGCAACAAACAAACCTTTGTAATTCGCAATTTGTGGAGCTACAGGTTCAGCTTTGGCAGCATAACTCAATCTACAGTATGGATTAGTGAATTCTCCTTCAGCATTATACATAGCAGCTTGCTCTTCCTCTGGGGAAAGCACTCCTCTCTCAGAAACAGAGGAAGCTTCAATCAACTTGGTAACTCCCATAGAGAGCTCACCGAACAAATCTCTGAAAGACAACTCGATGAAAGATAATACACATAACGTTCTCACGAGATGATATTAGTCTGTTCTCCAAGAAGACGGGCAAACCCAATAGCGATCAAACGCTTATCTGTTTGAGTGGTCATGTTTTGCATACTTGGTAGTTCAGCGATGACTACTTTCTGGATAACCATATGTAGCATATTTGGTTGAATACTGTTCATGCTCTGAAAGTTGGATGTAATTAGTGATTAAAAAGACTAAACCTTGGCCAAATCGTCTGCTCCACGAACAATGATGAATCTTGCTAGGAACACAATGAACATTTTAAGGAACTTTGGTGTTTTATTATTTTGGATTCTTTGGAACATGTTGTTCAGGATCAACTTGATTGGTGAATCGACTCCTTGGATCATCTTAAACCGTACGATATAATGGTTGAAAAAAGAGTTGAATTGAACCTCTAAAGAAGGCAATAAGGCATTTGCAAGTTGGAACCCGTAATTATCCAAAGATTTAGATCCCATTAATCTGAAACAAGTTATGTAAATCGAAGAATATGACCAAACTAACCTAGCAAAGTGTCCCAAAATTTTCACTGAATGCTCCGATAAAACTTTTTCTGGTGCGTGTTTCAGGTAAACCTATTGAAGAAGATATATATAGCAAAGTTAGAAGAAATTATACCTCTACAACTGACAAAGCAGCTGGAACATTAGCCGATCTAGCCCACAATTGCTGATCCAGCAAGAAGGTAAGGAATGCAATGTACTTGTCCGAACTAGAACCGTTGGAAACCGCAGCAGTAAGCAGAACACCTGAAGGCGGTAATGATCAGAATTAGAAATAGTTAGAACCTGTGATTTGCAAAGCATAAGGTATTAAATCGGCTATATCCTTGGTCATGATAGTTTCAATCAAAGGCATAAGTTGTTCATCCAAACTTAAACCAGGAAGGTTGGCAGTCTGAGAAAATAGTAATATTTGGAAGTTAAAATCACCATTGTACCTTTCTGATCAAGACGCACATTGTTTCGAACAAGAAATGAGTGTGAACAGGATCAGCAGGATTCTTGATGGTGGCATCAACAAGATTGGCTAATTGTGTAGCAATAGCTCCAGCATGACGAGAAGAATTATCCTACAATTAGAAGAATAGGTAAAATCTTCGAAGGACGGCTTACATCTAAAAGAGCGACAACACGTAGAACTGCTCTGATCAAATAAGGAGAGTTCTGAGATTTCGGATCTTTGTCGAAAGCTCCAACCAAATTGGATAGTAAGGATTCAACTGGAATTTCTTTACCAGTGATATAAGGAGCCTTAAAAGTAGGGAATTTGTAGAAAATATTTGCAAAACTCACATTCGTTTGAGGATTCTTAACCAGCGTAACCTTTTCAATCGCATAAGCAGCATACTTATGTAACATCTGCAATAAAAATATTCAATAAATGATGTGTTGTTTTTCATATACGGGTATCGTCGATTGAAGTAATCTATCTGCGGCTTGAATAACTTCGACAAGAACTTCTAAAGGTAATTGGTTTCTGAATGTTACTACGAATCTGAAAGAAAAATATTTCAGCTTCATCATGTTATAAAATCATACTTAACAGCATCCATTCTTAAAATTGGGGTTTCGTTTACATCTCCAGCTAAATGAGTGCGTACTTGATTCGAATAATAGTCCAGTACGTTGACCTGTACAAATTCGATTTTAGACCTTTTCTGCACGAGAAATATGTTTTACCAATTCACTGGTACTTGTTGCTCCCGCTTTAGCTGTTTCCGTTTTTGAAGCCATCGCAGTTACCAAACAGTAAACTATATCCATCTTCATCCATGTTCCATCTGCGCACAGAGATGGTATGATCTATGATAACTCCAACATATTTATCTTGAGATCCTAAATTCAAACCTGTCCTAAGATGGGAATCAATGCTGTTTCAAATCGTCTGCATAAAGCTCGAACTAAATCAATAGAACCTCTTCTTCGAGTACCAACATCAGTTCCTAAATAAAGATATATGATCAGATTCATTTAACATAAATTTTTAACCTTCGAGATCTCGTTTCATGAAATCAACAGGCTCATCTTCGAACAACTCTAAGTCTTCCGGTCGGAGAACTAAATTCTTGATACACACATCCTCTGGAATTGATTAAGATAAGTTTGAAATGATCAAAATTTCCCTACGTGCTATTGTCTGAAGAACTCCTTCCCCAGTGAAGAACTGTTCATAGTATTGCTTTTGGCAGATGATTGATAAGAAACTCAAGCATGAGCAAATCATTCCATCATATCTGAATGGAAAAACTGATTTTGGTTCATGGAACAATACTGACCTAACTTCTGGTCCGGTTTGAACAACAAGTTGCCAAACTGATTGAATTATTGAGGGCATGAAGGGGTTGATTTCTTCTTCATACCTCTGGGCATACAAAGTAAAAATTTCACAAATTTCTGCCTTAAAGTAACATCAATTATTAATAACCATGTAATCCAAAATAACCTTCATTTTATCTAAAGATGTTGGGTCTCCTGCAGCAGAAGTGATAGCAGGGAAGTTCAAAGGCATTAAGAATAGGAAGCGATCAACCCATTCTTTCAAATGATCTTCGAAGTACTCAGGTATATCTTGGAAAGATAAAGAATGGAAGACACGGCAAATGTAATGTAACATCTAGATGAGGGTTCAATTGAGAATCTGCTTAAGAAATATCAACTCACATCCAAAATTTTAGCAAGGGTTTCCACTGGTAAAGCGCTAGGATCGGAGAGAGCATCCGAAGTTTTTTTGAAAAGATTAGTGAGAGGCTCTTGACACTGATACAATGAAGCTTAGTAAGAAACTTATCATTATACTTACAGTTAATAAACAATTCTTTAATTCAGTCCATAATTCAACCGACTTCTGTTCATAACGGAACTTTTTGAATAGCTGATCTAATGATGAAAGAACTGTTATCAACTTTTCGGGGTTATCCGATCCAAGAAGAGAAGCTAGGGTTGGAACTAAGTCTGGCCACCTAGCAGGGAAATCCCTCTGAACAGATTCACGTTTTTATCGTCTACTATGATAATAATGATTCCCAAACCTGTGCAATCAAATGTAAAGCATGTGATAGTTGGTTTTGAAGAGTAGACGAGAGGTTATTGTTATCGAATAGAGTACTGAGGATAGCACTTCTGATAACTTCTTCTTCCGAAGAAGGGATATCAATTTCTGGCGTGGGACTCTATAAATTCCCACTAACTAAGGCATAATGGAATAATCTCACCCAATTTTTTTTAATAAAGTTTTTCAAAGTAATGGAGGCGGCAGTCGACACAATTGCAGGAATGGAGGGATCACTAACCAAGCGGATCAAGATCAAACCGAATTCTAAGAATATTTTGGTCAATTTGGTTATAACCTTATAGTTTTACGTGACTCTTTCTCGAATTCGTTGATCTTGGCTTCGGCACTACGACGAACGTTTACATCAGTACTTACAGTGCTTTGCAAAACTTCAGCAACTTGTGTAAGATTACTGTCCATATTTGTAGCTTCGATGCCTTAAAAAACGACAGTTTCATTAGGTTTTCGCAATAAATTGTGAAAGATAGCAACGGAGAATTTCATAATTAATGGGAAATAAGTGTTTTAAAAGCGCGCCATGGAATATACGCAATATCGCGTAATAAATTCTCTAGAACATGCTCCTGGGCGAAGTGTGGTTGTGTGGAGTGGTTAAGTCTTATTATTGAAGACAAAAAAAAGAATGTTTGAAAACTCTTTTATTATGCTAATGTAAACTAACTATTATTGGGAATAAGAATCACTGGGTTTTCATATATATTTACACTAAATTAGCTTGCACAAAGAACGTGTTGAATACTTTCGTTACAAACTCATTTTCAAGTTCAACAGTGGCAAAGACAGTTGTGTCAAACAACATTTCGATCGTTTTGATGAGGTATTAGTGAGACTTGTACCAACTATTCCTGAGTTCTCCTGGGGCATCAAACCAAGCGATGTAGCTGCAGGAAGCTTTTCCGCGTAAGTTCCACATTTCTAGCTCATCACAATTCTCTCCAGCTGGAATCATCGTGTTAGGTACATTTACAATCTGATCATACTGATTAAGGATGAGTTATGAGATTGGAACACAGCTGAGTTAACTGAACAATCCAGTCGCCCACATTTCCCAATGTTTGCTTCATATCTTGAATATAAAACAATATGTTGTTCAAACTGTTATATTCAACCTGCAGTAAAAATTGAAGGCATCGTGTGATCCTGTCCATCTACCTGACCACGAGCAATCAATTGGATCGCTTCTGAAGAGTTTTTTCATCTAACTTTCTTTGAAGTTTTAGATTACCTACAACAATACTTTTTACTGAGCTTGGTACCAAAAAAGTTTAGACAGGGCTCTCCGAAGGAAGGATCAGGAACACAAGCAGTACCATTTTCACATCTGAGAAAAATAGTGCGGAAAAAGAAAAGATGGGTATACCTTCCAGTATGTGATCGTATAAAATCAAAACCTGCTGGACAACTATCAATACATAAAGGAGCTAGCCCAAACCAACGACATCCACCTAAAGACGGTAAGCGGCTATGAGGCTTAGGAGAACGGGGCTCACTAAATAGAACTTATTACTAGAAATTGATTCAGTAAGCTCTAACGTTAGTAAGCTCGATAACTCCTGAGTGGTTGTACCGATAATCCCATCCCGTAAAATCACACTTTGAGAGAGAAGAGTTCGAATAAGTAATGAAAACGTTATGGCAATAGAATGAAGTTTGATGTACATGATGATGTGGACAGTTAGATGATATGTTAGAAGTCAACTGAATTTTTAGAAATGGAAGTCGTGATATTTTGATGTGAAATGGAGGAAGTTTCGATAGGATAAAGAAAAGCTAAAGTTTTGATGTTTGCACAACTACATAAAGAGATTTTCGCGCTTTCCTTATGCGTGAAGTATTTGATTAATTAATGACAGCTCTTTTTTGGGATCTTTGCCCTCTTGTTTTACGATTACCCCAAAACGGATCAACCTACGTATTTTATGAAATCTTATTCTCACTGAATGTTGGGAATAGTCTTGAGATGCGGATGTTTGAACAGAATTCTGGTTATTACATGAGCAAACATTGCCAATTGTGGCTTTTACCCTATTGATTTTGATTGTAGGTAGGAAAAACTTCGGTATTATTCTTTTGAGAATTTCGGAATAACTGTCAAAATGTCAAAATTCCAAGCTTTGTTTGATGATATGTCAACATTCCTATTATCGACCTATATTTGGTACAGGCTTAACGTCAACTAATTTCATTTCGTTTATGAATGAAGACCCCGAGGCATAATATCTGTTTACCTTCCAATTCCATTACGCGAGAGTATAACTCAGTTTTTATGTCGTTTGAAGTCATCTTTTCAACAGTTTGAGAGAACTCAGACAATTTTCTTCTTCATTCATCATTATTTGGCATTCGGCGTCGACGGCTGCAACTCTCTTCTGAGTTTGTTGACAAATCTGTTTGCCATTGGCTTTTGAGGCCAGTTCGGAAAAAAGACATGGTGAAGTCGACACGCTTTATGTCATCAGAAGAACAATTGACGAGAACTTTACGTGTGCTGGTGATCAGGCATCGACAAAGCTTCTCCATATGTTTCTATTTCTTACGAATATTTGGAGTCAGATTAATGTTAACATCTGAATCGCAACATTTGTCATCTCCAAATGACCTGATTTTCGCAAGGATTACGGCCATTCCATGTACTATTGAACCTTCCTATGCTGTTTCAGATTCCTTCAAGAATTAGTATCATTACAGTTTGTCGTTTTACTTTCAATTTTTTGAGTGTTTTAAAATATTTATTCAATGAGTAAACGGCTCTCCTGGTCTTGAGTACTTCGTCTCCAATATTAAACGAGAACTTATCGACTTTCCCATTACAATGTGATTTTCTTGGTTTTTCAAATACATTTTTGATATATTACTCAGTTTAAACGCAAACTGTGATTGTAATATCCACATTTTCTCATCAACAGCACAAATTTGTAGTTTTCAAAGATTTCTCATCTGTAAATAAGATTTCATCCCTTATTAACTTTTCCAATGTTTGCCCTAAATTAATTCGTAACTATATAGGTTTGCATAAGTGTAGGAAACGTATGCCTTAATCTTTTCTTCTTCTTACTAATTGTTGTTTTCGCAGAAACTCTCATGCACTATATGTGAGAAAAGTTATTGCTTACAACACACAACATCGCTTTTAAACTTTTAACTCTTTCTCAAGTTATTGCGTTTAATTGAAAACAACATACAAGTACAAGAGGAAGATAGGTGAAAAGGGATTTTCTAGTGATTATTAACAATAGAGCGTATGCGATAAATAGACCGGTTCAGTTCATTCATGCTTTAAGCTGTCAAGAGAACGATTGTATAACATGATTTTCCTTTTTTTTGTTGTAGAAAATTCACATAATTTGTGCGTGTAGATCATAGCAATACTGCTTTTATAGTACTTTGAAAGGCAAGATTTCATGATAAAAACTTTTATCATTGAGATTCTTAGAATACGTTTTTTTTAATAAACAACCATTGTAAGTAGTGATGCGCATGTTTTCATTCTACTGTTATTATAAATATTCCACGTTCCACGTGAAACTTTACTTTTTATTTTTTCATTCTCAAACGCTTGGAGCGGTTGTTAATTTTTTTAAAATTTCAGTTATGCCGCGTGAAAGAGAAGTCTCGACGCGTCTAATCCGGCCAACAAATCCTTTCATAGATCAGAGTCAATTACTTTTGTTTGTTGATAGATGGAATCCAAGCTGGGAAATAGATGGAAGTATAAAGGTTAGACTTCAGACATGACAAACCAATACTGTATATACCACTTCAGATTTTTGATGAAGGTATTGCCCAATACATGCTGGCTGACTTGGAGTCTCATTACAAATATTTTGCTTCCCTCATCTTGGGGAAGCCAAGTTTGCGTTGTCAAATGGTCGGAGATGAACCTGCAGATGATTTAGATGAAAATGGAAACAAATTTGAGTTGGTTAGTTTTGCTCAAGTGTCTTTAACAATCTTCGGCAGAAACTTTGCACTTTTATGTTTTGTCATGCTATTTTATCAAATCAACTCTTGTTCTCTAATCAACCATCGCTTTGTGGTGTGATGAATTGAAATCAAAAATAAGACCCAACGCAGCTTTCCGTACTTATTATAAGACGTCTCTCTGTCCGCAACGTTATCAATTGAATGAAAAGCAATATCCGCAAATAGATTGCTTTCAAAATGATTGTTTTTAGAATCAACAAAGAAAAATTTTTTTAGGAAATCGAATTTCATAAAAAAAATGTTTTATAGATATCACAAGGTGAACTCAATTCGGAGGATGTGCAGCGCATTGAACTTCTGAAAATGGTGTTATCCAAAAGGGGATACAGATTTTAGAAACTTTCTCGTTCAAAACAATAATAACATTCCTTCAAACATATGATTTATATAATTTCAATCCTCGAACTTATCTCGTATTGTAAATAATAAGAATTGAATAAATTTTATTGTTGCCGATCCCATTCGAACAAAGCGTTCTTTCTTTTTTTCTTTCGCAATGTCTTGTTTTCAACTTTCGTCACGTCATGTGAAAGTTTGAGAGCAACTGTCACCCAAGGTTCAACCAAGATGTTTGCCGTTCCGACCATAAGTTTTTATCTAATGGACACGTTTCTTTGATGAAATATGTTTTTTCTCTTCTTCATCTGGAAAAAAGCTGATCACTGCAAAAAAAAATTCTTTTCGTCGTAAACAAGTTGACTCACAGGTAATTCTCAATTGCGTTAGGTAAGTAGTGAGATGTTTAATGTTTGTAGTTTATTCGACTGCGACGAGTCCATAACCATGAAGCACAGACTGTAGTTCCAGTTATAGCCTTCTAGGTCTAAGGGACATCGAACGAACAGCAAACGAGAAATGTTCTGAGATTGTGGGGTGGATAGCCTGTGTTGTCTGTAGACATCATCTTTTTTTCTTTCACCAGCATTGACTACATCTTCTCTTCCGCAAGTCAGCAGGGCGTCGTCCGGTTCGATCTTATTCCTCAGTCTGTAAGACTCATCTGACGATTGCGACCCTTGGGACAAGGCTACGACTATGTAGAATTTCGCACGTTTGCGTATAAATTTCACATATTCTTAACCTTATCACCTTATCCGGATAGTAGTTATCTTTCAGGTAAAACTCTTAACTCTCATTTTGTGTAATCTGTTCACCGCATGCGTTTTGTTTCACTGACTGAACATTTTGTTGACAAATATTTGTTGTGTAAACAAGCACAGATTGACACGAAAAAGATGCGTGGTGCAAAACACTTATTTTAATTTATCTCACCTCATGATCTCCTAATCACTTTGCCATAATTGATAAAAAAATATCAATGCAGTTATTTCGAAAAATACTACTTTACTCATACTCAAATTATAAAAGAATGACTCTCAAACAATGATAAAAAACAAAGTCGGTAGAAATATGAAGATCCGTCTATTGCCCTTTTGATTTATCCTATGATTGTACTTCGGCATGGTCATGTCGGAAGTACAAAAAAATCCTTGCGAATGCTCACCAATAGGAAATAGAGTTTTTAGTTTTCGTTATTTACGATTTTCTCGATAATTGATTACTTATGGCATTCGATGTTTACGCCTGTTTGTGAGTCTCGTGAGTTTTAGAAGCAAATAGTTTTGCCATAAAACACTTCAGCTGCTAAAACATTTCACTTATAAAAAGATTATCGACCAACGGCTAACATGATTGTTTCAAAGGTCGCAAGAGATGAAGTGCCTACTTCTTCAGCTTACCCACCTCATGTTTTTAAGCTGGTGGCATTCTCTTAAGGTGGCTCATTCGCAGCAGCCAACGTTCGCTGTCATATTCAGCTAGTCTCCTCCCATGATGACAAAGCTGGAGTACGCAATTGCGTACATTCTAGATTACCCTCGGCTGTTCTATTATTGTGAAATTACGCCTCAGGTACAAATAGAAATATGTATATGGATTAGTTTGAATAAATGCCGAGGCTACTCGCATGTATATCTCTTGTTCATCTAATTAACATATCCATAGACCACATTTTTGAAATATTATTTCTAACTAGCACGCGAGCGCGTACGGTTGTATGCAGCCAATCCATTTCAAACGTATAATTCTGTTTCATTCGGGTAATTTTCGAAGCCTCCTTCTTTAACCATAATAAACACTTGAAATAAAATTGTTCAGATTCAATTACACTATTTAGCTTTTCTTAGATAAAAATTAATCGTTTTGTTATCGTTACCTAGCTATTTTTATTCAGGCTTGTTGAATGGAGGCCACATCTCATAGAAATGCTTGCTTGTCATGCCGACGGCCCATGAAACTTGACCCTAGCTTGAGAAAAAATGATAGCCCAGAAATGAATCAGGTAATCATTATAATCATTGATTTATGAGTACCCTTGTTTTATAGACTCACGCATTTACCAACGATGATGAAGGGTTGGTAGGCGAGTCGAAAAATTTGCTTAAAATCATTAGTGACTCCTCCATATTATCGGATACCCCAGTTTGTCGAGTTAGTTATTGTATCTTTTTTCTTTTGAATTTATAGTGTTTAGGAGTGTGCCAACGAATTAGATCAAGATTTGAATAAACATTTAGCAACTTTAACCGAAGAATGTAAATCCTTCGAGAATCTCATGAAGGACATGGAGAGTTTGGTGTCAAGTTCCAATCTCTCTGAAAAGAAACAAGAGCTAGAGGCTTTAAAAGTAGGGAACTTTTTGTTCAGCTCATAAATTCTTATATTATTTCCAGTCTGAAGAGAAGCGTTTGAACTCAGAACTCCAACGTTATTTGGAAGAAGAAAGGTCTCTCGAGATAAAACTTGCAAGAGAAAGGGAGATCTTAGAACAAAATTTGAAAACGGAAGAAAGCAAGTGGAGACAGTTCAGAGATAACCACCGGTTCGATTTTCCACGGACTCCTCGGAATTTATAATTGCATTTTTCTCAGAAACTTGATCGATATCAATCGTGCCACAGCTCATCTTGATGCAGAGGTCCGATATGCTCATGCACAACATAAAAAATTATCAGGCCTCCATATTCTGGACGCTTGTTTCAACATATGGGTTGATAGTAGCGGTGCAATTGGTCATTCTTAAATATTTTTGATATTATTCAACAACTATTTTCAGGAGAAATCAATGGTTTCAAATTGGGAAGATTGCCTTCTAATCCTGTAGAATGGCCGGAAATAAATGCGGCTTGGGGTCAAGCTGCGCTTTTGCTTTACGTAATTATTTTGAACTAGACTTCGGACATGTGATTTTTTTCAGGTGTTATTAGAAAAATTGAAAGTGAATCTTGAGAATAAGAAAATAGTTCCGCTAGGTAGTTATTCACATATTGTGATGTTTAAGTAGGCGAATTTCTTTTTGTTTTTCATTCGAAAATTTCTTTAGGGGAGGAGCAACTCAAACTTTACCTCTATACGGCTCAGGACCGTTAAACCCATTTCACAACCAAAGCTTAGACTCTGGCATCTTAGCTTTCTTGCAATGCTTTGATACGCTTCATGAAGCCGTCAAGGTAGGAGGTTCATTTCGTTCACAAGTTGCTTTCCAAGTTGTTTCTCGTGAGTGTCGGTTTTGCGTACATTGACCAATCTCAAACATAGGACAAGTCCTTACGAATCGCTTTTCTGAGAATGTTTGCGTATTGTCATGTAGCTTTCTATCTTTTTTTCTGTATTTAGTACCTAATTAGTAGTATTGTTAAATAATTGATTTTTTTTCATCAAATCCTCAAATGTCCTTGACTGCGTTTATTCAATAATTTGGTCACAATGGTCAAACCGACTACAGACCGATTTCTTGCGTTTCACAGGGATGCGTAATACCTACTTATTCCCCTAATCTTTATATTGTGCTGCACACGCAAATAATTTGAAGTCTTACCTATTTGTTTTCTAGCTTCAGTTTCACATGATCAGCAACTGTTTCTAATAGTTTTTGATATTAATATTATTTTTACAGGCTCAAAACCCAGCGTTTGCATTGCAGTATTATATCAACGGTGATAGACTCGTGCACGACAAAGTCGAGTATTCCGCCAAAACTATGTTGAATAGTGAGGAACGTTGGACGAAAGCTATGAAAATGCTGCTAGCTAATCTTAAGGCAGTTATGCTTCAAGTGATTAGTCTTGAATATCCTTCTTAAATACTATTCGTAAGGCCAATCTCATTACAGGTTTGAAAACATTCGCTTTTTTTTCTCATTGTTGTATATCTTATATGATTGTGTAATGTTTCTCAAGTATTTTGTTTTATTTTGTACATATTTGTACTGTATTCTAGTCGTGTACATACATATATATATAAGTATATATAGAAAACGGTTTCTAATTTTTCCTTTTTGAAGCTCAGTTCATTCTGATAGCTACCTATAACTGTATTAATTATATGTTTTTATATACCATATACATTTAGCGTTTTGTCTTCTCAAGCTTCTCTCCGATTCGGTCTTTATGGGCTTTGAAAAGAGTCGTCGAACACGTCGCAGTAGTAGTAGTAGCAGCAGGTAATATACCAGTTGATAGATTCTATAACATAATGCATGTTTTCAGTGATTCAGGAGACGAATGTGCTTCCAGAAGTCATATTCGTCGTTTGATGCAAGATCGAACAGGTTCTCGAGCCAAAACTGTTGAGTGGAATGTGAGTTTGCTCCCAATGATCCCAGTATTTTTTCTCTGTTTTCAGTCTCACACTTCATGGATTGTATTCGCATCATTCCTCGTCCTCTCTCCTCTACCGTTTACAAAATTCTCTTCTAATTTCGGCCGTGGTTAGTTCAGTTTATAAACTTGGTTCGCTAGAAAACAACTACAGCTTTTTGTAAAAATTTCTACCATAAGTTGTAGTTTTGTGAATGCACGTAGCAGCAATCAGTAAATCTGGTACATACCTTGTTTCTTTCATATGCCTGTATAACCTGGTCAATAGCAAGGGTGTCTTTTAGCACTGTGTTTCGTTAGTTCCCCACTCGTTCTCTCGCTTTCCAGTCTCTGCCGCAATACTGCCAACAAACATGACATCACTATTAGCGATATTTCGCGTCTTTAATCGCAGACGCGCAGTCAGTGTCGCCTGACTTCCAGCACTTTCGTTTTAACATTTCGAACATCAGTTCTTTCTTTACTTTTAACCTTTCCTTGTGCCGCAGTTTCTTTATTTTTCAACTTTTCTAGAAAGAACCGAAACTTGCGGACACCCGGCTGCGCCATTTAATTTTTTTTCCGAATTTTGAAGACATTATTTCTTTCTCTGTGTGATAACATTCTAAGATCTTCATAACGTTTTCATATATAAATAGATAAATTTACCCTTTCTTATCATTCGGTGGAAGTTCTTCATTCCTCTGTTGCAGAAAACGTTTACGAAATGGATATGGAGAGAACATATCAAGATGGATTCAAGCCAAGACCTATGGGTTTAAGGTAAACCAAACATTTTGTAACTTTTCTCACGTTCTCTATTGAATAGATGGAGGGATGACGATTGGGCTATGCAGCAATGGAATTCTCCAAACGATACCTATCGTCCAATTGTACGTTTGAGAAAGCTATTGCAATTATTAAATGCGTTTCAAGATGGCAATGCCCGTTTTGACTGAAAGGCAGAGGTTTGTTGGCAGACAAATACCAACAACTTCGTCTGAATCGGTGTCTAGTACCAGTCAAGATCCAAGTTTGGAGGTTAGTACAAGAAAATTAATAATTATTAAACCACTTGTTTCAGGATATTGAACTGATCGATGTACTTTGGCGTAGTGATATTGCCGCGGAAAAAGGTTCTCGTCAATTGACTCCATCCGATCAATATGAAAGAGATCTTCAACTTTTGACAGAAAAAAGTACTCGCGCTGTAAGTTACTGCAATTTTCTTATTTTCTTCTTCCCAAGTCTTGAGGCATCAGTTTGTTCTACCATAATTTTGCCGATAATGTCGAGCTATCTTGTACTTAAAAATCAGTCATGTGGGGTCGGAGATGGGTACGTATTGGGTTCAAAACTCAGACTGATCTTCGACGGCTGCTTTTTTTGTTTTTGGAGGGACATATCATGAAGTGAAATAAAATATGCACGAATTATTTTCTTTTGCCACTGCTGGTAACGGTGATATGGAGAAGTTTTCATAACATTACTGAACCCCTTTGAGTTCATATTATGGGGGAAATAGTCTATAAGTCGCGATCTATCTCGATTGTTTTCAGCCTCTGGTTGGAGAAGAACCGTCTCGTTTTGAAGGGCTTGCCAAAGTATACTATGAAGGATTCTACAACCCATGCTCCAACAAGAACGGAAAAGCTGTAAACTCTGAACAGTATGAAGATATGAAGAGTAGCGCTCCTACCGATGTGAGATTTCTTTAGTTTTTTTTTATCAGTTATATATTTTATAGGACGAATTAAACGCATTACTGAGCGACATGAAAACCAAAAACTCTGAACTTGATCAGGCTATCAGTTTTCCTTATTCCCAGAGTATGCTGGAAACGGAAAACACTCCTCTTTTGAACAACGTTAGTCTGTCTGAAGGAGTTGTATTTAATCAGAACAATGGTAAAACACAGTTGACCTCCATCAGTATTTTAATTCTTCCAGTTACCGAATTGCATTATCTCGGTAATGAGCAAACTGTCCCTGAAAGACAGGAATTCCCTAGTCCATCTGCGGGTTTGTATAACAGCTCAAGTCTTGAACTAGGAACTTCGTGGATGCAACAACCTGATGTATCTCCAAATGAAGGTATGGGTTAACTCATGATTTTTCGTTATAATCTGATCTTCGGCTTATAAACTATCGGTTCCTCCCTTTTTAGATAACACGTGGAAAAATTTTTAGTGTAGTTTCATTATCAAGTTTCGTAGATTATAGCCAACGATTTTTCTTATTTATCTTAGCTCCGCCTTTGACTCTCTATGTCGTGAATCATGCCCCTCTAAGCCGAACAAATTAATTTGCTTCGCATGCCCACTCATTAATATTTTTAAAGTAAAATTCTATATTTAATTGATTTTCTGTATTTCAGTTTATCCCACAGCACCACATTTGAATTATGCTCCATTCCCACCTAATGATACAGCTGTTCCAATCGTGTCCACTGGGGTACATTATGATCATGCTTATCAGGTAACATTGCTCAGATAAATAAAATGTAACTATCTTACTTTAGACGCCTCGTGTCCATGTATATGATCCATGTTACGGAGTTCGTTCTTCATCGTTGAGCGAGTGAGTTGACGTCGTTGAATTAATTTCTATCAAGAAGTTTTAGTTCTTCTTCTATTTGCTCCTCGTCTTCGGCTACTTCTCCTTCTTACACAAGTGAAACAGAAAACAGAGCTCCAGGGTCAAGGTATAGTCTAATATGTGGATTTTTGATAGTTATAATTTACAGATACTTCGGAAAGCTTGTTCCTCCACAAGAAAAGTATTCTAAGAGAGAGATTGATGAAGATGAATATTCTAAGCATGCCACCGTTGTTCCGGCTCGTCGTCGTGGTCGTCAGTCGAAGGATGAGTTTCTGGCTCATTCTAATAAGCTTCCAGTCTCAGCTCGTGAAATAGCAGAGATGGCTCTCTCCGATTTGCAGAAAGTCTTGAAAAATGACCGTTTATCAGATCAGCAAAGAGCTTTGATCAGAAAAATCCGAAGAAGAGGAAAGAACAAGGTTGCTGCACGTCAATGCCGTCTTAGACGCGGCGACCGTGTTCAAAAGAAGGAATGGTAAAGATGAGCTAAAGTGTGTATTGGTATGTCCAAACCAATTTTCATCATGTTACCTTTTAAAGGAATGCGTTATCTCGTTTTTAGTTAGTTTCATCTGTATATTCAATGTAATTTAGTTTCAAGCAGCAACAGTTGTGCATATTGGTCTTATATTTATTACCTCGGTGTTTTTTTTTCCACTTAACACAATCAGAAGTTTGCTATACCCCAGTATTCCAATTTTTACAAGAGAAATTTGCTGGTTTTCAAAAAAAAATTAGTTGTAGAAATGACACACGGGTTTTCTATAATAATGTTTTACACTAAGCATGTTTTTTTTTTAATAATTTTGATCGTTATAATAGAACATGAAACATGTATCTCTCTTTTCTTATTTAAATCATTGCTTAATCTGTAATGTATTTTCTAAATGAACTGTTTTTTCCATTTTTTCGAGATTTTAAACGGCAAACGGACAGAACGGTTGAGAGCAGTCCCATTTCACTTATGAGTGATGAGATATGGTCTTAGAATATTGCGAGTGCCCAAAATGGAAGCACTTTTCTTTGTTCCCTTTTTTGACTAAAATTTCATTTTTTACTTGGTAAAATATTTTCTTTGTAACTAATTTTTTGATCTTTCTGCTTTGCTTTTTTCCCATAAACTAACAAGTTATTCTCACATTTATCACAATATCGTTGAGCCTTTAGGTTTCATATTTATAAGGGAAACGTGTACATGTCTGTTTCACAGTGCTAACCCAGGAGTGTCAATCCGACAAAACATAGCTGGAAGTAAGGCAATCTTACTGAATCTTGAAATTTTTAAAATAATTTTGAAGCCATGTACTCATGCTATGAAGTATAGATGTTTTCCAGAGATTGGTAATCATAGAAACACCGTATTCCATTCACTTTAAATTTCTGAACCTTAGGTATATTTGTTTGACAGTTTTGTCTGCGTTCATTACTAAATTTTTAAAAGAATATGGATAAGATGCTTGACAAACAAATGAATCAGATGAAATTGAAATTATGTAGAATTAGAAAGCTGAAAAACAAAAAATGCTCGTTTATTTCATTATACATGTCATATTCACTAGAACATTTAACGATACAGACATAATCTCACGAAAAATATTTCTTCATAATCAGGAGAGCTTTTGCATTCTGTGAATGATTTCGTCTAAAGTGAGAATACGAGAGACTCTATTATTCTTCATCTTTATTCATCACAATTTTTTTGAATATTCCGCTTCTCTTTCTTTCAATCGTCATTGCTAGTATAAACCGAAAAGCAATTTACCTATTCTTCATTCCAACTCCATTCAACTATTGAACTTGGTTTGAAGTTTGTTTCAACGTTCTTTATTCAAGCTAATGACGGTGCCAACATTGACAAGTCTTCGTCAGATGTCTCCAGATATTTGTGTGAAGGTTAGCCTAATGAAAAATTAAAGAAGAAACCAGATGAATTTTGAATATTTACCAAAGTTTTTAGAATTATTGAACTGAGGTTAACTTTTTTTTAATGTAAAGCAAAGCAAAATATATATTCCGTGATTAATGCTGTTCCAGCAAGCTCTTGAAGTTATTCGCCATCCTCTTATTCGGTTTGCTCAAATGTGTGCCACACTAACCTGTTCGTTATCTTTAATTCTTCTAATAAGGATCATGTTTAAGAAACTGCCCAAGTGTAGTTATCACAAAAACTTCAAGGCTTGTTTATATTGAGTCTTTAATATTTCTTTAAATTCTTCTAGGTCCTTCTATGGACTTTCCATTTCAATGCACTGGTGCACGCAGTGATCATAAGCTTGAGCCAGGTTTTTTCGATACCCATCACTTACTTCTAGCTTTTTAGGCTCATCAGTTTCTCCGAGGTTTTATAATTGAAGAACCATGTGATCTGTTCTTAGATCCCAATTACTACCGATGTGCGAACGTTATAATATTCTTCTTAATGCAGTACCAGGTGCCTGACATATATAGATATGAGATGTAGTTTCCCCTTTCAAGGTTTGGCTCCTTCTGTTTATGTGGCTTGAGAGGTTAACGGCTACAATTTGCCAGAGGAACTATGAACGAAACGTCGAGTTCTTAGGAATTATTTTCCTCTTTTTCGCTGTGAGTTGATGAAATATGAAAGTTCTCATGAGCATTAACCTTCTCACTCGAGCTCAATCGATGAACGGTTTTCAGGCAATTGTGCCTGCGGGACTAACCTACTGGGCATACACGGAAGAAATGTGGTTCGACCCAGCCATAAATGTTATAAATACTCCGAGCTCTTCACGAATCAAAGTGAACATTGTCTTCTACGTTCATTTGGGAATTTGCGGTTTTTGTTTAATTTCTATAATTATTATTAATCTAATCAACAAACGACTCAAAATGTAAGTGGACAATGAGATTCTCACAAATGAGATTTCCAATTCAGCTTTAAAACGCATTCTTCCTTGTCTTCTCGATACCAAATATCTGAAAACGTAATGACGACAAGAATTCTGATATATATTTCTATTTTTACAACGGCAATGTACATTCTTTACCTCTGCTGCACGTTAACTGTTCGCCTAACGGAACAGTTTTCGTTTTTCCGAAACCGATACCCACTCTATCAGGGATTAAGAAACACTTCATATGTGAGCTCAAAGTACATTTTTCACAACCAAACACTTTTTTTTTGAAGGTTCTACCCTTATTTGACTTAATTCTTCCACTTGTTACTCAGTTTGTTCATGATTATGGACGACGTGCTTCTGCAATCAAACGATTGGAGATAATTGCAACGGCTGCTACTGGGGATGAAGGATGGAGGATGTACTCATCAGTCATTCAAAAACAATGGGGTTAATATTATAATCGAAAATATAAGTTTAATTCATAAGATTATTTTTGGAATTTTTAGATGTGTACAGCATTACTACAGACTCTTCATCTAAATAATTTTTGTTTATAGTTTGTTTGAGGCAATTACATGATTTCTAGCGGGTTGATGTCATTCTCAAAATATTTTTCGCTCTCATGACTTTTATTTTTTCAGTTATTTTCTGAGAAAATTTTTTGTGACTCAATATGGGTAATACTATGATGATCTCTAAACATCTGATTATATGTCATTCCAATAAATTGTTCCTCTTTTGTTTTTGATGGAAAATACGAGAGAAAACAAGAAATCAACGAATCAACCACCTTCTTTCCGGGAAACACATAATCCTACTTCAAGAATCATTCTGTCTTTGGAAAACAAATCAGCTTGTACAGATATATGTGTTGGTGAGAATGAAACATCAATAGATGGGATCATTTATCATGCTTGGAGCCATCTCTTGCTAGTCTTCGATCATTAGAGTATGGTCGAGTACAATCACTGACCAAGTTGGTTTGTGAACTAGCCCTCTGGCTGATCTTTTAATTATTAGCAAGATATCGTGCATTGATGTCTTATTCCTGACAGTGTGTTACTTAAAAATATTTATTCAAAATAAAAAAAAGAGATTATACAACATTTGCATGATTTGTTATTCAATGACATTTCATGGCAGAGATGTGAAGAACTCCTTGATGATCAATGTTACTCTTCAAGGTTCCAACGTTGACATCTTTAGGAAGTTGATAGCATCTAAATAACATTATTAATCTTATAATTATCTCTATTCTTTATCCACCTTGTGATGCTGCGAGATGTGAAAGGAGCTTGTGGCATTCCTTTCTGCGCCTTATGCTCTAAGTGAATTTCGATCAGATCTCCAATCGTCTTCACCTGAATAATTTAGCCTTCATGATTGTATAGATTGTAAACAAACTTCAATCTCATTTGGACCAAAAGGCTTGGCATCTAATCCAACCTCAAAATGATTTTCATCTTCGACGAGCTAAAAATTAAAAGTAAAACTGAACGTTCTTGCTTAAAATTAACTTACGCTGACGAATTCGTCATTGTGTTGAAGGGGCCAGTCCCACATCTTTTGTTGGCAAGGCATTGTTTCCATTTTTGCGAAAATTGAGCTGCAAAAAAATATATTTAGAGTATGTTAAGTAAAAGAGAATTTAAATTTAGAACAGTAGAGACTTAATGGCTGGAGAAAGTATGAAAACGATGAGCTTTTATATGCGTCTATATTGTTGATTATCTCAAGCTGTACTATCCTCCCCAAGACATCACAAGGCTTAAAGTACTTTGAGGATAACAGCTGGATGTGTTTATTTAGCTTTATGTTCGATGTTACAGTCATGCAAGCTTCAGGTTAACTTCAAGAAATATTTTAAGAATGTTGCAGATCACTTCTGCACTTTAATGCAAAGCAACCGTTAAGTTTACGGATTAAAGTTCGTTTGTATTCCACTTCTTCCAGAGATGTTCTAAGTAAATCAAAATTTTCAATTCCGTCTGTGAGTGACTTCTCAAAATCATTCAATCCTCCAATACAAAGTTCATAAAAACAAACTTTCGCAATGTAGTCGTTGGAGTTGAAAACAAAGATCTCTTAAAACTCATGCTAAAGGTTTTATTCACTTTCATCATACTTTCCAACAATGACAAAGATTAAATGAGATAATCAAATAATCAATTAAGAGGCATATGATATCACATAGTGCTCCAAACACACAACCGTTCATTCAACTTGTCCAACCAGAAATGAAACCAAACGAACAGCTCCAGCTTCATTCCATCGTCATCTAATTAGCATATCTTAATGAAGACGGTGATTTAATAAAAAAAATTTCATGAATAATAGAAAATATATAAATATTTTATATAAAAAATTGAATAAAGTTATGGTGAAGTATATATAGGTAGATCAAAAACCATTTGAACCTCATTTCATAAATCAATAAGAGACTCATGTCATTCCCATGTGTATGTAAGTCAGCATGAATCTTCTTCTAGTCTTCCTCTCTCTATGTATAGATGTATATTTATATATATGCAGATATAAATATATGCATTTAAATGATTTTTGAAGAACATTTTTATAAATGGGAATGTTAGCTTTGTGACCTTTTCTGTTAACTTTTCATTTTGCCTTCTCTTTTGTTTCATATCAATGACGTACTTTTGGACTTTATAGTCATATCTAATACTCTCATCAGAATTGTCGCTCCACTTTTAAACTTCATCGTTTTCTTCCACGTGGAGGAAAAAAAGATAGGAGGTCGTAGAGCATTGGGGTCGAGGTAACACCATTAGATGCCTTTGACCTTTTCCATGAATTCGTCCAACCTCCTAAGCTATGCAGATGAAATGTCATTATGATATTTTATATTTGGAATGAATAGTGCTAGAAATGGCACACACATACGTTTCTTTGCAAATAGTTTCATTTTCGCCAAAAAATTTTTGTCTGTTTGGTTTTGTTTAATTCGTCGTCCGTCCACGTGTAAACGTCGATGTGCAGTTTCGAACTGTCGAGGTTTCTCATTTCTGCGTTTCTCTCTCTACCCTCTGCCATTCCTCAATTCACTATTTGATCGTTTGAAATATTTGATTGATCATATTCAAATTGATAAAAATGATGGAAATTCTAAAAATATAACTGCATCCTCAATAAACGATAACAGCCTCCATTATTTCTCGTTCACTTCCGAACACTTTCTGTGAAGAACAATAGCTGGCAATTTGTGTAAAAAAAATAAAAAAAGACAGAAAGCCAACATAGATTCAGCACATTTCATTGAGTTTATGAAAGATTTTCTTGTTCTTACCAATCCCTTATAATCTTTCGCTTGGAAGAGAGACGGAAGCAGCATATCTGCAATACCAACAACACTTTGTTACATACAATGATTATTTTATTTTATTCTGGTTTTCACTGTGGCCTTCTCTTATCGCCGCCTTTTACGCTCTCTTATCTCTGTTAATTTTCTTTTTGTTTTATGCCATTCACTAGTCTGTTATACTCCAAGAGATGAGGTGATCTTCTCCATGCATTTCCGTCATTCATTCATTTGAACTGTCTTTGTATTACAAATCGAAAACGTTTAAAACAGTTTACTCAGTTATATATATATATATATTCTTAAGGTAATTCAGTAACTTTTCGACCCGCAGCAATGGCTTCTAAGATTCAAGGAGGAGATATCGTTGAGATGCAAGGAGATGAGATGACCAGGTAAACTTATCTCTTTGCGCGTTATTCAGAGAAAACGAAAAGAATAAATCGATTTGTAGTAACCGAGAGCAAAAACATTTTGGAAATATTTGAGTTTTAATCTGTTTCTCAGTAGAAATTGTTCGAATGAGTTGTTCGGAATTTTTATTGTAGAATATCAAGTTGTTTCATTTAAACGTTGGCTAATTCCGATAAAAGTGGTCATCGAACGATATGGTAGAGAGATTGAGACAGTTTGATTGAAAAACATTTGAAAACTGGTTTATTCCTGATTTCATTATTTCTGACATTGCGTGTCCTCTATATTCTTCTGTATTGTCAGCAATTTTTCTTTTTTTACGGATTACGCTTCAAGGAAATGGTAGAGTAGAGAGAATGAAAGAGAAAAGAATTGAAAGGACATTTGTAGAAAGAAAAATCAAAGAAGACACAAATTAGAAAAAAGAAGAACGTAAGAGGTGAATGATAGAAGAGTGGCGTGAGCAGAACTGATAAGGTGACAGAATGATCGGTTGTAACCGAGTTTGGCAAAATTTCATAGAACCCAAAGTACAACTAATTTTTGTTCTTATCATTCTTTTTCTAGAATTATCTGGGACCTCATCAAGGAGAAGCTCATCTTCCCATTCGTTGACCTCAACGTTCATTATTTCGATCTTGGAATCGAGCATCGTGATCAAACTGATGATCAAGTTACCATCGATGCTGCTGAAGCTACTCTCAAGTACAACGTAGCCGTCAAGTGCGCTACCATTACTCCAGATGAGGCTCGTGTCGAAGAGTTCAAGCTCAAGAAGATGTGGAAGTCTCCCAACGGTACCATCCGTAACATTCTTGGAGGAACCGTTTTCCGTGAGCCAATCATTGTTTCCAACGTTCCACGTCTCGTTAACACCTGGTCCAAGCCAATCATCATTGGACGTCACGCTCATGGAGATCAAGTAATTGATGCCGTTCTCTTCAATTTCAATAATTTATTTTTCAGTACAAAGCTACTGACTTCGTAGTACCATCCGCCGGAAAGCTCCAAATCAAGTTCGTCCCAGCCGACGGATCTGAACCAATCGAGCATGAAGTTTTCGAGTTCAAGGCTCCAGGAATTTCCCTCTCCATGTACAACACTGACGAATCTATCAGGTATGATTTCTTTGAAATGAATTTTGAACAGGACTGTTTTTCAGAGATTTCGCTCACTCTTCCTTCAAGTATGCTTTATCACGCAAATACCCTCTCTACCTTTCTACCAAGAACACCATCTTGAAGAAATATGACGGACGTTTCAAGGATATCTTTGCCGAGATTTACCCAGAATACGAGCCAGAATTCAAGGCTGCTGGTATCTGGTACGAGCACCGTCTTATTGACGATATGGTTGCCCAAGCCATGAAGTCCGACGGAGGATTCGTCTGGGCTTGCAAGAACTACGACGGAGACGTTCAATCCGACTCTGTTGCTCAAGGTAGTACTTATTTATTGTTTAAAAACTTATTTCAATTTTTTAGGATATGGATCTCTTGGTCTTATGACCTCCGTTCTTATCTGCCCTGACGGAAAGACCGTTGAGGCTGAGGCTGCTCACGGAACTGTCACCAGACACTACAGAATGCACCAAAAGGGTCAAGAAACCTCAACTAACCCCATCGCCTCTATCTTCGCATGGACTCGCGGTCTTGCTCACAGAGCTAAGCTTGACGGAAACGATAAGCTTGCTACTTTCGCCGATGACCTCGAGAAAGTTTGCATTGAGACCATGGAGGCCGGACATATGACTAAGGATTTAGCTATTTGCATCAAGGGAAACAAGTAAGAAGCCAACTTTCAAATATCTCATAAACAAATGTTTTTTCAGTGTTACTCGCTCTGACTACCTCAATACTTTCGAGTTCCTTGACAAGCTCGCCGAGAACTTAGTCAAGAAGCAAGCTCATTAAACATTAGACCTTACTTCATTAATGTGATAATCGACACTGGTTGTGATTAACTTTGTATGTTTCAACAATATTTTATTAATAAAAACACATAATGACTGTTGAAATTGACAAATTTAAGAAGAAATGTTCCATACGATATTTGACAAATTTTGATTAATCAAATCATTTTTTCATGAAAGCCAGATACCGGCTGAATATGCCACCATCGAACGAGATTAGTAAGAATAAAAAAACAAAATATTTTTCTTTACTCCGTTTGCTCGTGACAAATATCAGCAAATTCCGATGAGCGTAAGGCGGATTTGATCATTTTCTTCAACATTGCATAACGGGGAACGATGGGGTAAATCCTTGTCGTATCATAACGATTGCTTAGTTCCTAAAAGAACATGAGATTGTACATCTGTTTTCACATAATAACAAATTACCTTAACTATACGTCTTAATCCCAAATATTTTTTTATGAGCTTATATAAAGATGAATACATCATTTCGCAGTCCTTGGTGAGCTCATCTGTTTTTCGAGCTAAATCAATAACGTCATATTCTAATTTCACGTGAAGTCACGTAAAGTCTAATAAAACTATTTGTAAGCTGCAGACTCTAATAACCGGTTGGTTTTGTTTTTAATGAACTTGTTTATAGCAAAGGTCATGCCCAATTTTTAAAAATTCTTGCCTTTTATAGAATCGTATAGAGACTGATCAAGCTTTGTTTCCGTTACTCGACCCATCATTGTTGAACTTAACAGAGCTCCTATCCCAGTTGCTGGCACAGCAGCAGAATTAGAATCTTCTAGTAACTGAATTACTCTGAAACAATCAGACGAATCAAATGTAAAACTCTGTTAGTAATTTACTTGACAACATATTCATTAGATTCTTCTCCTCCGTCTTGTAAGGGAATGTCAAGAAGTTTCCAATACTGTTTTTCCAACATGACAACCTTCAAAATAGAACATACAAATAGATGCATAGAAACAAAAAGAAATAATTACTTCTCGAACGCTCTGTTGCAATTTCATATAACGTAGTATAGGGTTATCATCTTTACCCTTCAGATAGTCATCTTGTAACTTTTTCAATCCATTTTTCAATCGTCTAATGAATAACAGAGATGTAGGAATTAATGAGTACGATAGTCAGCATACCTATATGGCTCCAAAATCCTACCTCTAGTACGGTGCAATTTATAAACGGTATTAATCATATTATCTCGACTTGATCCTGAGTTAAGAGCGCGAAATAAAAAATGAAATTAACCAAATGAAAGACTCACTTCCAGGTGTGACAAACGTTGGCACATCAGATGAGCCATCTTTGGCCATGGACAAGAGTATATTGAACATAAGATCCTTAAACATACAATATACGTTGAGGAAGTAATATATATGATTTTTTGTGTGCCAAAATAATGAAAATGTTTTTGCTTACTTTAAAAAAAAAGCGAAAATGATAAAAGGAGATAGAAAGAATAGAAAGGTTTCCGGCTCAATTATAAAAGAAAAACCTTAAGATTTCATATGAAAGAGAGGGTAATGAAGAAAAATGTTGGACTGCGAGGAAGCAGTGTATGCAGATTAGCTGTAAGATTAAGCCGGAATGGCAAATGAGCAAAGATGAGCATAAAGCCTTGTTAAAAAGATAAAGAAGCTTTTTTTTATTTCATCTTTCTCTCTATAATCTTTGCCTCTTTTGCATTATTTTTTATCCTTTTTTTTGTTGCTCTTCTTCCTATTCAATCAGGATTGAAAGTTCTCATAATAGAGAGGAATGTCAATAATTCAATTGTAAGATTGTGTGAATGAACGAAATCAAGTTAACTTGAATGAATCACCAAAATATATATTTTTTCTTTATTTCTTTAAAAGAGAAACCATCTTTGATATTTTTCAAAGTTTCAATCAATCTTTTTAACAAAATATTTCAATTGTAAGTATGTGAAAAAAGAAAATCTCATAAAGTTTCACATCTCAAGTTGCATGCACTTCTTCGTGTATGCTGCCTATATCCGTGAAAAGTGCGCTACCACACAGATATTTACAGATAGAGAGAGAGATAGAGGGATAAAGAGAAAAACAAAAGACTAGAGAGGGAGGAAGAAAGAAAAACTGAACGCTAATATTTATCAATACTAACTCATCGTGTATGAACAAGTATGAAAGAAGGAAATAAAATAAAAATCTGAGAAAATGCTTCGTTCTTGGACATACGGATATTGTTTTTCCCGCGGGGGCAATTTTTTTTCGGTCATGCCTCAAGTTGAGAACAAGCAAAATGAAATATAGCAGACGGTTCGATGGCATGAATTGAATTCGTCAAGCCGGCCTCCCCGTTTTTTCGCCCAAAATTTCATGATATTTGGGGGCAGCTCAACTTTTTTTAAACTTTTAACATACATGAACTAGCAAATTCATATGAGCTTGTGTTCTTAAAAAAATTTTTCTATTGAGCAAAGCTCTTATAAAGGATATGGTGCAGAGAGCATGCGAAATCTCGTAAAAAAAGGATATAGCGCTGTTTATGATAGATGGGCTGCTTTATTCTAATTCTCATAGCTAATCAACAAACGTGAATATACGTGAAAACATGACCTTCATTTTCATATAATGCAGCATGATAAACGGTTGCACAAGCAGTGAGAGGACGATCAAAAACATGCACAAGAATACGGGGTTTCATCCGCCTTGCCATGACGGATATTATATGAATCGTAATAAAAAAGATTGCAGAGAGGGAGACGGAGTAAGATTAGGCTCAAAACTTAATTAGTTTATGAAGATTGTTTTTATTTGTTCTGAATAACTTTTATAACAATATATTTGAAATCATTGAGAATACAACTTGCGTACGGAAGACTGAGGAGATGTTCCATTTTCAAAATAACAAAAGTACAAAAAGATTTTAAAATCATTACCATATTCAGTTGTGGGGATGAATCAGATGTATTTCAGAAGATTTAGAATAAATGGGTTGACAAGCTGGTGAACAAGGAGAAGAGCATAAAGCTGAGCCCCAACGAAACCATATGGATCTATAGAAGGAAAGGGAGAGCCAGAGAATTGCTTGTTAGCAAAGAAGAGAGGGAGATGTGAATAGTATTGAAAGAGAGAAAAATCAAGCATGAGATTCAATAGAATAATGTATCTCGATAGAGATATTTATATTATTCTTTTCATTGATATTATTGAAATGTGAATTGAAACATCAAAGAAGGCTTAGGATTATTATTGTTACTGCTACAACTGGTCAGAAAGCTTGCTTCCCTAACACTGTGCTTCTGCTCTTTTCATATCAATCTCCTTTGTAGGCTTTCAGCTCCTCATGCACATGCACTCCACGCACACACGCCTCTAGCTAAAGTATTTCTGTCGTTTTGCTCGTCTTTTTTTTTGACTAGAAAATAAGCTTTTTTTTATCTGACAGAAAGGAAAGAAAAAAGTTTCTCATGAATTTTCGCATATAAAGCTCAGCTGAAAGATTCTAAAGACTTTCAAAAAGCATAGTAGAGAGTTGTAAGCTGGATATTATGCAGTTGGATGAATGACATGCAACATGTGAACTCAGAAACAATAGATACGAAGTTCCTTTTTTACAGCACAATGAGTAGTCATAATTTGAGAAAATAAGAGCAAATAGCTAGAGTACATGAATTCATTATTTTAGGTTTCAAGAAGGCTTTTCCATAATTTCAAGTAACATTGTTGAGATGAAAATTAGAAATGGAAAGTTGAACAAGTGATGCATCGATATGTTGACATGTGCATGTGACAAATGCTCACTCATCATGAAGCTTATAACTTTCTACCCAAAAAAAAATCTCATAGTACAAGCATGAATGCACAAGAACGAAGTTGGTAGCCTAAATGAACGTGAAGTTCATGTATCCATGAAATCAGTAAATGTAGTCATCTTAAATTGAGAAAATCGTGTAAGCAACGTAAAGCTGCTATGTGTGCGTAAAGCACATTTCTAAAAAAGCCTCGCCTTGTGTTGTATAATTATATAAACATAAATCCAAAATAAAGCATTAAAGCTTTCACTTTGGTGTTTTGTTGACATTCCTTTACTTCCAGATAAAGAAAAAAATCTTTTTTTCTTCTTTTTTTTTCCCAAAATGAAAAAAACACTTCAATTATACTGACCGCTTGCAAATCAACGGTTCAAAAAATAAAATGAGAAAAGCCGTCAAAAGAAGTTTTTTTGCAGACACAACAGATCTTTCTGATCTCAATTTGATTTATTTGTGCAATCGTATTTTTCCGTATTTTTCTTTTGAGCATCTCAATTCCAGTTGATGTTTGCAATATGCTGATTTGCATGAGAAGATAGAACACGTGGTTCACCTGATTTACAATGATCAAATTCATTTTTTCTGCTTGAAAACGTCTTAATGACTGGTTGCATTCTGCTTTCATAAGTGTTTTGTATAAATTTCAAATATCCAACGGTCAATAAATGAAAATTGTTAACCAAAAACAAGCATATGAGACAATTTTCAAGTAAAACACTCCATAAAAGGCAGAGAAAGTCTATTATTTGCTTATTTGGAACAACGGCAGAAAAAACGAAGTGAGGAGGGGGTAGGGTGGGCTAGAGATGATAAAAAGAAGTTTTGAAAAGGAAATTATGGTTGACATCCTGTCATAAAACATCCGGAAACAACATGCTTTAGACGGGAAGCTTAAATTAACATGAAAGTTGGTAATTAAAGTTTTAGAAAAAAAAAAGTTTTTGTAATAAATAAGAAAACGTTCAATATCTTATGCATCAAATTATTTCATTGAATTTCGATTTAGTTGCTTCAAGTTTGAAAAACTAAATGCTGAAAAAGGATTATATATGCATTTGAATAGAAAATATCAAATGTAGAAAGTACAAAGAGCGTCTTAACAAGATGAAGCTGACTCAAGGAGATTAATGAAGTTGAAGCTCAACAATAGAAGTTTGTGATAAGTTGCAAGAGACTAGCTATCTAGCCAGCTTGACTATCAAACATTCTGAACAGAAATAATTAATTAAACAATTCCCGGCGGAAGGCTATCAAAGCTTTCTTCCACTATTGTCTTTTTGACAGAACAAAAAAGAGAGAAAGAAAACATATTTTGAACATCTTTTCTTCTTCAATTGTTAACTATACGGTAAAACAAGCAATTTATTGAAAATCTGAAATAGATAAAACAAGTCAAATAGAGATGAAATTGAAAAAATGAATGCGAAAGCAACTATTGTTCTTACTTGGCACCCCAAAATTCAAATAAAAAAAAAGGACTGAAGAAAGCAATCCGAGACAACAGAATTGCATATAAATCGCAGTTTCAAATTTCAATATGAACCTTGTCAATTGCAAAAATTAGAATTTAAAAAAAATTTAGGAAGAAGCTTGATGAGTGTTTGAGAAGACAATAAATTCCTTGAAATTCTCAATTTTTTTTTGTTCCTGTTTTTCAATCGAAAAACATTTCTTCGTTTTTTGGGAAGCAAAAGGACGTCCTCATATATCAAAAAGTTTCTTTTTTACATTTTTTGATCCAGGAAGTTGCGAACACAAACGTTATTCAAATGTCATCAACATGGATTGGTAAAACAAAACAAAAATAATGAAATATTGGGAAAGAGGGACAGCAGCAAGCAAGTGCATGGAGCTGGATAGAAGACGAACATCATTTCTAGTACTTTGATTATTGTATTTCGAATGAGAATTGAAATGTGGTGTGTTTGACCAGAAATAGAAATGAAAATAAGAAAACAAAATCAGAAGAGCATTAAGATAAGCAAAATTAAAGTTGATCCACCAAGATATGACATTGATGGATGCATCTCCACGGACAACTTACCTCCCAAAATAACGGAAAGCAAGAGAGAGAGAGAGAGAGAGAGAGAGACACACACACATATAGAGAGAGAGATGCAAAAGAAAAGATTTTTCTCTATTTTACTTCTATTTTATAGCGAATTTCTGAATTTTAGAATGCATATGCTAACCAAAGATGAACTTGTGACCACAAATGACTGGCATAAAACAAATTTTTTTTTTTGATTAAAGAAAGTATGTTAGGGGGGGAGAGAGCTATAGTGGAGATATACACATGCATATACACCTCTAGAATGCTTACAAGAGTTGGTTTTAAATATTTTTTGGTTTCATCTTTGAACCCAACTAACTTCGAAGTAAAGAAAAAAAGCGGCTTTTTAAGCTTCAAAAGGTTTTTTCTCTCGCGACGGTGGCTCAGAAGCTTGTGCGAAGAACAAAAAAAATGCTTAAGAGGATATATTGGTGAAGAACTCTGTCAAACGCAGTTTTTGCTCAGTCTCCTTCACTCCTTCATATTTTGCTATTCTTTCTTTTGCTTCCTGTTCTCTCTCCTCTATTTCACTCAATCTCAATATGTTCTCGACCAAATATCCGATTCCAACCACTTTTTCAGTTTTACTTTGTCAAAGTCTACTCTTTGTTCCTAAATAAGGTGTAAACACTTCACGATTTCTTTCAATTTTTCTTCTCAATTTCAAGCTGTTTTGAGCTTGGTAATATGCAATGAATTGTGAAGTTTATCAAACATTCAAAGAAAATTGTGCTTTTCGGACTTCTAGTATGTTTCTGTTTCTATTTTACTTTTCAAATTTTTTTATCTTCCTTCTGTCACTCTTTCTCTCTTTGTATCTGTATGTCCCTCTTTCTCTCTCTCTCTCTCTGTATCTGTATATCTCTCTCTTTCTCACTTCTCTATGTAAGTCATGCTTGTGCTACATGTTATGAATGGTACAGTGATGACTGCTTTAGAGCAATGAGAAAGAAAACTTAGATGAGAATGAAATTGTGAATTTTTACAAAAATCTCATAGCTAGTTCAACAACCATAAATAGAATTATTCAGTCATGAAAGTACAGCTTAACTAAAATTTTGAACTTGTTCGACAATTTAAAATAATGAAAGAAAACAATTTTTGTTAAAGAGAAACATGCCAAGTGGAATGAATGTTTGAATAAAATATAATTTTTTGCTTTAATCAAGCTCAATATTTTAGAAGGTAGACGGAAGAAGACGAAGAAGAAGTAAAAGGATGAAGAGGGGAAGGATACATAGACACGTGAACATTCATGGATTATATTACTAACATGGACATATTTCTTTTCCTATTTAAGAATATCCCAAAATTCGCATTTAAAAACATCAATTTATATATATTTTTTTCACGTCGAATAAAACATCTTCTTCGATACAGAATAAAACCAAAAACAAAATGTAAAGAAGTAGCGTAGAAGAAGAGGCTGAAGACGGAGAAGAAAAAAAATAATGAAATGAGGGGCGAGAGGCAGGAAATGCAACCGCTCTCAGTGCCAAACATCAAAAAAATGGAAAGAATGAATCTGATTGCACGTGTTCCACGTGTTCATGTAAGCGAATATGCAAATGAGGATGTGCGAATGGGGGTGAAGACAAAACATTAGCTCAACAATCTATTGAATTTATTTTTTGTAAAGCAACAAAAACAATAATATTACATCCACACAACAACTCACCATCGCCTCGTAATTTAATTAAGATTTTGATGCCTGTATACATCACGTTCTAAGCTGTAAACGAGAACGAGCTGTGATGAAAAGCTCAACACAAGCAGAGAGAGAGAGAGTAAGAGACTAAAGAGAAGAGAAGGAGAAGACAAAAGAAATTCTTTTTTTTTCACATACTCTTAAATTTAAATTTATATCTTAGAAATGAGAATAATTTAAATAATTTATAAAATGAAATGCAACTTACAAGTATATCGTACATGCTGACGATTTGGACGCTAACACTAATCTATAACATCTATCCTCTAGTAAACTAAACTTTTATCACCGAAAACACATAATTCATATAAATTATATAACGGAATAACAAAAGGAAATTATGTATAAAAATATAATTTCCATTATGCTATCTTTGAATCAACGATGAACAAGATACCGTGTAACTATCAATAGAACTCTCTCTTAACACATCCATCCGCCACACAGACGATTAGTAAATCGTATGCAAACCTTTTCCCTTCTATCTTTCTTTTTTCTTCTCTCTTTTTCGGAAATAAAAAGTAATTTTTGAGTAAATTGAAAAGATAGTTTGATGTATTGATGGGAGATGAGTTGAATGAGAGAGACAGAAAGACATTTCAATTCATTCAAATGTTAGTCAGATTTGATAAATGAATTTTCAATTAACTTAACGATTTAGATGTCTCATATAGAAGAGACTCAAGTCTACTTCACTCTCACATGCACAATCGAATAGATCAAAAAAATGAATCGAAAAGAAAAGAAGGAAAAGCTTGTGAGTAAGAAGGAACATCTCAGCATGATATTGCCTTTCTCACAGCTAAACAAGCATTATAACGTTTTAAATGATTGAAGAAGTATATATTCGGTTAAGCTTGCAATATCTTCGAATATTAAGGATTTCTCTCGCAGAACAAAGTATTTAAATGCAACAAATGACCCTCAATGCACTATTTGAATATTTAAATGAAGAAAATGCTAATTAGGAGATAGAAAGAAAAAAAAAGAAGAAAATTTAAAAATTAAAAAAGAAAAGAAAATGAAAATACCATCAATGACTTGATATAATCGGTCCATCTAGGGTTGAATCCTTTCAGCTCCCATGTCATATTAAAATCAGAAAGAAGAGAATGAGGGAAATGATTTGGAAAATAAAAAACAACAGGAAGTTTACTTGACTGAAATAAAGAATAGATAGAACTTTTGACGAATAATTACACGAATTGAATAGAAATAAAGAAAGTTCTCATTAGTATTGAAGATGTACTTCAATTAAAGATATTCGTCGTCGTTCCAATAAGCATTTGTGTGCGGCTTCTTATATTTGATCAGAAAAATATTATTTTTCAACACAAATGACCACTTATCATGTAAGAATACAACTGATGACAGGTAGTTTGACTACAAACTGCCTTTTTTTGCTCATTCAAATTGTGAAAGATGGAAAGTTAACTATATGATATGAAATATAAAGGAAATGGAAATTCAATTGTGGAGAGGGGGAGATCAAAGATCCTGATACTACCTTTTCATTCTAATTATTTATATTGTTTATAATACTTGTAAGAATAAGAATCAAAAACATCCTTTCAAGCTATATCTTTTGAATGAATCTTCATTTAGCACAGACCGCATCGCAACACATTTTGATTGTAAATGAAACATATCTCACGTTCAGCATTCACGTAAGAATTTTGGGAAATTAATTTGCATAAAACATAGAACTCACCATCGTCAGTAACTAACTGGATCAGCTGGGCATGAAAAAGTAAGAAATCTGTAAAAATTTTACGAAATTTATAAAATCAAATTATGGACAAGAAGATCGTTACGTAAATTGAAGAAGAGAAGATTGAGTTTCAGATGAAACTCATTAAACTCAACTTCAACAAGTTCTCTTTATGAAATGAATAAAAACGGGGAGTTTCATGCTCATGATGAGCTGCAGCAGAATAAAAAAAAATGAAAAATGAATGCTTGAAAATGAATGCTTCATTTCATTCGAGAAGTTTCTTTGTTATGTTTGAAATTTTAATTAAGTTTTTCAAGTTCTCTCATCCCAAGACTATTTCAGCTTTTGAAAGTCTGTCTCTTTTGATTGGTCTGTTGATATTCATGTCAGGCTAAGCTTTGTTTTTGAATTTTAAATCAAGTAAATCAGTTTTAGGAATATCAGGTGTTCTTTGTCGTCTTCTGGCTATCAAATCATCTGTTCGCTTTAAGGTCTGGTTAATCGCCTGCTCATTTCACAATTCATCAGCTTCATCTTTCAGAGCTCGGTAGAGATCGGCCGAAAGAACTGCTGACTCAAGTGACAGAAATCTAGAGACAGATATAAACTAAGAGATCTTTCCAGAGACTATGTGATAGTATAAGAAAAGAAAAGCTTGTCGTTCGCTCAGTTTGTGTCGTCCTACTCCACCTCCTAGTTCTTCTCTCACCGGCTCACCTCCTTCGTTATTTGCAATGCCCGGGGGTGTTGATAGTGTAAAGTCGTCTTCTGCAGCTCTTTCGGTTCTCTGACTTTTCCAACTCTCTTCCTCTCATTGTTATCTCGCTATCTGGATATATATCCAACAGACTGTTCTCTATTTTCTCCTTTCATCCCACTGACTGATTTCTTCCTTTAGCTCTCACAAACTATCGAGCTTCTACTCCTGTTTCATAATCATTCACGGTTGTGTTCGTTCCATTCGTGGAAAATAACAAGTTACAAAAGTTTTTATGTTCAATCGATCTTCGAACTTGAATTGTTGTCTAACATTTATGTATTTCTAAGTTGTCTTTGCTCTGATATTGAGATGAAGTGCACAAAGTTGTTATTATGTGAAGAATTAAAGATAACAATTTCGAATTGAATGATTCATATGAAACGTAAGCTATCCGGAGATGTCTACGATTCAGATGACATCACTCAGATATCTAGTTGTTTCTGGCAATAACACATAGAAGATGAAGAAGTGACGATGCAGCAACTGTTGTTTCGACTGGACAACGGTCGCGAAACATATGAAGAAGAGCCGAGAAGCCACGCGGATTATTTGTCCAGTCTTTTCGTTCTTCTGTCTTTTCTTCCTCATTTTCATCGGTAGCTTTTCGAAATCTTCAAAAGCTCAAGCTTTATCATTGTTCGATTCATGAGGAGTCGCTTACAGCTGCTATTCATAATCTCCCCCTCTCAACATTCATATAGTGACATTCTTATATCTGATACAACCAACTCATTCCAGGAGACGGTTATATATAACAATAATGGCTGAGGAAGAAGATCCATATGCAGTATCCTCTGATTCTGATGATGAGGATGTCCGTAAACCACCCCCCAAAATTCAAATTGAAGGAAGAGAAAATGCTGATTTGAACAAGCTCGTAAGTATTCTTTACTATCAAAATGTAAAGTAAAATGAAAACTGGAGAATTTGTTGTAACAAAACTTTTGATGAGACGCATCTGGAGTTGTTCTCAACAATCTAAAAAGATATTCGCTTCTCATAATACGGAGATTTAAAATCTTTTTCGGAAAACTTTCATTCAGAATTATACTTTTTAGAAAAATGTCATAAGCCATGTGAGTTTAAAAATAAAAAAATTCTTTTTTCCTCGATTTCTACTTGCACATACAACGATTACCAATCACTTTTTCTTCTATAATTCCCTGATGACCACCGACATTTTCTGTTAACAAAGCATCCATTATCTATTTCTATCCGATTACCTGTTTATTCCAAAAAACTTTTTACTACGATACTTCACGACTGTTTTCAGAAATCAGCTCTTCTGAATGACTCAAAGGAAGTTGTATTGGATGAGGAAAGAAAGAATGAACTGGAACAGTTGAAACAAGCGAGAGACACAAAGAAGATGAAGGAAGTATGATCCAAACAATATCTTTTTATTTACTTTTTGACTCAAGGATTTCGAATCTGGAGCTGTAACCAACAAGGATGACGAAGGCATCGATGCCTCAAAGGCAGCTCTAGAAGAAGAACGTCAGAAACTGACCGAAATTGGAAAGGTCAGTCATTTATCCTTATCGATCCTTCATAATAATTAATGACAAAAGACTTCTGAGGTCATAATTTTGTTTTTTGATCACTTCTTTGTAAATTTTAGGAAAAGTACTCGAAATTCAAGGACAAGTTTGAGAACATTGACTCAACCCTCGGTGATAACTTAGAAGAAAAACTCAAAAAAATGGAAAGAGACATTTCCGGATTAGGAAAAGACACATTAGCGAGTGCAAAAGAGAAGTTTGTTTCCTATCATCTTGATTAGTCATAGCATTTCTGTTCTAGATTCGAGAAAGGTGAAGGTGACATTACTGTTGAGAAAACTCAAGTTGATATTGAAAGAAGCACTGATTTGCAGAAAATGAAAGCAGCATTTACAAAGGTTTGTGAAAATCTTCTTTTCATTCGTCTGTAAATGTTTCGACGTCTCATATTTGAATTTCAAAATTAATATTTGATCTCTGAAGAGAATATCTTCTACACCCAAAAAAAAGATTTGGCATTCACATTTTGTTTCTTGAAGCGAACCGGATTTTTGCGAGCTCAAACATATTTCTGAAAAAAAAAACGAAGCTCAGAATGGCCTAGAAGGTTGTCACCAAAATGATAAAAGCCAGTATAGAAAAAAATGAAAAAAAACTGAGAAACGCGTTTGCAGGACATGACAGCCGACGAAGCTCCTAAGGAATGTGCTATCTGTGGTAAAATAGTATATCCGGTTGAAAGAGTCTTCATAAATAAGCAGCTATATCATGTTAACTGCTTCAGATGCAATAAATGCTCCAAGAAACTGACGTAATTGAGTATATTCACTTCACACTAACGATGTCTTGTTTTATAGGCCAACCAATTACAATATGCATAAGGGTATCTTGTTGTGTAAAGTTCATATGATTGAGGTTGAACATCCTGAAATGGCCAAAACTATGGATCCTGCTAACACAGAAGGTAAACTTTCATGTTCATCAATTGAACCAAAGATCAGGATTGCTCGAGCAGCATGTGGTCGGTGAATGTTCAAAAACATTTTGTTGTGACCGACCGCTCACTCTGACATGCGATCGAGAATGAAAATAATTCTCAACCGAACGTCACTGCGTTTAATATGCAAATCGAGCTAATTGATTGGTTTGAAAGCAACGATGAGCAAGTTTAATACCGAAACCATTAACTGGTTAACGAATATCCTCCGTTATTACCCAGATCCCATCTGTTGTAATCTTCTGTGAATCGCTGGTGGCGAACAGTGGCTGACTGTCAGACGATTGACGTCTTCAAGTGTTTTAGCAAACAATATTTTTCTTGTCGGGATCAATTTTTGTGATTAAATTGGAATTAATTATGTGAAAGAGAGTAGTAGACCATTGGAACAGTAACCATAATTGGAAAATTACATCTTCTTTACAGAAGATGAACACGGTGGAGATCAAGACGATGACGAGGAGTTCGCTGTATCAAGCAAGCCAAAACAATTGTCAGGAGTAGTCAAATGTGAGTTTTCAAATTAAAATTTCGAAAAAAAGAAATCCCTTAAATATCCGGAAAAAGAGATGTTCGTGAATGAGATGATGTTCCGAATTATTTATGCCGTTTCTCAAAATATTTCGGACTGTTTATGAGTTGTCTCATATGTCATTCATATACATACATCAGACAATCTGAATGTTCATGCAGTCGTTGAGAAACTGACATTATCACGAATCGGCCATCTTCTCATTCTCACTCGTATTGTAAATGAGGTGAATCCCATATATGTATATATACATATTTATATATTCATATACGTATATATCTATCTGTATCACTCAAGATCCTCTCATCAGTCTAACCATCCTTTACCCATATATGCTCATCTTCTATTCTCTCTTATGTGTTGATGCGATTGTTTACCAGACGTACCAGCCGTACTTTTCAATGCTCTCTCATTATCTTCATTATAATAAATCGTCTCTCTTCTTTAAACATCAACCATAGCTGAAGACCTTACCCTCTAAACGGACGTTTCTCTCCTTTTCTTTATTCCATTTATTCCTCTCTTTTCATCTATCCCTTCATAACATCAACTATTTCTCAATCATCATATTCTAGTCTCTCACAATTTTCTTATTCTATTGCTTATTCTCTCAATTCATTTTGAACCATTCGCCTTCCCCTTTTTAACAGTCCAATAATCTATACGAAACAGTCAACCTAGAGTCACTGAAGACTCCTCCTCCTCAAACTAAGATTAGGAAAGTGAGAGAAATATACTAAGATCACACTTTGCCTATTCCTATTGTTTCTAAAATACGGCTCTAGCCTATTTACAACCAAACATGGTTTCAGCTGGAGCTTCCGCTGTGCATGATGAACTTGCACAACTGAAGAGCCTCAAAGAGAAACGTGGAGATTTTGAATCTTCTGTCAAGGAAGCCGCTAATATTGAAAAGAAGACAAAGGTAATGACTTTTAACTAATTCGTTTTTCAATTTTATTTATTTTCAGGTTGAAGATGAAGTTCTTCAAACTGGTCGAGTTCAATCTAATAAAGAAAAGTAATAAAGCTTTAGCGACAAATTTACTATTGATATACTCTTTGCAGGTTTGCTTCTGGAGCTGCTCTAGAGCATGAAGACGAAGATGAAATATCTGGTGAAAGAGATCCTAACATAATCCGTGAAGAGAAGAAGAAGAGGCGTGAAGAACTGCACTTTGACCAGGTATTTGTTCAAGTATCCAATTGTTTCCTCTCAACTATATAATAGGTCGGAGACATCAAAAATAAATGGAAAACTGGTGCTGTAGAAACTGCCGGAGACAGAGTCGACAAAACAGAACTTGAGGAGCTTAAGGTTTTTCTGATAGTCCAGATGAAATTATAATAAATTTTCAGGCTTCTCTGCCATCTGTGAAAGAACGTTTCCAAGAGAAGAAAGAAGCAGAATCATCTGTAATTGAACGACAATGGGATAGAAGTGAATTAGATACCGGTGGTATGTTTTATTTTTCAATCGTAATGGAACTTCTTGAATATTGCTTCTGTCATATGTCAACCACACTGCTTGCACGCATAAGTTTTTTTTTCTTTAATTCGAACGAACACATCGACACTTTTGCCCTAAATGTTCAAAATACTTAGCGGCCCTAAATTCAGAGGATGCCGTTCGCGCTTTTCTGACATATTTGCGGAAGCAGTACATCAATGAAGCTCAAAGCAAGCCACCACCTAAAATATCTTTTCCAAGCTGTCAGTACTAAAAAAAAAAGTTTTGCTATTAAATGAATTAAATATGAAAATATTGTTTATTGGTACGTAACATGGTCATTTAGCTGCTGCTGAGGCCAGAAAATCGTTTATGGAAGGTGTCGCTTACCAAAGTGGAACAGTTGAGAAGACAGTTACTGACCTTGACGAGCTCAAGTTTACTCGTAAGTTAGCTTCTTGTTGACTATCAGTTGATTTCTGTTCTCCTATTTAACATATGAGTTTGTTTTGAACTTTATGCAACATGTTCGTTAGAACAGCTGCTATTCTGAACATATCTCTTTCTCTGTTACTCATTCCATATATCTCTCTCTCTATACCTTCATATTATTAAACAGTCATCTATTAAGGTTTTTATTATATTCATCTCCACAAAACCATTGACCTCACCAAAGCTTATTGTTAATCATCTATCTTCCAGAACTCAAGGGATTCAAAGAAAAGTTCGAGAAGGGAGAGGGTGAAGTTGAAGTGCAGAAGACTGCCGTTGAAGTGGCTGACGTTCAGCTTGGTAACATTAAAGCCGCATTCGAAAAGGTTAATTTTAATATCATTATTTCACCCTTTTTTTCCACTTCGATTTTTGTTTCTTCCGCCTCCGCTAAATGTTAAAAATACACACAGCTGCTCAGCGCTATAAGTTGACTTAGCCTCTAGAAATCTTACGATTCTTTCGAAAACATTCTTATAAATGGAAGAAACCGTTTTCAAATCCTATTTTCTTATTTTCTTTTTTTAAGTCTGAAGAAGAGATGACCCCAGAAGAAAGAGCAGCTCAGAAGAAGAAGGAAATTGAAGCTGAGTTCCTTCGTTACAAGCTGGCCAGAAGGGCAGCAGCTGAAAGAGTGAAACAACAGGTACTGGAAAGTTAGAATAAAAAAGAACTGTATTGTTTTAAGGAAGAAGACGGAACTGTGCCCGTTGTAGAGCCAGGAGAGGGTGGAGCTGATGTCGGATCTATTAAAGATCGATTCGATCATGGGGAAGCCTTCAAAGCCCAAGACCAAGCCGGTGAGTTATTTTCACGTGAAATTTTGGTGAACCATTATTTTGATTTTCACTTTGAAAACGAACGCTTGTGTTTATTGCTTATGTTGCTTAACTGTAATTTTATAGACAAACAACTTGATGTAGAATTCAAAATGGCTGGAAAGGCTCGTGAGAAATTCAAGCAAATTGATGCTTCCGGAGCAACACCTGTCATGCCAGGACAGAACAAGAAGGTTTGTAAAATATTACTGATCCTTAAATGACTTGTAAATTTTAGGCCGAACCAAGTAAATGGGACAAGAAGGATGATAAGCCTGTGGCAGAAGTGATCAACCGCAGAGATCAGGCGAATGACGAACCTTCTGATGAAGACGAGGATGCATTCGATGTGAAGAACCTCATGAACAAATTTAAGAACATTGGTGAAAACAGCGCATCCAGCCAGGCTAATAGGTATCGGTAATTCATAAAACTAACAGTATCAATTAACTTTCAGTGAACAAAGAGCTGAACTATCAGCACTCAGAACAGAAGCAAGAAACTTCAAGCAACGCTTTGAACAGCGTAATGAAGAAGATGCTGATGTTATCGAAGAAAAGAAAAAACAGATGCAGGAAGAATTTGAACTCCTAAAACGTTTGTCATAGATTGATTATATCGTAACACAATTCACATCCAGGTGAAAGAGAAGAAGCCCAAAAGAGATTAGAAGAAGAACGCGCTCAGGAAGAAGCAGCCTCTGTAGACAAGGAAGAAATTAATATCAAGGTAGCTGCTAATAGTATCTGGCATCAATACTTCTTTTATCAGGCTGACCATGCTTCCAAGATGGCAGCCAAATGGGAAAAAATACAGGCAAAGGAAGCCAAGAAGGCCGAAAAGGGTAAGATGCCCGAGAAGAAAAGTACAACAGTGAGTTTCTTATTTTAATTTAGAGTAAAAATAGTGTGTGCGTGTGCTTCTTTTCTTTCTTCTTACTTGTTTTCTGCCATTCTTCGATTACTTTCAAAACCACTGATCTCGGCACTGACCACCCAGCACACATCTCTCAATGCACAGACATCTTATAAATATCTTTGATCACATAATTGCTCTTCACAAGTTTGTTTTTTATTGCAGTGCATGGCAGTTATCTTACTATCTATACTATTAGCTTGTTTCTGCCAACACTACTGGCCACACGCCTTTCTTACGCTTTCTGCACCGAAAACGAAATAATTTATTTGAAAGCCTAACATAGCTTCTTTACTCTAACACTCAGCCACTAACCTTTTCGCTTCCATGTATAGCTTCAAAATCTTAGGAAATATTTTTGTTTGCAGGACCAGTGATTCAAGTATCAACCATTTATTTTACTTCACACAATTGCTCAGCACAAACTTTTTCAATTCATAAACACAATGTTGTAGTAGGATTTTAGTCGAATTCCTCATTGTCTGTCTACTGATCAGCAAGCCCAACTAAATGTTCTTTCAAACAAAGTAGATTCATTGCTAACGTAAAAGGGTGAGCGATCAGTGAAAAGAAAGATCTTGTTTTCTGAAGCTTTTTCTATTCATTTTGTATGTAATTCTGCCAAGCCAGTCAACCACCACACGTCGTATTTATTGTACAAGTTGAACACCAAAAAAAAATAAAAATTATAAAAATTCAATTCGCTGCATTTCTTCCAACCGCTGTTATGAGTTGCGTGGAATTTAATCGGCTTTTTTTGAAAACTAACCCTCTGTTTCGTACTGTCCGTCCTGTTCTTTGCTGAGTGCACAATGTCTGTTTCATGAATGTCAGTCGATTGAATATGTGAGATTAATAAGATTGAGTGAGGGTGATCTAACAAGCATGCTGTGTTTTTCAGAAGTTTGTAATGCGAAGTCAACCTAAATGTGAAATTTGTACGACAACCGTCTACATGGCCGAGCAGTTCCAATGCTTCGGAATCCTATATCATGTCAAATGCTTTAGATGTTCCGTTTGTCGACAAGCTCTTAGGTTCGTGATACATCTTTTCGATCATGTAATCATTTCGTTCCAGAGTAGAGAAAGTTCATCGAAACTCTGAAGGTCAGCTGTATTGCCCTGTTCATTTCAAACTTGCCAATTCCGCCACTGCAGAGGCTGACATTATGAAAGTGGAGGAAAATAATAATAACATTAAGCTTGAAAGCCTCTAGATAATAATAATAAAATATTGGATGAAAATTATAGTTGTTTCAAATTTGTTACAAATGAACAGACACTGATTGAAAATGTTTCTAAAGAACCAGAAGGATTGAACCTAGAAGCATCTCGCATTGACTACGTTCATTCCAGCATGCCAAACAGAGAGAACCTTATAGCCTCGAGTTTGAGAGTAATTTCCAGTTTTCAATTCAAGTGCTATTCTTTTAGAACTCCTCGATTCAACTTTTTTTCTATTCCAACATGCATCATGAATTCATGATGATCCCTACGGCTTCTCTACAAAGAAACAGAAGACACAGAAGAGGTGTCTGCATGGAAAATGTGTACGCAGTTGAAATGGCGCGAAAATGGGGTTTTCTTTTTCTCAATAATGCAAAGCTTAAAGCTTGGAAAAGCTTACGTAAACTTGTATTAAATTTTTCAAAAAGCCCACATCATCTTGTGTTGATTATTGGATGATTTCAGCTTTACAATGCGTTCCGTGGAAGGTCTTCACGATGACTTCGACTGTGCTCCATCCACCTCAAATGCTGGGTAGGTATCGTAGAGTCGACATACTATTGATAAAGAACTTTTCAATTACTGCTAAGTTTCAGAGAACCCAGGCCTGTAGCTGAAGCTACTGCTCGCGAAGAAGAAATTGTCAAAATGTGGATGCAAATGGATGAGAAGCTTGAAGAAAACGCTCGCCAGCATAATCTTTCAACATTCAATGTTAAAAGTATCCTACATGTGAGATTTCCAATGTTTTTCCTTGTTTTGGATCACAGTTTCAGCACTTTATCAAAAATCCCTCAACTCTGGCAATGTTTATGGGAATTGCCGACGGAGCGAGCAGTAGTGGTCTACCGTCTGTGAAAATAACTCGATCGAAAGTGAAGAAGGAAGATTGTGTAAGTAGCCTATAATATGATTCTTCTTTAAAATTGATTAACAGATGAATGAATTGAAGTTAAAACCTGTAAATACCACTTTTTCTTCGAAAAGGCCACATTCTTTTTTAGATTTATCATACGATGATGAAGAAGGTGAGTTGAAGTATGATTTATTCAAATTACTTCTTCTTCAGATGATGAAGATTATCAACCTTCTGAATCTAACGCTGACGAAGCTGCTGCCGTGAGTTTACAGGGTAATATGATGAAACATTGTTATTCAGAGTGAAGCTGATGACACTTCTCTAGAAGGTGATGCTTCTGATAACCAGGAGGAGATGGGCTCTGATGTTACATTAACGGAAGAGGTGGTTGGAATGTCTGTTGAAAACGTAAGTGTTTAAACTTTATTGTTTTTATGTTTCTAATCAGGACAAGGGATATGAGCTGAGATCGCGGACTTCCAATTTGAATGATGCTGCCATTCACGACGAATTAGCAGATAGTAATAATGAAATAATTATGACTAGAGAGTCCGATGTGAGCTTACCACAATTGCACGATGGTCGAAATGTGTCTTTCAGGTTTTCTTAAACGTAGATGATTGTTATAGAGAATTTTTGTGTGGCTTACAAGAAGCTGAAACTAAACAAGGTTGTCTTGCCTCTCGAAACAGAAAGTCAACGTTACTTTAGATAATAACCTGGATGTTGGGGATGACGATGATACAGATTACAATCCGCAGGAAGACTTGGAGTTTGAAAAAGATGCAGTTGATAAAGAAGAAGTAATGGTTAATCGGTTTACGGAGATCCCTAGTTAGTTTTTAATGTTGATACTCTAAGAAAAATTTTTTTATAGGAAGAGAAGTTGAAGGGATGTTTCGAGATCTACTTGATGAGAAAACTATCAAAGAAACGATGCCAGCTCTTATTCCAATAGAAACCGCGAGTCTTTCTGTGTTAGACAAGCTAGACGAGAAAAAAAGAGTAAGGATAGATCAGTAATTTATCTTATTAAATCGTTCTATTAGGCGAGAAGAAGTCAGCATTTTGTAAAAACGGCTGAAGTACCAGTATATAACGATTCTTGTACTTTATTGAACGGTTAGTTTCATTTTTTCAAACTATTATTATTTGCTAATCAGAGAGCATACCCGTTTATTTCCGGAAGTGTGAATACGATCAGCTGCTGATTCAACTAGAACAAGTTAGACTCTCTTAATATCTGAGAGCAATCGCTCTTTTCAGCACGTTCAATTATTAACGCAAGGTGTAGTATTGTGCAACAACGACCCAAAACTGTTTTCGACAAAGGACAAGTTCCAACAAATGATTGTATGCTTGTTTCTGTGGTGGTTTCACCTCGATTACCTATGTTGCAGAATGAGCTCGATGAGAAATATTATGAATATGGAGTTAATTCGTTCTACAACATCCTCAACCTTGAAGGTTCCATCAAAACATGTCATGACATCTTGAAAGTTTGTTTTCATCTTGTTTCTAAATCAATTTCTGCTCTAGATAAAGGAAGTTTCCCCTGCTGATGTAAAATGGGCGAACTCAATATTTCGAAGTACTGGCCCAACTTTGTTTCTATCTATAACTATTTTTTTTTCAGTTGGGTTCTATCCTCGACCTGAAGCATGCGTGGCTTTGTCTCGAAGTGAAGCTATAATATATCCAAAATTAGTGCCCTTGTTACAACCTGTTGGCGACCATTCTGCTTCTCCATTCTGCTCTCCTTTTTTCTCTCCCTGTGATAACTTATTACTGGCCTTGGGTCTTTTGCAATTCGGACATGTACCAAATGCATCTAGGAAGGATTATGCCGGAAGGTTGACGACTCATTGCAGTAGTGACTAATACCGATTTGCATTTAGATATTACATGATAACTAAACACGTGCTGAGAAACAAATCAACATCTCAGATCAGGAATCATTTGAAAAATGTCCGAGCCCGAAGGGACAGTAATATACTGTATAAGATTATAGCTGTGAGTGTTTCTTCTATGAAATAATGTTTTTACCTTCTTTCAAGGATGCGGAAGACGGTTATCCCAATTTGAACATTTCACCTACTGCTGTTGAAAAAGTGGAAGATGTTATGTCCAAGTGGCCGGATAGTTTGAAACCTGTTTGGTTTAATGTATGTGCACTTTTCAACAATTTATAAAAAATTATGGTTAAGGAGTTTTGGAAAGTTTTCGAACTAGAGTCCATGTACCTGATTAGAAAAATACCGATTGCTCCTATTCCCCCACTTCTCCCGAAGAGTTCGAGTAAAAAGGCTGATAAGAAATCAAAGCAACCTGGTGAAATTTCGAAACGATCGTCAAGAGCTTCGTCGACCGTACGTTAGTACGATGTTCTCGGTTTACAAGTTGTTTCAGGTATCCTCGATGGAGCTTAGATGTTATACTCCAGGTTCAAGAGAAGCGGTACGGGAAATCAAAAACAAGAATAAAATCGTTTACTTTAGTCTCAAACACCGGCTCGATGTGTTCCGATAAACATGCCAAATAATGGAGCAATTATAGTTGGTTCTCCATCAGTAGGATATCAATTGATCAACATTTCTGAACAGCAAATGTTCTTTGTAAGTAATCCGGATGATTCCATGAAAATCCCTCTCGACGAACTGATTGTAAGTCTCATAATATAATACCTCGAGATGGATATTATTGAAGAAAACTCAATCAGAAGGCATACTAGAAGAAACACTGACTTTGGAACCGTCTGACAAACAGGAGGAAAAGCCTGTGTCACCTCCAGTTAGTGTTTTTCTTATATAACTTTTACAATAATTTTTCAGAAAAAAAGCAGCAAAGTGGATAGGAAGCCTCCGACACGGAAAAGAGTCAGATGTAGCTCCAGGGAGAAATCTCCGCCTGTGAAGAAAAGACCTCTATCAGTTGTCAGTGATCAGAGTGGCACCATGAGCACGAGAAGCAGAGGAAAGAGAGGAATTTCTCCCATTTTGAAAGACTCTCCTACCCCACTAAGAACCAGATCGGCTTTACGGAAACAGAAACAAGCGAGCGTGGTAGTTGAATCTGTAACAGAGCCGGAGAAGGACGAAACATTCATGGAAATCACGCCTGAGCCTGTTCTAGTCACTCCATCACTTGAACCTCGTACAATATCAGCTCAATCTCTTGACTCTGATGTATTACCTGCGACAAATTCTTTGGCGTCGGGAACAATATCAGTTTGCAGTTCCATATCTCAGAAAATCAACGATGAAATGCGTTCCGTTTCCTCTCTGGTAATGCAAATTATAGACTACTTAGTAAATTTCTCTTCAGACACCTACAACCTCAGAAATGGATGGTTTACAGCGGCAAAACATGTATTCTTCTACTACTGATTATTCCGGTTACATACTTCCAACGCCACGTGAGCATAGTAGAGTTGAGATGGTAAGCCTTATGCCTTATGATTCTCTGAACTTTCATTTCACAGAATTCCTGTATTCCAAGGACTCCTATTCCCAGAACACCTTCTGATTCTTCTATCTCTTCTCCTTTATGCTTGTCGTTAACAAAATCTGAGATTTGTGAGAACACGGTACTCAATCTGTTGCGCGTGATTGTGAATGAGATAATTGTAGGTGATACCGCTCACTCCTCGAGATGACGATTGTTCACAAAGCCCATCTATTCCAATTCAAAAACATAACTTGTTCAGCAAAGCTCATATGTACGAAAGTACCTCTCAGGCAGTTCGTTCATTGTTCTCGCAGGTATTGTAAACTTCTCTGTTCTTAAAAAGCAACTGCGTTAAGGTTGACTCCGATTCATGTTCTTCTAAAGAAAACTATTTTGGCACTAGTGAGCCGAGTCATTACATTCCTGCCGAAGTGTCTAATAATGTTTATGAGGGAATATGTGAAGCAGCTAATAAGGTTTGAGAGTTGAATATATTCTCTTCTATTCAGTATTAAATTTCTTTAGAGTTTTGAAGATGATTGTGATGAACTTACGTTAGGCTCCAGTATGCAACACTCTGATGAAGTCAGAACGGCAGTGGATGACATCCGAAAGCGAGGGAAAAAGAGAACTAGAGAAGAGAGGGTTGTTTTAATCGCACTTTTCATAGTTATACTTGTTTTTTCAGAACACTGATGGCTGTTGGGGAATGCTGAATACCTCTTATCGAAATCGGCAAGAATCTGCAGTTGCAAAAAAAATAGTTGCTGATGTGAAACAAAGACTTTCAATGCACAACGAAGTCTACTCGCAAGTCGAAAGAATTATGAGTTGTAGTCTCAATCAGAAAGGAGTAAGTGAAATATGATCTATCAATTTGATAAGTTTTCTTCAGAAAATCGCACAGCTTCAACAGCTTCTATCCAAAGACCACTCGGATGTTTTGTGTCTTCTATCACTTTTCGTAGAACCTGAGTCGCTAACCAAACAACTCTTAAAATGCCCACTGAGGAAAAGTTATAAAGACGCTTTCAATATTCTTTATTCCATCGACGTAAGCAGTTCAGATCAAGTCTTCTCTATTTCGTATTTCAGGCATACGTTACATATGCTAAACTGAGGCCTTCATCGAAATTTCTCTTCAGATCGATTTCAAAAATAGGTTCGTACATTCATTCAAAGGGAAAGTAGCCTTTGTTTCAGATAACATTTCCAATAACATCTATGGGTTCCTTCAAGATATTTTTGAAAATGAAAAACCTCTGTGGTCGTACCTGAAAAAGTTTTCTACTTTACCTTTTGATGATAGGTAGATACACACACAAGTATTCTCTTCATCCGGATTTTCAGTCCAAATATATCCGATTACGAGTTTGTTGATTTGACAAAGAAGGATGAGTTGTCGGAGGAGAAACACTACGAATGCATTTCTGATTTGAGCGAGATCATTGGAACAGCGCCTTCAAAGAAAGGAACGAAACTACAGGTAGTTCAAACTTTTGTAATTAGCTTAAAAGTATTTTAGGTGAATGGTGATTACTTGTACAGTTTGAATGGCAACTCATACGTCTCTACCAAAGTCAAGTTCTCATCGGAGAATAGAAAGGTTGTGTCTTCAGGATTGATATTGAATCTTTGACCTTTTTTTCCAGATTGAACAAGTAGATGAAAGCTTAATGTACAAATCACCTCCTCAATCTCCTTCTGGTAAACGAGAAAGTATCATTCCATGGAAAAAAGCAGAAGATCTCTCATTATTGACTACTTATACGGGATTAGATGGCGAAATTACGAATGCTCTACCAGAGTTGAGTAAATTAACCTCTAGGAGCGAGGATGAAGTCCGTTCTCGCATACAATTTCTACTTTCTTTTGTATAATTTTTAAAGTTTGTAAATATTGTATATAAGTCGAACATACAATATGCTCAATTATTTATTTATTTAATAAAACTGAATTTCTTAGAGATACTCAAACGATGCTCAATGGAGTCTGACCTTTCTTGTGCTTGTTCAAAACTTTGGTAATGTTTCTTTTGGATGGGCCAAATACTTGAACTTCGTTAATTCCAACGATGCGACATTTGCTCTTGTAGTATGCTTGAACCACAAACATAGACATCAGTAATATGACTCCACAAGCGAACATTTCCTAAAACTCTGGAGTTGATTAGGCCAGAAACATCTGAATACCAAAATGAAGCAGGCGTACAAAGTTGCGCTCATGAACTCATACGCCTCATATCCTTTGCCTTCCGCGACTTGCTTATCAAAGTATGTGGAAATTCTAGCCATCTGTCTTAAATAAAACTCTGAAACAAATATTATTATTAAATGAGAAAAGAATGAACCTTCTTCTTCCAGAGAAATTCTATCAGAAGTCATCTCTCCCATACGCTCTTCTTTTTGGGCTCGCAGCAACTTCAAATCAACTTTCTTCTGATGATGCGAAAGAAAAGAAGGTAAATCTTTCTCGGGAAAAGATTTCAATTTAGACAAAACTCGAACAAGTTCATCCTGTTTTATCTCAGAGAATAAGCGTAATGGAATATTTCTGAAGACATGAATTGAGTCGTTCCGTTTCCATATGAAAGGTCCACGAAAGTTATCGTTGTCAACGCTGTAGAAGAACTCGGCAGAAACGTTTTGCATCTTGCCTTCGGAAATATAGAACAAGTTCTGCATAATGTGGTTAGAAGCATCGACGGCTATCAGTAGTAGATAGAGGAACCAAACGTTCATTGTAATATTCGAAAATATACAATTGAGGTCAGTTTTGGAAATAGCCTGAGGGGAGGTGTTGCACGTTGTCGACTGACTTGTTTCTCACGAATTCGCTACAAACCGTCTTATCACACGGTTATAATAGTCTGTAATTTTTACGAATTAACTTAAAATTATTCGACCTCTGCTCTTAGCTATAGAAATCAGTGGTTGCAACACTTTCAATTACAGAAGTACAAAATTTAGTAATTGTCGTGGAAATAAAGATGAGAAAAGGAAATTATTTAAGGAAACGTCCTCCTACTACAAGCATTCAAGAAATATTCTAACTAACACAATGTTGTCATGCTTAGTGTCAGTTTTTCTGTTTCTGTCCTGTTTTCCTTTAATCCAAGCCAACTCCATAGATGAAATTAAGTTCTACAATTTCAGCAGTGCTCTGGAGAAACTTGAACAGGTAAACCTTTTAATATAGAGATGACTATTATCATTGTTTCGGTATAGTTAAATAACAACACACGAAGAATAATGGGTGGAATCGGGCCATGGTCATGCACCTACGATTGTTTCAAATCTTCTCCCTATTATGATCCAGATGAGGAAGATCTTTGTGTTGAATGGAAAGTTCTCACAATGAGGAATCGAAAAAAAAATTGCACAAATATTGTAAATAGCATTACTTAAGAGCTTTCAAATACTTTTTATTAGATACCAATGTCATGGATCAAAAATAGAACTGTAGAAGTGATAAGAAGTATGTATGTGCATGGACCTCGTGAAATGTACGATGAGCTTTTCAAAATAGGCATTTTTAAACCAGAAGAAGAACCTTTCTATAGAAAAATGGAACGGTACGGAATTTTAATAGTAGGTTTAGCAAACCCTCCACCAGCTCAAATTGTGTTTCAGTACATCGTTTCTCTTTCTTCTCTGCTGTTGATCAGCTTAGCTATTGCCAACTACACGAAAAAGTTTTTGATCAAATTGAACCTTATAGCTAGTTCAGAATACAGACCTTCACAGGTTGGGAATGGTAAGATTTCATTTATATATTCTTACTAACTTGCTTAGATTACAGTTACGTACAAGGGACATGAAAACGAAGGCGAGCAAATAGAAATGATGTAAAATATAAGATGGATGTGGTATATGGCATGTAGCTTTACGGTTTCCTTGATCGCTGGTCTCTATAGTATCAATTTTGAACTTAACTCCCGTTGTCAATATTTTATAAACATAAAAACAACTATTTTCCAATGAATTCATGAAACATACTTTTATTTTTCAGATTTTTCATGTTCTTGTAATGAAGATTTGAAAGAATTTTCTTTCTATCACATATTATTGTAATTCTCTGTTGTTATGAAGTTCACCTGCTTGATCTGTTCTCATAACTATTCCTTGATCGACCGTGTAACTGGTTGAACAATCATAAATCGAATGTGAACGACCAGTCAATTCAGAATTAACAATAAAAATGAAATTATAATGCAGCCGCTCTGGATCAGTAATTGAGTGAAACTGATTCTGCTAAACCTTGGAGAATCTTGCGTAGGCGTACGTGAATCTCACGTGAGACTATTCACATTTCTGGTTGGAATGTTTGGAAGTGAATATATATAAAGATTTATTTGTAATTAAATTAATAATAGAATTATATATACACATATATACATACAGATTTATGTACATACATGTGTAGATAGATAGATAGATAGATAGATCCTCAAATAGAACAACATCCGTAGTTCTGATAGAGAATCTGTATAGATAGATATGTTAAGCATCTTCTACTAAGAACTATATGATATATGTATAATCCCAACTACGTACTAAAACAGGATAATGAGCATCCGCATGCGTGCTGATATGGCCTAGTTAAGTGTAGGAGTAATATGCATTACAAAAAATAAAAATTGTTACGATCTCATGGAGCTTGGTGTGATTGAGAAAGTTCGAACTTGTGTGACGTTTTTCTTTCCACTAGCTTTTCTAAAAACCATTTTCAATGTGTTTTGCACCTGAGAATGAAATTATTGTCTTTCGCACTTCTTAATTAGTTAGAGTTACCTCTTCGTTGCAGAGAAGATAAACCAAACTGTTCATGGAAGAGTTCAAGCATACGAAAACACCTACAATCACGAAGGCTGGGTGGAAGTGTGGAGATGACATGTCTATGATATAAGGCAATATTCTGAAGGTGGTCCATTCCAAAAAATGGAAAAGTGAAATGGCACAGAATTGAAGTGAATACCTGGAATTTTCAGTTGAAAATAATAAAAGTTTAATTTGTCACTTACATGATTTCACGTTTCTTTTGGCGCTTACGTGTTGTCTCATTCTCAGCATCACCGAACTTTGTTGATTTTTTGATGTAAAGGAAAATCTGTTGAAATGATTCAAATGATTCCTCTTATCGTTACTTACATATGAATAGCAGAGAAAAGCAATTATAGATGATGATGTATTGAAGGGAAAGTTGAGAAACCAATTGGAGTAGTTTATGAAACCAGCTCTTAGCTCATAGTTATATGAAAGAAGATGGTGATTGAAAATAATTCTGAAAACAGCTTGTTTTTTGGATGTTGCAAAGCTTGTAAAAATCATACGCGCAGCATGGGTAAATGAAAGAGGCTAAGGCTGAGAGAAAGGCCGCTGTTGGGAAAAGTAAAATCGTCACAACTGAAACTGTAAAGAAAGAGAAAACCTCTCTCCCTGGATAACAGACAACAAACAATCTGAAAACGTGGGATTCAAAAAAATTCAGATCAGTTAGTAAAACACCTGTTTAAAGCCATGAATATTTGAGATAGAGTAACATAGAGCCAGGCAAACTCAAACAAGAATGCTGCAATTATGCCATATACTCCATGTCTGCCACCGGGGAAGATATAAGCCTGAATAATATTCAGCATAATCAGAGATCTAACAGCAACCAATAGCTTACATCTGCTAAGGCGCAAGGAATGAGGTAAAACAGAAACGTAGATAACATAATTATATCCACAAATATATGTCCTGTTGAGATGACATAGACTGGTGATTTTCTGAAAATGACAATGTCTGTCAGATAATGAGAAATTCAGATGCAACAAACCTTTTGATCATTCCAAGGTAAAAAACTGCAAACAAAACAATAACACAGATCGACCAAGAGATAGCTAGACCAATACCGAAGGCAAGGGACACTTCAAACTTCAAGTTCGACATAGCTCAATGTATAAACGAAAAAAAAGAATTTTTGCTCATATATCTTGCTGGAGGAACCTCTCACGCTATTTCAGAAAACATGAAAAGGCGGGAGGGATTTCCTGATTTATTTTGTCTATCACTAGACAGTTCGCATATAACAGAATTTCGAGAATCCCGTTAATGAATGTAGTAGATACCGAAGTGAGAAAACAGGGTATACTGCAGCTGCTTCTTCAGATGAATGCGACTTTCAATTCACTCTAATTGCTCAGAATATTTTTTTTAAACTTTAAAACAATAAACTAGTTGAATGAAAGACGTTATTGCAGAACGTTTCTTCCGATCTCAGAATAGCTTCCGTCTTAATACTCCAACTTAACGAACTCGGATAATTTCGATAATTCCGTTTCCGGTCGACTTTTTTCCCAACACTATTATACCGATTGCATTACTATTTGAAGAACAAAGTTGAAAGATTATTGAAAGAGGGAGGCGAGGAGAGAATTTTCGTGATTTTGAGCAAAAAAAATTTTTTGCTAGTTCAAAAAATTAATACTTCATTTGTATGTTGCATTTGAATTTTCTCCCTATGGTAAGATCTATCATTCTTCACTGAACCTTACCAGAAATTATTTTTCGAATAAAACGTGGTTTCAGTTTCATAAAAGTATTTAATGGAAAGTACTGATTACTTCAAAAGATGTTTTACATCATTACCCAAAGCTCGACAACTGAAGGCCCATCTCATTATTTTCAATAATCACAATCTAATCATTTAGTAACGACTGCTGTTCTAAATGTTTATTTCTATATTCTTCTTCATTTTTCGAACACCACACCTGAACAATAAGTTTCTCGAACTCGCTTCAACCAACTCTGAAGTACATGATATATGATCTCATAAGTATATTATTAAAAAGAATATTAAAAATGAAGTAAATATACCGGTGTTCCCAAGAGAGATATAAGAGGAGATGCTTATTGTTCTCAAAGTGTACAAGAACCTTACTTATTTTCATAAAAGTTGATGATGGTTTCTGATGGTGTTATAATGGTGAAGAAGAAAACTTCAGACTCTGATTCTTAAGTCACCAATATTAAATGAAAGTTTCGAAATTGTCTTCGTTCTTGGGTTCTATGAAACTGTTTTCCATGGATTTTCCTTATCATTCATGTGGTCACTTTTAATATGAAAGCAAACATTTTTTCAGAAGTTCGATTTGAAAACTTCGTCCGGGATATGAAAAATGAAAAAGCGTATGACACCGCTCACAGCTCCCGGTAATCAAGAATGAAATAGCATATAACACCGCTTTTTCTATTCGACACCAGCAAGTTCTTTTTTGAATTTCCACCTGAAAGGAATAGTTAGGAGGACGTTAGGAAGCTCATGAACTGAGTAATCTCAATGCTCATACAACATAAGTAGTGATTCCTGTTTGCCGGAATTGTGACAACTTGAATTTACTCCTCCATTAAATTTTTTTGTTTCAGTAAACAAAGCGGAAGTTTATAAATAGAAAAATTAAAAAATGTCGTTCTCCAAATTCAAATCTGATTGTAGTCTCTGTATTTTTTCAAAAGTTTCATCGAAAATTCTGGAGCTGCAGTTCGTTAAGTCACAGAAATACACAGAGAACTAGGAATTGAGAGAGATAATCTTACAGTAAAAACATAATCACATACATAGATCGATTAGAGTTGTCATTAATTCATAAATGTTTATGATTCAGAAAATAGCAAGAAATAGGTATGAGGGAGGTGTAACGAGAGATCAATAGAACACGGAGTTTCAGCTGATTGCAAGCAAGAGACCATGTCATACAAAGACTGTCCAGAGAAGCTAAATCTATCCTTGAGGCCGCATATCAAGCAGTTGATTTGAATTTCGATTTAATTCTATTTTGACAATGGAGTTACTGTAACAGTTTGTTGTCGTTCATTTCGGCAGTACATGATTCTCATTTGATTTTTTATCTGAAAGAGAACGGTTATGAGGACGTTTGAAAGCTCATAAGCTAAGGTCTGTTCAATGAGATCCAAAAAGTTTCTAAGTATGTTGCTCTTTGGCTTTATGTATAAGGAGGAATTACTTCTTTGTTGAATATAATATAAATGAGGCTGTTCATTGTAGCATTAGCTGTGATACTGAGTCCAACTATCAAGTAGAGTGGATTGAACACATGAGCATTCATATTGATGAAAAAAGGCAGAAGTCTGAAGGAAGTCCATTCGATGAAATGAAAGAGAGAAATGGCAAAAAACTGGACAGCCAAACTGAAGCAACATCATTATCAGTTTTATTTTCTCTGCTCCACCTCACCGTATATCTCTACTCTGTTTACTACCATTTTCATCAGAAGTTAGTCGGGAAGCTCTCTGCAGATGAAAGAATATCTGGAAAAGGTTATAAAATGAGACAAAGGGGTTAGTTCTTACGGATGTATAACATATGGCAGCTACGCAAGATGACATCACGTTAAGTGGAGACTCTACTAAGTAATTTGAATAATTACTTATATCTGGAATCGTCACATAGGCATGAGCGATAAAATGTATGTTGAAGATCATGCTTAACAGTTGATTGTCATTTCTACACCAATGTCAACGAGACTTACGTGCAACAGGGGAGAACGTACTGTGCTACTGCCGCCAATATGGAGCTTATTACAATTATTAAGACTGTTATAATCCCCGTGTTCCTATATGAGAATATATCGTAGTGTGGGCAGCAGAAGACAATGAATCTTCAACGACAAAATGTTTTCAGAACTTCTTACAGAAGATACCTATTGATCGCCATGAATATATTGAGAATTGTTACGGAGATCCATGACCAAACATGACAGAAGATTGCGAGCTGTCCGATAACTCCATACTTACCTCCGGGGAAAATATGAGTCTGATGATGCTTTGAATGGAAAGCTCTGTTTGATTCTATAACTCACTTCAGCATAAGAACATGGTATCATGTAGAATAAGTAAGACGAAATGAGGATAATATCCATTAGGATATGACCAGTTGATATTAGGAAAATAGATTTTCTTTAAAAACATTTCTTTGTCGGTGAAAGAGAACTCTGCTTACTTCTTAGTAAATGCCAAGTATGATATAACGGATAATGCAACAACACAGATAGTTAAGCTTATAATTAAGCAGATATTAAAAATTATAGTCACTTCAAGCTTAAACCCTGTTGCATGCATGAAGCAATTGATTAATACCGCTTGGGCTGAAAGAAAAATGGTCTCGAATATATGCTCATACAACAGACGCAGTGGTTTCTGTTTGCCAGAACTGTGATGATCTTACACTACATTCAGTTCCACGAATTCCAATAAACAAAGTAGTTGTTCATAAATTAAAACAACCAGAAAGAGTCACTTCCGAAACTCAAACTCGGATGTAGTTGTTGTTTTCTGAACATTAGAGGGTTTCTGCTACTCGGGCTGCAAAGTCAGACATATTTTCTCGATCCGTTCTGTTTCATGTGTAGAAGAGAACATGATGCTATACATGATTCATTGCGGCGGATAAAAGAACAGTCGTAAACTCTCAGTAAGAATTTATTCGAATAAAAAAGAAAGTACAATTTATATTTTCGATTTCAATATGTTAAAAGCGTCTTCGTTAACACCAGTCATGTCGAATCTGAAAAACAGTTCTTAGTGATAGTCTTAATGTTTTTCCTTACGCTTCGTCTGTCTTCATATAAGCTATGCTACCTGGCGCCTTGGGTGGTTGATAATCTTCTTCATACACAGAACCGTTCTGAATATCAGTTTTTATATTCATGATTACCAAATATGTTGCTTACCAGATGCTTGTTAGAGACTAGATGTTTCTTTCCTAACTCATAGAGAACTTCGTTAGCAGCTCGCAAACCACTCTCAACTGCTCCACTCATATATCCCATCCATTCCAGAGCTGTTTCAGTTCCAGCAAAGTGAACACTGGAATCATTTTGGTTTTCGATTTTCTGTTCGATGTATAACCTGTAATGTGGTTGACGAATAGTAGTGAAGGCGTCCATGTTTCCTGGAGTTACAGCAACTGTAGGACAACCACCATTGAAAGGCTCGTGAACCCAAAGCTTCAAAACAAGCTTTTAATATTATCCTTCCGATAAAAGTTTCATACTTTTTCGACATAGTCGACCATTTGAGTACGGCATTTCACGCCAAAGAATCTCTCTAAATCCTTGACGATAGCTTCCTTCCTCTCTTCCATACTCATATCTTAAACTTTCTTATCAACTTTCATTATTCTTCCTATCTGTTTTACCAGTGAATTCTTCGCTAATAAAACCTACGAGAGCTGGAACACCACGTGATGAACATGCATCATAAACTTCAATTAATGGAAAAATCTGGAAATAACATTTTTTTAATCGCCCATTGTGTTTCTGATATACTTCGCCGGTGCTAGATGTACGACCAGTACTGATAATTTCTCCTGAGTGCCCATCAAGTCTCCAAAATGGGGTTTCATAAGTGATAATGAACTTGATGAAGTTACCCACAGGGCACGACTCGAATAAACGACTCTGTAACAGGATCACTACAATATATATTACGAAGAAGACTCATACCTTAATGAGAGGAACATCAGGAGTGAACTTGATGTATCCACATTGATTGGGAGGAATAGCCATTATGACACGACTACATTGGAAATATTCATACTGAAATTGCGTATAGTAAGCAATTGCCTCATATTTCTGAATAACATACAACGTCTTTTTCTCCAGGAAGAGTACTATATGCATGAATGAGAGTTAAACCCGTTTTTTCATCGTAAATAATCTCATCAACAGCCCGATTTAATAAAATATTTTGAGTTCCAAAATCGTTCGCCATGATTTCACACATTTGCTGTGTTCCATCCTTCAAAGAGATTACTGGTGAGATGAAAGGTATAAGTTTAGCTTACAGTAACACGAACAGCTTGAGCACCATCTCCAATATTATTGACTAGACAACTGAAAGTTCCAGCTGCTTTAGAGAAAGCTAGATGATATAACATATTAACTCTATAATTGTTTACATTCATTTTTGTGATTTTTCTTTCTTCTTACCGACTAGGCTTAACTCCATAAATAGCAGTTGTTTTCAAATCCATACAATCATGAGATGTACGTGTAATACAATTCTCTTGACACCATTTTTCAAGAGTCATTCCATCATAATTTGAAGCCTCTTTCCATGAGAATGGATCTTTCAGATCAACCTAAGAAAATTGTAACATTATTTACGTTCTCACATCTGTCGCTTCTGCATTATCAAAAGCGTACATACCTGCTTCACCAGTTTTTCCGTTTTTGATAAACTTGCGTACCAATCAATTACTTCTACAGGTGTAAACTGTCTTAAAGCATTCATTAAGTTTCGTTTGCTATGTATGTTGTTCTAACTGTAAAGTCGTGATTGGAAGATTTCCAGAATACTGTCTTAATTCCGGGGTTCCGATTTGGGCATACTTAGTGCCAGCTTCATATTGTTCGTATGTTTTCAAGCCCAGCTCCTTAATCAGCTGGTTGATATGACGCTGTGTGTGGCCAACCCACTGCCCTACGATACAATCGTTCTTCAGAGTTTTATAATGAACTACATACCACCAAGATCAAACTTAACAGGCTTTTGGCCAGGTCCCATGATAGGAACAGTTAAAGTTCGACCACCAACACGATCTTTCGCTTCTATGACCAAGATCTTAAAGAATATTCTTTCATCAGAAGTCATTTATTTTTGGAAATGAGAATATTCAGTTCCTCCTCTAACCTTAAGATTTGGATCTTTCTTGCGAAGCTCCCGTACGGCAGAGAGTCCAGCCAGACCGGCTCCTACTACAACTACATCGAAGTCTTGGGGTGCTTCCTGAGTAGACATGACGACACAGTTTCATATGAAATAACCTGAAATAAATCCTGACAATGCTTTCAAAACTGAATAAGCTGATGAGATAGGTATTGAGATGTATTATAAACATTATAATACATATATAAGATATTAATATTAGAATCCTACAGATAGAATGTTCTCCTTGAGAAGACAAACTGACTTGTATTCGTAGCTTTTTCAACTAGGCTTTATATAACATTGAGATTGTTTATATGAACATGGAGTGATAATGATAAGTTGAGAGTCAGCAAAGAGAATAAGAAAAGAATGCTAATGATAAGAAAAAGTCATAAAACCGACGAAAGTCATCTGAAAATATTACCGGACTACGTTCAACGACAAACATGACGACATGAGCAAAAGATAACGATTTATAATGATAATCAGAGAAAGAGAAAAATGAAAAATTAGCAACAAACTTGAGATAGTATGAAGAGAGTGCACATGCTGTCATGAATATTCTGAGAGATTATAAAGAAAAACGATAAAAAGAGATAACTATTGAAAAATGGAGAAGGTGGGAAAGAGACTAAAAAGGAAGAAATGATATAATAGAGAGAGAAAAACTATGAAGTTGGCAGGATTCATAATATTGAAAGAGAGTGTAAGAAAGATAAGTTTTATAAAAAAAAAAGTAAAAAAAGGCAGAGAGAAAGAGAAGAATAGGAGAGATGAGGGAGATAAACATAAGATAGAGAGAGAAAGAAAGCCATTTCTCTCTCTCTCTCTCTCTTTCTTCTATTTCTCTGTTCTTACCCTCCACATAGGATGACGCTTTTCATCATGCAAAAGACGTCAGACATGAGAGAAAGCATAATTAGCATAAGAGACACGTTCATGATGTTGATGCTTGCAGCAGCATCAGCATGCGCTTCTTAACAACGCCAATTTATAAAGATTAGAATAGAAGAGCGATGACAAAATAGATTTTTGAAAGAAGAATAAGAGAGAGAGAACAAGAAAAATAAAATGATTTATGTCATCACTTGATTAGTAATTTATATATTTTTCTTGAAATGTTTAATGTTCTTTTCAACTTTTTTTTTTCTTCATCTTCATCTTCTTCCTTTTTTGTTCTTTTTTATTATTTTTACAATGAAAGGGAGGGGTGTAGGAGGGGTGGGGGGGGGGGAAGTGGTTGAAGAAAGAGAGAATATCAAAGAATATATTTGATGCGATGGATTATTTTCTTTTGCTTCTCTCTCTCTCTCTTCATCTATCCCTCTCTTTCATCTTCTCACTCTTACTGTCTTCTTGTATTAGATAAGTTTTTTGGTTCAAAGAATCATTTCATTATCTTTTAATAATCTTATTAAACTCTATTTATTGATAGAAGAGATTTAGATTTTAATATTCATAATAAATGAATATTAATTATATGAAAGTAATCATATGACCTATAGATAACATACATTAAAAGAGGTACAAGGGGAACAAGCATTTGTACAGAGAAACAGAGAGGTAATGATAGAATGAGAGGGAGAGTGTTGCAACCGATAGAACTTAAAGGAGGTGAAGCCGCTGGCAAGCTTCATCGTGCCTCTTCAACAAAAATTTTGGAAGAAGAAATTGATAAGAAAGGGGAAATGATTTAAGCGAGTGCAGTTGTTGCTTCATTTGTGGAAAAAATCATTCTGATGAACGGTCTTCACGCTTTTGCATCATATGCTAACTACATGCTATCAGTTGAATCAACAAATACTTTTATAAAACAATATATTATCTTAGTAACTTCTTGACCGGAATACACAATGACCTTTGATGAGATGTCACAAACTTGGCAGTTAGAAGACAAGCAGCCTCTACATGCATGACAGAAATTGAGAATCACTCCTCATTTTATGATATTCCCGAATATGCAAATTTATTAAAAAGACACCAAATCATTTCTGAGAAGCACATGAGGATGAGTAAGACACAACTCTTTCGTCAAATCATTTCTCGTTGCACAACTCTTGCACACACTTCCAATTAGGTTTTTTCCTTTTCCGGAACATGTCGTTCTGATGCACAAGAAGAGTTCAGTTAGTCATATGATATGGTTAATAGAATATTCACTTCATTTACTTCGAAAATCCATTCGGTTGTTCCTGAAAAGACAAAAAAAAATTATTTTTTTATATATATTTTCGTTTTAATTTCCATCTATCAGCTTTTGTTATTCGTGCTCACGACGAGGATTAAAAAAATATTTTTTTTTATTTTACAAAAGAAAAGCAAAAAAGAGTATATCTTATGGAATTGTTTGAAGCTCTATCGATGTTTCAGCTTTTTCTTTCGTAAGCAAATGGATGATTCATCTTTCTAAACACTTTTTGTACATTCATCTCTACACATACACACATATTCAGACTGAGAACTTCTTTTTTTTTTCGATTCAAAATTAGAATATTCAAATATGCAAAACAGCATTTACGTGAGCATCACGTGAGTCCTCATTTCATTCTATTTTCCTCATCATCATCATCATCACATACACACAGACCGGTTGCTCATCAGATCTTATTCTTCTATTTCATCTATATAAATATATATTATTTATTTTTTTTTTTGTGTTCAAAATATAATTATTGATTAGTTCAACTAACTATATGTTATAGGTTATACTTCATCAAACATTTCAATTGTTTTTTGTGCACAAAAATCGCTTAACTTTCCTTCTTTTTTTTTTCTTTTTTTTTGTCGATATTTCATTGAACGCAAAGGCCAAATATTTGAAGAAACTGAATCGAAATAGCTTCCAAACACATCGCCGATTTAATCTAATTTCTCTTCGGCTTGTAAACGATGTTTTTACTTTTCTAACATACAGGAAAAAATGTTTGTTAAAATATTAATTATATTGAAAGTATTTGATGGAAAAAGATTTATTTTCAACAAGTAATTCAATACCTCTTACTCTCTCTCTCTCTCTATCTCTCTCTCTCTCTATCATCCTATCCCCTCTATCTACCTCTCTATCTCTTTGAGTTTCTTTTACAATCGATTTCATTTGAAAAAATATTTTTTTTTGGACATTCCTGTCATTAACTTTTGAGGTTTCATTCAACCACACATGGCCTGATGATTCATCTTTTTGACTTTTCTCCCTCTATGTATCTGGCAGGTGTGAAAACTTCAATTAATCGAGTCATCATCATACCAACTAGATCAACCATCCATGTCCTATATATGACATTTTATATTTTACTTTATTTACTTTATATTATTTTCTTTTACAAATATCTTCTACTCGTTGCATTGTATTGATTGTGATCGAAGTATTACGTGGTTGAATTCTTTCATTGCTCTAACAGAACATTGTTTGAGATGATTGAAGAAGCTTCAGAAACTTCTTCTGACGATTGACCGTTCAGCCAACAGTCCTTATGTCCATAAGATCGCAGAAAGAAACTTCTACTCATCTTCATCATCTTCTTCTTCTCACTGCTTCACATCCAAAGCACAAATATGGTTCTTTCTGTCTCTCCCTCTATCTCTTTGTCACTCTCATTCTTTTCCATCAAAATTTTCTCTCTTAACCTCCATTTCACTTCCTTCTCCTGCAATCGTCTTACCTCCCGCTTCGTTCAATTCTCTCTTAATACCTTTCCATTCTTATCTTCAGTTTATTTTTTTTCCTTCAATTTCTGTTCTCTATCAGTCCCACGTGTTCTTTTTTTCTTTTCAACAAGCTGTTGGTCATTTGGGTGTCCTCTGGCTGACTGCCTATCCTTCGATCAATAATGAAATCAAATGGGATGACGACGCTAGTTCATACGAGGCATAACATACCATTTCGTTCAATAATTGTATTATTATTATTTATTATTATTATACATCTTATAATATACTCAAAAAATCAATAACCTAATAACCACAATTAAGTACTATTCATTAAGAGGAACCTGAGATAATTAGACTGCAAAACATGTGTATGTGTGTGTGTCTAGGAGTGTGTATATGTCTTGTGTGAGTGTGTGTGAAGTTCGATCATCAAAATTGGACTACATTCGAGCTATTCCTTTTCCTTCCTATTTCCTCTTATAAGTTTTATTTTCTTCTATGTCTTCATACTAAACTACAAACATTCTCTTCTTTTATTATTTTTTCTGTTACATCTTCACCTCAACCTTATATGATTATATGTACTTGCGCTATCAATCAATTATATATAATTATATATATTTTTTGTAAAAAATATCTTTAACCGACAATGAATGCTTCTTAGCTAACGTTTTCCGTCTTCTGTTTGCTCTTTGTCAATTTCACAGCCTCATTCCACTTGGATTTTACAAAATTTCTGTTCATTCAATAGTATTGTGTTCTATCAATTAATTTTTCATACTTTGTCTTATTTTGTTTGGAAAAGAAATATTTTTTTATTATTGACCAGCTGTTATTGTTTCAGTTAAAATGAACCAGGTTCGAGCCGATTATGATTTTGACGCTCAACCTGGCTCGGGCGAAATGAGTATTCGTAAAGGTGAAATACTGACAGTCCTCCGAGGGGTATGTTTCTGTTTGTTTTTGAGATTTCATCATATTTCCATTTTTAAAGGATGTTGAAGGTGGTTGGATTGAAGGACGAAATACCTCAGGAAAAATAGGTTTATTTCCCGAATCATATGTAAGCCCTTACTCTGGACCTCCTGCGGTATGTTTTTCGAATTTTTTTTTGTTACTCTTCATTGACTTTGATTGCTTCAATTACCATTGTGATGAGTGAGTCGGCGCGAGAACGTTGCGCGGAGCTTACGAACTCTGAATTTCATTTTCCATTATGATGATGCAGAGCGCGGTTGTTCGCAATAGCCTTCAACTATCAACTTTCTGAATGTTTTCAAAGTTTTCGAGATGTTGTTGGTATCGAAATCATTGTTCAGAATGAAGAAATGAGAAAAATTTCCCCTCATTTGATAAAAGCTGTTTTTACTTAAAAAGTGGCTTGAGGAAGAAAAAAAGTTCACCTATTTTGTGAGAAGCTTCTTTCAGACGGTATACTCTCTCTATTCTTCTTAATGAAATTGGAAAGAAGAGTGTCCCCGGTGGGTGGAATTGAAATCGTTTTGCTATCTTCCTATTCTATCCGCAATTTAGTTACTTCAAGAAGTTTGCATTGAAATCTATTTTGAGTTGTAGGCATAGCTCATTCTGAGCTTTATCCTCAATCCACCTGAAGTTCTGTATTGTTAAGAAGAATTTCTTTCTATGATGCTTTTTACTGCTGGCCTACGAAAAGCGGTCGATCAGTATGATTCCAATTCAGCAGCTATATCTGCTACAGCAGATGAGACTTCGAGATTACTTCATGAAAGACGACGTCGTCAAATGATTCGTCGTCATACTTGTTCAACACTCAAACCTGATCCAGTGTTTCCTATAGCTACTTTGGAGCCCTGCTTCACTATAGCAGAACATGATGACCAGGCTCGTGGAAGAATAAAATTTTCTTTTCTAACGCTCCTGAACGAACTCGAAATGTTTTGTTCTTGAAAAAACAAAGAAAAAGATTAAGATATGACAGAATTGTTATGGAAAAACAACACACATCTTGATGTCTTGTGCTCATAAATCCTCCTTATAGGTCTCTCCTCCAAATTTACCGCCAGCGCCGGTACCGAAGCCACCGCCTGTTCAACCTAGTCGAGCCACTGGAGATGATTGGGGAGTTTCTTCATTTCACCCTCCACCAGCTTCTTATCCTTCAGTAAATAATCCTTCTACCCGTAAGTTCAATTATATAAGTTTAAGTGTCTTATTATTTTTCTTTTTGAGAAAGCCAAAGCGGCTCTGCGTCTCAAATAAACGACGAATTCGATGATGAATGGACAGACGATGATGAGAATGAGGTACGCAGCTTAACTTCTTTGTCTCTGTTTGAATGTTTTGTTGCTTTCTCATAGTATTCACATTTTTCTCAGTTATTATGAGAATTTCTGGTAGCGAATGTTGGTATGATGTTAAAGTATGACTTTTGTCTATTTGTCTTTTTTCTTCGGCCATTGCTAACCTCAAGGGACTTGTGTAGTCGTGGGTGTTAAGGATAAAACATAACCATTGAAAAGAGATATAATGGCATGATGTGCTTCTTTTTGGTAATGTTTCTCTCTCCCTCCTTCCCTTTATTTTCCTTTCTTTCGCTTTTCTCATTCTCGTTTAACTTCTTTGGTTTTGTTTCTGGCGATGTATATCAACAATAGACTATATAATCTCCAGAATAATATTCGTTTTTCGCTTTTTTTGATCTCAGACATTTTTGTGCTTCACTTCCTACCACTAACACCATCCGAAAGACTTCTGAAGCAGTCCTGAATTGGCGTGGTTCTCAAAGAATTTTGAATGAGACCAATTGACTCATTTGCCTAAGCCATTTAAGAAATTGAAAGCTTTTTTTGTTGAAGCCATTTCTTCAGATGAACATATAGTTAATATAAAGAAATTTAACTATTTCGTTTATTATAAACTATGTTATACTTGTTCCGCCGTTCAGACAGCTTCCCCTGTCGGTATTTTTTCATTTTTTTTTTTGTTTCAAACCATTTGCTTTCATAATTATCTCAATCGGTTAGTTCAATCTTCTCAAAAACCATCGTTCAATCGTTAATCATAATTCTGTACAAGAAAAAAAAAGTTTTTTTTCTGTTCATAAATTCAATTGCTTTTTGAGCTGTGAAAACTCTCAGAAGATAGGGCAGTGACGTTTCTATTCAATAGAACAACAATTGAGATCTCTAAGTCCTTTTTCTATTTATATTTTCTTTTATGCCACACATGGTTCAAACATTTGTAGAAAATTGTTTTCTCATTTAATTTCTTATTTGATCAGGAATGTTGTTTTCTCGTGCACGTTCATCAAGCTCTGTTGCTTTGGAATATCTTCAAGTTCCTCATTATAATGGACATAGAGGAAGCTATGTAAGATCTCATCCTTTATCCTTCTTCATCGTTTTTTTTTTGGTTTTAACTGAAAGACTAGAAAAGACAAACGTCGTTACTTATTCCTTTTAATGGTTAGATGAGTTCGTGACTGGCCATGATTTCTAAGAATGGGGAGTAGAAGGGGGGAAACAGACGACAGATCTCCCAACATTTACTATGTTGGCTATCTTTTTGAATTTTCATTAAAAATTAGTTCTTGCTTTCAATTCTGACACACTCCCCTCACATTTTGTGCTTGAATTTTTGAAGAACTCAAAAAAATAACTAAAAAAATACTAAAAGGAATTGTGTTATGGGAGGGCTGATTGGCTCTATTATTTGAAGGAAATCTCTGCATAGACTCTAGCTGGGTGGAGAAACTCAAACATTGGTCATATTTTGATAGTTTTCTTTAAAATTTTACTTATTTTGTAAAGTTACAAAAAGCTTCAACATGGTCCAATATGAGTATGGCTTTCCTTCTGATGAGCACCGTCCTTCTTTAGAATTTAAAGGAGGACGTCGTATGAGTCTGTCGTTTTGTATCATTCCGGTAAGATTTTCCTTTTATTCTTGAGAAGTTACATGAACTCCAAAACACGACTCATCACTTCCAATTCCTTTTTTTCCATATTTTCGGTAGTTTTCTTTATCTTTATCGATTAGGATCATCGACTATCTGTGAACGGGCCTCTACCTGTGCCTCATACTTCTCCTCAATCACGATCTGCTTCTCGAACATCTATTTCAACTGAAGACGATCGTTTTGATCGTCAGAGTAAAGGGAGAAATACTCGTCGCTCTTCCAGTAGAGATTCTCATTCTATGGAACGTCGTGATAAACGACGTCATTCACGAGCTTCTCATAAGGTGATAACTGAGAAAAATCTTTGAGCTTCAAAGTTGTAAAGTTGTCTTGTAGCTTCAATATGTGAAGATGTTTGAGCTTTTGTTAGTAGCTGATTAATCATCTAGATGCTCGCATGTTGTATGTACTTGTCATGTGGATGTGCCCATTGATTTTTGCATACTCTTACCATGAAATTCAAGCTTTTAAAATGTAATTTAGGAGCCTGCTCTACCGAATTCTCATCATGCTGTTGCTCCGAACGATGTTCGAGGAGCTATCAATCGCAGCCAGTCAGCCGGTGATCGGGCAGGTAGTAAAGTTAATAGAAATATAAATAGGTATGTAAACGGAAAGTGCATGAAGCTGAAAAATGAGATGTTATAGGTTTTCAAACTTTGTGAAATCTGGAATGGAAGCTTATGTTCTTGGAGAATCAAAGATGAATGGACAACCAGGGGAAAAGCATGAGATTGTGGTGAGTTTCTGAGCCTTAGCCAGACCTCATTAAAAGCGTTTATTGATGGTTTGATTGCAGAGCTCTTCCAATATGGTTCAATGGAAGCCAATTCAGCAGTATTATACTTGTACTCTGGGAGACAAAATAAAGAAAGAAACTAAGTTAAAAGGTTTGAAAAGCTTCATAGCTTACTCTATTACGTCGTCTCTCAGAAGAATTCAAGTAAAGTTTAAGAAAAGTTTCTAAAAACTTCATTTCAATTTGTTAAGGTTTCAAGACGTTATAAACAATTTGATTGGTTGCATGAGCAACTATCAGCTAAATATATTATGATTCCCATTCCACCATTGCCGGAAAAACAAGTTTCTGGAAGGTACGAGGAAGATCTGATCGACCATAGAAAGCATATACTCCAAATCTGGGTTAACAAAATTTGTCGGCATCCAGTTTTAAGTCAGAGTGAAGTATGAACTTTATCCAATTCTATTTTCCTCATTCAATATCATTTATCAGGTTTGGCTTCACTTCATAAGCTGTACAGATGAGAAAGAGTGGAAGAATGGTAAGAGAAAAGCTGAAAAGGTAATATTAATTATCGTTTTTCATAATTAATAATCATTTCTAGGATGAGTATGTGGGAGGTAATTTCTTGAACTGTGTATCCGTCCCTCAAGTGAAGCTGGATATTGCCCATGTGTAAGAGAGATTTTACATTTGTAATGTTTGAATATTAAAAATTCAGCGAAGGTCAAGTTGAGAAGTTTCAAAAAAATGTCAAGTTCACAGAAGATGCAACGAATGTTATGCATGGCAGAATGAAAGAGTTCCAGAAAGTATATCAAGGACGTTAGTTCTTTCTTATTTTTTTAAGAAAACATCCTTATCTGTTCTAGCTGTAAAAAGTAATTGGCAGAAGATGGCTCATGCTTTCTCTTCCCTGGGTCAAACATTTAATGACGATCATCCAAGTTAGTTCAAAGACTCGAAGATAAAAAAAATATTTTGTCTTGAAGAGAGTGGAAAGCTGGCCGCTGCTCTCAATGTAACAGCCTCTCAATACCATTCGATTGGAGAGGAGTTCGATGTTCATACCAGAAACGATATGGAACCTGTTGTTGAGGCTTTGTTCTCATTCAAAGGAACAGTACAAGGAGTCCCTGATATTCTTTCCATTCACAAAGTGAGATTTGAACATCATTCTGGTCTCAAGGGATTAATTTCAGCAAGCAATCCAGAAATACAGAGAAAATCAGTCCAAAGTTTCAAATGTTGACGCGGAAAAAATTAAACAACGGGTGGATTCCATCAGTTATTCCGTTCTTGCAGAAATGAATCATCTGAATTCTGAAAAGGTAACACTATGACTAAATATAGATTAATAAAATAAAAATACTAGATCGAAGATGTTCGCTCAACTATGGGTACTTACCTTCGCAAGCAAGCAGATTTTTACCAAAAGCTGGCGAATCAGTTTGCTAACATGGCTAGTCAATACGATTTCTAAACTGTCCTTGTCATACTTTGTCGAAAATATTTATTTTTTTGTCATGTGAGTGTATAAAATTGATGAATGGCCTTAATACTTTTAACTTTTTCCTATAAATTTCACTTAAGTCAATTATAAGTGCAATTAACAGATTGCTGTGTTTCTCAACTATTGCATAGGTATTGTAACTGTCTTTTTCACAGTGTACTCGTATTTTATGCTTTAGCTTCATGCTCATCGGTTGAAGTGTATTGTAGCAATCAATCTTTAGTTATTAGGTTGAAGTCATCAATTAGGCTAATGTTCGTTCTTCAAAATAATGAGTACTCGAGTGAGACTGTATACTGTTGTTCATAAAATAGTTTATTTATCGTTACGGTACATGACACATACGTAAGACAGCGTCTGATAGATAGAACAATGATTTTGATTACAGATTCAAATGTGTGAAAAAAAAACTCTGATTGAGAGTCTTGATTCCCCAAGTACGGCACCTCTTTCTCATTCTTAACTTACCGGACTCTGTGAGCGGTGTTATACGCTATTTTATTTTTCATGTACCGGACGCTGTGAACACATAGGTAGGATCAGAAGGTATATTATAAATATAAGAAATATTACATAACAACATATAAAATAGGAATCAATACAATATAACTAATCTGAATACAAAGGGAGGTTACTGTTCTGTAACTCAGTAATATGCTTTCCTCCGCGACAGGAGATGTTAAGGTGGTCCTCGAGTTTTTCTCTAATTCTCACTACAAATTCTTCCACCCACTTTGTCAGCAAAGTCGATGAAGCTCAATTTATATTAGAAGAACTTTTATTGAAAAATAGAGAAAAACTGGTAATAAGCGGCAAAAGGGTTGAGGTAACTAGTATGTGTAGTTTTCCTCTCTTGTTACTTCAATACGAAATCGTTATAACAGCATTCAAATGTACAAGCTCTGATTGACAGTCTTTGTTTCCCAAGTACGTATTAGCTGGTTTCGATCAGAGTTTAAAATTGCCGAAAAATAATACAAAAAAATGGAATAA